GTTTAGGCGATAAGGTTGATCGAGTACGCGTCATCTATAAACTGTTTTGCTCAGCTGTGATTGGTGTATCTTTGGATCAGGTTCCCTGTGCGGTCACGGCTCTCCAGCTGTTATCTTTCTTTATCGTCGGCATTCAGGCTGTTGGGCTTTCGATTCCACTGTCCCTATTGATGTTGTCAGGTTGAAGTCTTTTGTGGATAGCCTTTTTCACCCTTTGTGTGTATAAATGGGGATCACGATTTATAAGCTTCACTTTTTCCCGAAGCGCGCGGTATTCGGTAACGAGGGTGTGCTCCGAAACATTCAATGGAGGTCTGCTTTTCTTTAGTAGTCTCATAATCTTGGAAGAAAATCTTTAAACTCCAATCTAAACTATAACTGGATGAAGAAATGATGATAGAAAGTATTGCATATGAATTTCGTGCATTTTAGTATTTGGGTTAGCACCTTTATTGTCTTGATTAGCATTGGGGCCCATTTTAAACTACACAAAGATGCCGACATTCCGACTATTACACAGATTACTACTGGTGCTGTCATGGCGATTTCTCACTGTCATTTTCACCAAACTCAGGCGTGATTTAAAGGCTGCCGTAGCATGGGGATAAAAAGGCACATGAAATCGGAGCTCTGCTTCATCATAGGGGTACTTCGGCATTTTCACATCCAGTCAATCATAAAGTTATCCATATCCTTTATAATGATTGTCATTTAAAAGAATCCTTAATAAAAAATTATATTTTCTCTACATAATAGATACCATTATTTGATAAAATGGTAGAATGATCTTTATAAAATAAAAATGATATCAGTCAAAATAAAGAATAACGTAGTCACAATAAACCGTTAATTCGTCGATTTTCTTTTTCTTCGTTCGCTCAATCTTTTGCAATGCACGCTGTTTTGATTAAGTATAATATCGCAACTGTTTGAATCCGTTTTTCATTAATTTTGGTATCGAAGTAAAAGCGTTTGTTGTCTTCATCACTTTCTATCACCAACTTCTTTTCTGGCATTTTGATACGTTTTAATAAATCTTCTTTTGTTTCAATTTGAACCTTATACTCTATTTATTTAACCTTTTTCAATGGATTCGATTTTACATTTAATGATTTCTTGCCATACCTTTCTGCATACTCTTCAATGTGTCTATTTTCGATTTTTTTTTCTTAATTCCGCTTATCTTTTATGGTGCTTCTACAATCAATTTTATTTCAGGGTTTTTATCTTTGTGTTTAAATGTCATGTCTCAAGGTCTTCCGTCACTGAACATCACTTTGTAAATCTTACTATTCGAGTACAAGCTACTGAATTTCGAATTAGTCAATTCTAACAATGGCTGCCTCCGGATACAGTGTCTATCATTCAGTTCAATGTAAATGACATGTATATAGTCGAGTTTTTCGTACGTGATAATGATTCTTTCTTGTTGAGTTCAAATAACAGGAATTTTTACAATATTTTTCCCTTATTGGAATGAATTATGTTGATAGGGTAAGGTATGTATTATTAATTATTTATTAATATCTTTAGGTATGATTTGCTGGTATTGATATATTTATCAAGTCATCTGGTATGTTTTCGATAGTGCACCATTGAATAGCTCTTGGGTAGAAATCATCTAACATCTGGTCTTGCATTTACATTGTATGTGCTTTCTGGTAAGTAGCCACACATATGATTGAACAGTGCCATATTGATGCTTGTATATGACTGATTTGTCCCGGCAAATGAAACTGTCTGTTTTATATCTCTGAAACAGTTTGTCACATATTGTTTTTCTCAAGTCATATTCACCATTGGAGTGCCTGACACTAAATTTTTTTGCATTTCCTGGCTGTATTTGAAATTAGAAATAATCGACCTTAGTGCCTAGCGAGTCCTCCTTTACCATTTTTTTGTGCATTGAAAGTATGATTTGGCGGCCGAAAAGTGTTCCCATTAAGCGCGTTACATACCCGTGACGTAGAAAACTGTGAACACACGTCAGCAACTATGGTAGAGAAAGGAGAAATGTAGAAGAAAGGACGAACGGAGCGCTAGCGTTTATGTTAGCTACAAGAAGAAGAATAATGCACATATACTGGGTATTTCTAAACACTACTTTCCAAAGGATCTAGCTGTATGGCCGAAATGGACGATCGTCGACAATAAGGAGATTCTACTCTTGAACGTCGTCGGCCTTAAGCTCAACACCGACTTCAAATCAGAGGAAGATAACCAAGGAATTCAGCTAAAAAGAATGCTGATTAAGGGGCCTGTTTCCAAACCGTACAAGATTGTTCCACATTCTTTTCGGCTAACATTTCGCAAGCGAACAATGGTGCGCTTCTTGTTGTTGTTTATTTCACGCGCTTGAGATGTACTCATACTCTTTGTCTTCCCATATGACTACATTTGCGTTTTTCTTATTGTATGAAAAACCCAACCAGTTGTAGTTTTCATCGTATTTTAATAACAGAAATGCATCATTTGATCATTTGTAATGAAGTTCAAGCCCTTTCCTGACCGATATCCTGTAGCGTGAACAGTGCGAAACCTCTAGCGGGTACAGGCATAAACACAAGCTCGAAGGGGCCGTGTATTCTCTTAACCTAGGTTTCCGAAAATCCATCCCACGAGCCATCAATTCCCCCCTGCCCTAAAGAAACTGAAAGTACTAACAGTATCAATGTCATCGTGATACCAGCACTACAACGAGATAAATAAAAAAACACATTTTAATGAATTAGATGATAGCGAATCCAAGTGCTGTGTGAAAGTCGCCGCATACGAAATAATCATTTACAATACTGATGTCAGTTATTTCCTTTGGGCGGAATGGGTCTTATGGCATGGCTGCACTTAAACTAAAGACGTTTTTCTCTATTAAAATCCCTATTTGAGATGAACTTGAATCAGATGACTATAAACTCCCTCGTTTTCCGTTCGGTTTGGCCGGCTAAACGATTACGACGATAGCCTCTGCCTTTGCAATCTCTGTAGAAATGGGCAACGTGCAATGAAACTGTATTTATATTTATTTAGCCTCGCCTAATTATCTTAGGCAGGGAGACCATTACAGCTTTAGCCAATTACAGTGGATCCCGCGTTAACAATGACAAGGAATATCTATCCATTTCTTGACATTATAGAAAGGTAGCACATTCTCCTCGGTTATTTTAAGACCTTGAGTGTTGGTCCAGCTGGGGCTCGAACCCTCGACCTCCCGCACAACAGTCCAGCGCTCTAACCAATTGAACTGCCCGATGACTTCTTGGTGAAAAATTATCGTGCCTCGTGATACAGCTGATTCTTTTGTCAAAATTTAGCTTTTGGTTTACCAAGGAAATCTCTGTAGAGCAACGAAACTCTAGAGCACTGACCGAGGGGAACCTTGGCTGCACATAAAGCGAAGGAATAAAATGTTATGGCAACAGAAACGAACACGGCTATTCATTCTTAACATAGATTTCGCCATAGAAAACAAAACACAAACGCAACAAACTAAATATTCAGTAACGGGAATTTGTTGCTCTAGTCTTGACCCGAACACCGTCTTTGTCAGTCCTCGTCGAAATCTTTGTTTGATGCACGCGGTTCTCCTTCTTAGGGCTGAACCGTACTCGCAACTTCCATTTCTTCTCTACTACTTGAGTACGATGTACTACAACTCTCGGTAGAGCTTGCTGAAGCTAGGTATACATAGCTATCGGACATTATTTCCAGAGTATTTCAACGATAACTGATACAAAACTACAAGAGATGTGTGAGATTTGTGGGTGTCAAGTGAGAGTTTTCATAGTTTTCGACGTCATCACCCGTTAATTCGTTACCAGTCTACAAACAGATCAGTCAACAATGGGAGAAATTCTATAAATTATTCAAATTGCAAGAGGCCAGGCAATTGGTACGAGTTGAATTTCACGTTCATTCTACCGCTTTTCCGTTCGTTAATTCGCCCTTAAGTCTGTCAGTCTTTCTAGCTAGCTAAAGCATCACAGGCAAATGTCTTAATAAGGAGCTCTCCTGAGTTATGTATATATGATACTGTTGAAAGTCAGCATATTGACTTTTTAAGCGATCCTGTAACACTTCAGTTTTCTAAGTGTGTGATATCCTTCCTCGATGGGACCGGTTGTATCACCAAACCTTATTTGTCTAACTGGTAGATGATTAATATCCGTGAGAATACCACTATCTTCACGCCACACCTCGTAATTTTTGTCACAGTTACAAGGAGACCGAGAGTCTGCGCATATCTTGGTCATTCCGCATGCGCACTTACCACTGTCAGATGATGTTCCGCCCCGATAATTAATCTGAGTGGAGTCGCGTGACACCCACTAGCCCACGTTTGTCATCATAGAATGATGACACTCATACTTGATAAACTGTTCATAGTTAGAGGAGACTTTAGTGACACTAGCCAGCTGAGACAAACTCGCTCCGTGGAATGAATGTCACTTACGTAATTGCTGAAACCTTTCACGCGTGTTCTGGTTTCACTGTCGTGACTGATGACTGTCACGCCAACTCCATTCTTGTCACTCATGTCACAGTATACTGTAAATGGTTCAAGAGGACCCTCGTTATCTGGGTCAATGACGTAATTTCCGCTTGCACTGTTGGAGTATTTCCTTACCATAGAACAAGAAGTTACTTTAATCGGAATGTTGATTTTAATTTCGGTTTCTATTGCTGTTAAAGCATTAGCAGCTCTACAAGTGTAAGATCCCTCGTGTGATTTCTTTATGCTGTTTATCACCGGTGTTCCATTCTGCAGAACATTGGACCCTGCAGGTAAGGACGAATTTCCATGCTTCGTCCAACCAATTGAAGTTTTCAAGTCACTCACGACCACACACGGCAGATGAACAGTTGAGCCAGCCATAGGAGTCATTTCTTTTGAGGGTCGAGCCTTTAACCGCAGACGAGAAAATATCACGAGTTGAACTGTCTGCTGATGATCTCTGAATACTCTCCGCCTTACAGATGTATGTTCTTCATGTCATTTTTTGTCACTTTGGCCTATTGGTCCATGTTTGCCAGGAGGTCCGTTTGGTCCTGGTTTCCCCGGGGGACCCGGTTTTCCCCGAGTTCCCACTTTGCCTCGAAAAGCGACCCCTGTTACCTTTTGGTCCTGGGCGGCAGAGTGCGTGATCCTTAGCAAAGAATTGGTTTTGCAGTAGACTAAGTTCTTTTTTGATAAGTATTTGTAATTCAGTAGATGTTAGGTTTGAATCCTGTTGTAAAACGTTTAGAGCAGAGCGTTTTTGTCGGCTTGGGTTGACATTCTCTCCATCTGAAAATAAAAGACTCGCCAATGAAGTAACGTGACTAACTTTACATCAGCATTGCAGACACCAAAACTTTTCACCATCCTACAAGCATCGTTTTGATCATGAGATAAACTTGTGGCTGCGGCATGGAACGCGAGGAAAGGAAAACTAATTCCTAAATGCGATAAATTCAAGGAAATGAGCAAATTTATCATTAGATAGTATACGTCTTGTATCGATAAGTTCTATCAAGAGAAAATGATGGACTTGGGTCTACAGCTGTATTGATCTCGAGGTTGTTACTCCGTTAGAAACTTACGTCGCCTCCAATCTTTTTCCCTTTCAGTTCGGCCCTGCTTACATCAAAAGGTTTACGCACAACGAATGTATCCGGTAAGAAATTGTCACTTCTAAAGACTTATGTTAAAGTGTATGAAATGACAAGTTCACGAAACGTAATTAGCGAGATGGGGGTTCCTTACTGGTCATGTTGTCACCGGCTACACTGTGCCTTTCGTGTTCTCTTAAATTGGAAGGAGCGTAGAACAAGGGCTTTTATCGTGCTACGTTTACTTTTCCTGGGCACTGAAATAAGACTTCAAGTCTTATTTCATTTTCTAGTAAAGTGATAAATAAAATTGAAATTTTCTCACATTAATTTATTCTTTAATTTTTATTCATTTATGTCTTTGTTTAGGTTTGTTATTTTTAAAGCAGCACACATGTAATCACCAGTGCACTGACGAGGTTTTCATTATTCAGTATCATCTCAATAAAACAAAAACCAAGTGTAGATTTCAAACAAGGCAAACCATAGTCATTCAAACGCATCTTTGAGAATATCAAGATATAATATTCACGGTCCATTAGTTTCTAAAGTACAATAGATAAAGATGATGAGATTTCGTAGTTATGATGATAATGATAAAGTCGATGATATAAAAAGTGTCCAGTGACCTTACTTTGGTCTTCTAAAGTTTGCTTGTTCCAGTGATAGAGTAAAATGGAGCGTACGTTTTCAACTATGTCAAAGGTCTAAGCATTCTACTAAAGCGTGGTCTATAATCTCCTATTTGTAAACTTAAATTACACAAGCCTATGATTGATTTTGCACATGAGCTTGTGAGAGTAGACGTCATCATGTTGACCGTGTTGAAGCCTCTTTAACAATTAACTAATTTATGTTTGCAGTATCAACTAACACCAAGTTACCTTTGGTCGCCGGCCGCATTGTGCTCTCAGGTTTCAAACTGTGCCATCCTCTAATATTCTGCTGTACTGAAGGACTTCTGTCTCCATCTTTGTAAATTCGTTTGCTGAGTTAGAATCATTTGATGATTTTCTTGTATTCAGAGCTCCTGATGAATTAACGCGACACAACAGAAAACCGACAACAAGAGGCTTGACCCGGAACGCAAACGGTTCAATGTTTGTCTTCTGTTCGTCTGCTTCTGCTCTTTTTCTGTTTCTTTCATCTTCACAGTGTTCACAAAACTATTTTGGATATCAGACATAACCAGTGGGATGTTTTTCGCTTCACTTGATAAGCCTCCTTAATGCAGTTCTGCTTGGCTGTAGTGAAGTTTAGCTGTCGGGAGAGGTGGAATGCAACGGTAATTGATATGTTTTCAATATTTAAGACTTATAGAGACATACGTAAATAGAAAGCGGATACATTCATCGGTAGGAGAAAATTCGCGTTTGTATGAAACGGGAAGTTTATTTTTAACTTTAATTGAGGTCAACTCAATCGTCTAAGGGCTTTAAACTTCTCTGTTTCACGCGTAATAACACCAATTTCCTGGTGCTACAATGTGCAGATAGACGGTATTTTATTGTTTGCAGAAAGGTCATGTTTGAGTAAAACGGGTAGTTCTTTAGAACATCCTTATCGACGTCAACCCTATTTTCAAAGAACTGGAGAGCCCGAGATTTAACCTTTTCTCTTCCATGCCTGAAAGCGACAATATCCTGGCTCTATGCCATTTATCACAGAAAGTTCGTGTTTGAGTATAATGAGAAGTATATGGTTATTTTTAAAGAGGTCAAACCTATCCTCTTAGAACCGGGAAGATTTAAAGCTCCCTATCCGTATAGAATAAAAAAATTCTCCAGATGAGATTCCTCTTAGCTTTAAATTTCCGTTTATGAGCATTACTTTCTGTCCTAATCAATACATCATTTGTTACATTATATCATTAACATTATACGGGCCGAAGAACAGGCGGTCTAATGTCTGTCTTCTCTCTTTTCGTTTGTCTGTTTACTCTGTTTCTTTCATCTTTACAAACTTTACAAAAATGTGTTGGAATCAAGCAGATCCAGAGGGAGGTCATTACTTCACTAGATCAGTTTCTTGCAAAGGGTTCTCTTGGGCTCAGGTAGAGTTAAACTGTCGTAGCCGGAAATTGAGCTCACCGATATTTGTACACTTGTATAACATAACCACTGAGGAAACAAAGTCGCTTACATTGACTTCCTTTAGTGCTGTAATATTTTACGCGTCGAAAGATGATGACGTCTTCAGATTTCTTTATCCAAACCAGGCCCGTTTGTTACAATTGCTCGGCGCTGTCTTAGCAAGATGATCTTCTTCTTCCGCTGATACACGTCTCAAACCCACCGCTGACCACTTGAATAGCCTTTTCAAACCACGGGCAAACCAACGCAGACAATTAATTCCCAACATAAGTAAAACTTAGAAATGTTAAAAACCTATATTGTATTTGACGATTGTGATCAAAAAAGCGAAAAAGGGATTCATAAGTGCTTCATATACCAGTTCGGTCAATTATGATTTTGCAGTATTGCCTTATAACATAAGAACTTTCCCCAAATCAAAAAACTCGCCCCAAAGTGGAAACGTTGCTTACCGCAGTTCATGTCATTTGCCAAATAATCCTAAGGAGCAAACGTTTGAAATCGACAGAAAAGTTTTAACTCCTGGTTTTACTACGGTATCAGTTATTCTTACTAAAACAAGCTAACAATCTTTGCGTTAACATCCGGTTGTCAATAAATTGTTTATATCCTTGCGAATGAGTAATCCCGTCATGCTATGGTGCCTGAGAAATAACTACGAAAGCCTTTTAAAGTTGTTGAAATTTAACGTGTATCTAATGCGTCGATCAGTTCAAAGCTTCAATATCCCCGCTGGGAAAGACTCCGAGCATTTGAAATTTAGAAGATTGGTTCGCTCAAATTCCTGCCCCAGTGGGCGAAAACTGTGTTCAAATGCCCTGTCCAAGCGCCGGATTTGATGATTGGTTTTTCTATAAAAGGTAAGATCAGCTGCATAGACCCTCTATACCCATTGACCAACAATTGTTTTGACTATCCAAGACCTTGTAGACCAATTTGATTTTTCCGAGCCAGCTGCTTGATATTTACAGCGTGGAAGCGATCAGTTGATTTGTAAAGCGTTTGGGATTCAAAAAAAGTTTTCTACGCATGTTGATACCACTAAGACGTCAACAACGAAGTCATATTAGAATTTACTTCATCAGACATTAGGATGGAATAAACAGCAGGCCAACTACTGTCATGCTATGTTTCATTAGTTATGAAAAGAGTTACTCTAGTCTTCACGTAACTGCACTTTTTCATCTTGGATAAACTGTTAGTTAAGAGCTGATGAATGTTCAAATGATGTCTTCTGCGTGATACCTGTCCATATGAGATCATTTGAGAGTAATATTACTGTATGCCATAACACTTAAGTTTTCCGAGCGTATGATATCCTTCCTCGCCAGAATCGCCTGTATCACCAAACCTCAGCTGTTTAACCGGAAGATGTGTCTTGTCAGTAAGGAGACCGCTGTCCTCACGCAGTACGCCGTCTTCCTTGTCACAATTACACATATTAGCAGGGTATGGACATGAGCTGGTCATCCCGCATGCGCACTTACCACTGCCGGGTGACGCCCCTCCCCAGTAATTCATTTTGATCGAATCCCGTGACACCCACCATCCAATACTACCTCTGAAGAACTGTGAATAACGGCACTCATAACTGATAAACTGTTCGCAGTGTGACGAGACTCTGGTGAGACTCGCCAGCTGAGAAAGACTGGCTCCGGTGTAATGAATATCACGTGAGTAACTGCCCGGGCCTTCATATCCCTTCACATGTGTTCTACTTTCGCTGTCGTGACTGATAACTGTCACGCCAACTCCATTCTTGTCACTCATATCACAGTAAACTGTAAAAGGTGCACGAGGACCCCCACCGTCGGGATCAATGACGTAATTTCCCGTTGTAATACTGAAATATTTTCGAATCACAGAACAAGAAGTTATATTCCGTGGATTGATAACTTTTACTTTGCTTTCTACTGTTGTCAGAGCATTAGCTGCTCTACAGGTGTAAGATCCTTCGTGTGATTTCTTGATGCTGTTTATTACCAGTGTTCCATTCTGTAGAACATTGGACCCTAAAGGTAAGGACGAACTGCCATGCTTCGTCCAACTGATTGTAGTTTTCAAGTCACTCTCGACCACACACGGCAGATGAACAGTTGAGCCAGCCATTGGAGTAATTTCTTTTGGGGGTCGAGCTTTAAACCGCAGACGAGAAAATACCATGAGGTGAAATGTGCCTGCTGCTGATCCAAGAATATTTTCCGCCCTACAGATGTATATTCCTCTGTCTTTCTTTGTCACGTTATAAATTTTTAGTGTTCCTTTAATGACTTCAGCTCGATTCATCGGCAAGTTTCCAAACGCTTTAGACCACGTGATACTAGGCTGAGGCTGACCAGAAGCACCGCAGGCGATACTAACATTTTGTTTTTCCTCAGCTAACACTTCGTTAGATGATAAAATGATCTCAGGAGCGACTGTAAACATTTCAAGAGAAAGAACTATGAGTTGTAAAGACAATGAAAGTGATCTCCTGAATTATCATGGAGGTCAATCAGTTAGCCTTAATCAACAAGATCGAAGAAGAAAGAACAATATATAGTTAGTTGCAGTTAAAATAAAAATACTTATCCATATGCATAAGCAACGTATGGTTATGAACGTTGTGAGAATTAATCAGATAGCTTGTGCAAAATCATTAATGCGCAGATTCTTCCTGCATTTAGGAAATCGTTCTCTATTTGCAAAAGAAATAGACTGACTTACATTGAACAGATAACTTCGCCGAGGCGTTCACTTGTCCCAAAAAAACTTTCAGCTCTGCATGAATAAACTCCTTCGTCACCACGTATAATGTCCCTCACAATCAGCTGGCCTCTGGATTCCACTTCGTGACGTCCAAAAGGGAGCGTTGAGTTCAGCTTAGACCACGTGACTTTTGGCTTTGGATTACCATCCGCAGTACATTTTAACATGGCTGTCTGACTTTCATTGACTGTCATTCCAACGGGACGCTCTAACAGAGATGGGGCTGAGAGGGACTGGCCCGGCTCACCTTTAGCACCTTTCACACCCGACGGGCCTGTAAGTCCCACGGAGCCAGGGCTCCCCGGTTTTCCAATGTCCCCTTTTATTCCTTTCGGCCCCTGTACTCCTATTGGTCCATGTTTGCCAGGAAGTCCGTTTGGGCCTGGTTTCCCTGGAGGACCCGGTTTTCCCCGAGTTCCCTTTTTGCCTCGACGACCCCTGTTACCTTTTGGTCCTGGGCGGCAGAGTGTCTGATCCTTAGCGAAGAATTGGTTTTGCAGTAGACTAAGTTCTTTTTGATAAGCCTTTGTAATTCAGCTGATGTTAGGTTTGAATCCTGTTGTGAAACGTTTAGAGCAGAGCGTTTTTGTCGGCTTGGGTTGGCGTTCTCTCCATCTGAAAATCAAAGACTCGCCAATGAAGTAATGTGACTAACTACACATCAGCACTAAAGACACCAAAATCTTTCACCATCCTACAAGCATCATTTTGATCAGGAGAGAAATTCATAGCTGTGGTATGGAACGCGATGAAAGGAAAACTAATTCCTAAATGCGATAAATTTAAGAAAAATGAGAAAATTTATCATAAAACAGTATATGTCTTGTATCAATAAGTTCTAAAAAAAAATGATGAACTTGGTTCTACAGCTGTACTGATCTCGAGGTTAATACTCCGCTGGAGACTCTGGTCGGATCTAATCTTTTTTCCTTTCAAGGAAAGGCTCGGCCCTACTTACATTTTAAAAGTTTGATGTAAGTCCATTACTTGCTACAGTACAATTGGACAGAATAGATAAGGATGATGGGATTTCGTAGATTTGGTCGACTTCGTTTTGATAAAATCGATTATATAAAAAGAGTTCAGTGATGTTACTTGGTCTCCTAAGGCTAGCTTGTTCCAATGATAGAGTAAAATAGAGATAGCGTGCGTTTTCAACCATGTCAAAGGTCTAAGCATTCTACTAAAGCGTGGTCTATAATCTCCAATTTGCAAACTTAAATTGCACAAGCCCATGATTGATTTTGCACATGAGCTTGTGAGAGTAGGTGTCATCATGTTGATCATGTTGAAGCCTCTTAAACAATTAACTAATTTATGTTTGTAGTATCAACTAACACCAAGTTACCTTTGCTCGCCGGCCGCATTGTGCTCTCAGGTTTCAAACTGTGCCATCCTCTAATATTCTGCTTTACTTTTCGAAGGATTTCTGTCTCCATATTTGCAAATTCGTTTGCTGAGTTTAAAATCATTTGATGATTTTCTTGTATTCTGAGCTCCTGATGAATTAACGCGACACAACAGAAAACAGACAACAAGAGGCCTGACCCGGAACACAAACGGTTCAATGTTTGTCTTCTGTTCGTCTGCTTCAGCTCTTTTTCTGTTTCTTTCATCTTCACAGTGTTCACAAAACTATTTTGGATATCAGACATAACTAGTGGGATGTTTTTTCACCTCACTTGTTAAGCCTCCTTAATGCAGTTCTGCTTGGCTCTAGTGACGTTTAACTGTCGGTGGAATGCGACGGTAATTGATATGTTTCCAATATCTAAGACTTTAAAACATATTACTAGAAACATGTAAATAGAAGGTTAATATGTTAATCGATAGAAGAAAATTCGTGTTTGTGTGAAACATGAAGTTTATTTTAACTTTAGATGAGGTCAACTCAATTGTCTAAGGGCTTTAAACTTCTCTGCTTCAAGCGTAATGATCGATAATGACATCAATTTCCTGGTGCTACAATGTGCAGATAGACGGTAATCTCATCGTTTGTATAAAGGTCATGTTTGGGTAAAACGGGTAGTTCGTTTAAAACATCCTTATCGACGTCAAACCTATCTGTAAAGAACTAGGAAGCCCCTGATTTTAAGTCTTCTCTTCCATGCCTTAAAGCGACAATGTCATGACTCTATGTCATTTATCACAGAAGGTTCGTGTTTGAGTATAATGGGAAATGTATTTTTATTTTTAAAGAGGTCAAACCTATCCTCTTAGAGCCGGGAAGATTTAAAGTTCCGTGCTCCGCACACAATAAAAACACTTCCAGATGAGATTCCTCAAAATTTTAAATTTCCGTTTATGTGCATTATTTTCTGTCCTAATCAATATATCGTTTGTTACATTATTAACATTATTCTCCGGGTCGAAGAACAGGCGGTGTAGTGTCTGTCTTCTGTCTTTTTGTTTGTCTGCTGTCCCTGTTTCTTTCATCTTTGCAAACCTCACAAAAATGTTTGGGAATCAAGCAGATCTAGAGGGAGATTATCACTTAACTTGATCGGTTTCCTGCAAAGGGTTCTCTTGGGCTCAGGTAGAGTTAAACTGTTTTAGGAAATTGAGCTCACCGATATTTGTACACTTACAACATTAACACTGAGGAAACAAAGTCGCTTACATTGACTTCCTTTCGTGCTGTAATATTTTACGCGTCGAAAGATGATGACGTCTTCAGATTTCGTTATCCAAACCAGGCCCGTTTGTTACAATTGCTCGGCGCTGTCTAAGCAAGATGATCTTCTTCTTCCGCTGATAAACGCCTCAAACCCACCGCTGACCACTTGAATGGCCTTTTCAAACCACGGGAAAACCAATGAAGACAATGCCTCACATGAGTAGAACTCAGAAATGTTTAAAACCTACATTGTATTTGACGGTTGTGATCACAAAAACGAAAAAGTGATTCATAAGTGCTTCATATGCCAGTTTGGTCAATTATGATTTTGAGTATTGTCTTATAACATAAGAACTTTCCCTAAATCTAATATAAAAACTTGCCTCAAATTGGAAACGTTGCTTACCGCAGTTCATGACATTTGCCAAATAATCCTAAGGCGCAAACATTTAAAATCGACAGAAAAGTTTATTTTAACTTCTTTTACTGTGGTATCACTTACTCTTATTAAAACAAGCTATCAATCTTTGCGTTAATATCCGGTTGTCAGTAAACTGTTTATATCCTTGCGAATGAGTGATCCCGTCATGCTATGGTGTTTGAGAAATGACTACGAAAGTCTTTTAAAGGTGTTGAAATTTAACGTGATTCTAGTGCGTCGATCAGTTCAAAGCTTCAATATCCCCGCTGGGCAAACCTCCAAGCATTTGAAATTTTGAAGATTGGTTCGCTCAAATTCCCGCTCCCACGGGCGAAAACCGTGTTCAAATGCCCTGCCCAAGCGCCGGATTTGATATTTGATGATTTGATTGGTTTGTCTATAAAGGCAAGATCAGCTGCCCAGACTTTATACTCATTGACCGACTATTGGTTTGACTATCCAAGACCTTGTAGACCTATTTGATTTTTCCGAGCCATCTGCTCGCGAAGGAGAACTCTTTATCATTAACACCTCCATATTAAAAGATAAAAACACTTCCGGTTCAAATTCCCCACCCATCCAGGCAAGGTTCCAATACCCCAACCCCGGACATAGACGACAGTCACCTGCTCGTAGGTTACCGGAGGGGGGAGGTGTTGAAGCTTCGAACTGATAGGCGCATAAGTGAAGCCATTGATTTGACACTAACAGCGCGGAAGCGATCAGTTGATTTGTAAAGCGTTTGGTTTCAAAAAGTCTTCTACGTATGTTTATACCACTAAGACGTCAACAACGAAGTCATATTAGAATTTACTTCATCAGAAATTAGGATGAAATCAACAGCAGTCTTACTACTGTAATGCTATGTTTCATTCGTTATGATAAGAGTTACTCTAGTCTCCACGTAGCTGCACTTCTTCATCTTGGATAAACTGTTAGTTAAGAGCTGATGAATGCTCTAATCGTGTCTTGTACGTGATACCTGTCCAAATGAGATCATTTGAGAGTAATATTACTGTATGCCATAACACTTAAGTTTTCCGAGCGTATGATATCCTTCCTCGTGAGCATCGCCTGTATCACCAAACCTCAGCTGTTTAACCGGAAGATGTGTCTTGTCAGTAAGGAGACCGCTATCCTCACGCAGTACGCCGTCTTCTCTGTCACAATTACACGGATGAGCAGGGTATGGGCATGAGCTGGTCATCCCGCATGCGCACTTACCACTGCCGGGTGACGCTCCTCCCCAGTAATTCATTTTGATCGAATCCCGTGACACCCACCATCCAATACTACCTCTGAAGAACTGTGAATAACGGCACTCATAACTGATAAACTGTTCGCAGTGTGACGAGACTCTGGTGAGACTCGCCAGCTGAGAAAGACTCGCTCCGGTGTAATGAATATCACGTGAGTAACTGCCCGGGCTCTCATATCCCTTCACATGTGTTCTACTTTCGCTGTCGTGACTGATGACTGTCACGCCAACTCCACTCTTGTCATTCATATCACAGTAAACTGTAAACGGTGCAAGAGGACCCTCGCCATCGGGATCAATGACGTAATTTCCACTTGTAGTACTGACGTATTTTCGTATTACCGAACAAGAAGTCATGTTCCGTGGATTGTTAACTTTTACTTTGGTTTCAACTGTTGTCAGAGCATTAGCTGCTCTACAAGTGTAAGATCCTTCGTGTGATTTCTTGATGCTGTTTATTACCAGTGTTCCATTCTGTAGAACATTGGACCCTGCAGGTAAGGACGAACTGCCATGCTTTGTCCAAGTGATTGTAGTTTTCAAGTCACTCTCGACCACACACGGTAGGTGAACAGTTGAGCCAGCCATAGGAGTCATTTTTTTTGGGGGTCGAACTTTAAACCTCAAACGAGAAAATACCATGAGGTGAAATGTGCCTGTTGCTGATCCAAGAATATTCTCCGCCCTACAGATGTATGTTCCTCTGTCCTTCTTTGTCACGCTATAAATTGTTAGTGTTCCTTCAATGACTTCAGCTCTATCCATTGGCAAGGTTCCAAACGCCTTTGACCACGTGATTCTAGGCTGAGGCTGACCAGTAGCACCGCAGCCGATGGTGACATTTTGTTCTTCCTCAGCCAACTCTTCGTTAGATGACAAAATGATCTCAGGAGCGACTGTAAATGATATAACAAAAAATTTTTCAATTGATATTTCCTTTTTCTAATTTATTTTATTTATTTTGCGTCACCTGCCTTATCGGCGCTTTTGTTATTCTTCTTTTTTTTTACCCAAAATAAGGGGGGGCCCTAGATCCGCCACTGAATAGAGCAAAATAGCTTACTTTGAACGGTCAGTTTCGCTGAGGCGTTCACTTGTCCCAGCAGATTTTGCGCTTTGCAGGTGTAAAGTCCATCGTCCTCAGCTTTCACGTTTTTCACTACTAGAGCGCCGCTGGTCTCTAACAGGTGACGTCCAGCTGGAAGGGACGAATTCATCTTGTACCACGTGACTGCTGGCTTTGGGTCACCATTAACCGTACATTTCAACGTGGCCGTCTGAGTTTCGTTGACTGTTATTCCGACAGGACGCTCTGATAGAGATGGCGCTGAAAGCGACTGGCCTGGCTCACCTTTGGCACCTTTCACACCGGACGGACCTGACGGTCCCTGGGGTCCGGGGTCTCCCGGTTTCCCGATGTCCCCCTTCATTCCTTTCGGTCCTTGAGCTCCTACTGGCCCACGATTGCCAGGGGGTCCATATGGGCCAGGTTTCCCTGGGGAGCCCCGTTTCCCACGGGTTCCTTGTCTACCCTGTTTACCCCGCCTCCCTTGGCTTCCCTTAGGTCCGGGGCGACAAAAAGTGTAATCTTTAGCACAGACTTGGTTTTGCAGCAGACGTAGTTCTTGTTTGACCAGCATTTGTACATCAGAAGATGTTATGGTTGAATTTTGCTGTGATTCATCAGGTGAAGAGCGTTTTGGTCGTTTTGGGTTAGCTTCCTTTCCATCTAAAAAATAGAAGACTTCAATTTTTTAAAAGTCGGCCGTGCTTGCTTCGCCAATTATCAAACAGAATTACTCCTGATGATAGGTTAAGGTCAATTATCCCAGTCTGAAATATGTAGTCTCGATACTTAAGTTTATAGAACTCAAAAATCAAATAACATTGATAACAATAATAATAAAGCAATAAAGTCGAGTTTTCTAAATTTAATTTTTTGAAACATTCTCCAAGGAGCCTCGCAGTTTTTTTTTCTCGGAACACATAGATACACTGCATCAGTATTAACTGCTGTTGTGTCGCATCAACAATTTATAATGCCTTGGTCCCACTTTGAAACACCCGTCGCACTTTGTATTAACAATTGTCGCACTTTGTGATAAAAAAGCTGTTGATCTTTTCAACGACCTTTTTATACATTGATAAAGTTATCAAAACATGCACCATCCAGTAATGAAATAAAAGAATACCAAGTTACCTTGAGTCGTTCGCCATGTACTCCCCGGTTCCTCCTCTTTATTGCGCCATCTCATATCATTTTGCTGAATTTTTCGGAAGATTTCTGTCTCCAGCTTGTTAAATAACTCTGACGAGTCTAATATCAGACGATGATTTTCTTGTATCCTGAGTTGGTGGTGAATTAGCGCGATAAAACACAAAAGAAACAGAAGCAAGCCTGACCCGGAGGACAGGCGGTCTTGTGTCTGTCTTCTGTTTCTCTGCTTGTCTGCTTTCTCTGTTTCTTTCATCTTTACAAACTTCATAAAAAATTTTTGGGAATCGAGCAGATTTAGAGGGAGGCTTTTACCTGACCTGATCAGTTTCCTGCAAACGGTTCTCTTGGGCTCAGGTAGAGTTTAACTGTCGTAGGAAATTGAGCTCACCGATATTTTTATCACTGAGGACGCAAAGTCGCTTACATTGACTTCCGTTAGTGCTGTAGTATTTTGTGCGTCGAAAAACAATGACGTCTTCAACTTACAAAGAGTTCATGTTCCAGTAAGACGTGAAGTTTATTCAATATTATCTGAAATGAATGCAAACCTATCTCCTCAGACCAGAAAATTAGAGTTCTCTGTTTTACACGTATCAGAAACAATTCTCTGATGCGACATTATTCGCTCAGACAGACTATAAGTTCATCGCCTGCAGAAAGTTCGTGCCGGTTTGAGTATAGCCAAGGGGAACATTATTTAGTGCTATCATATATACATGAGCTCAAAAATTCTTCTAGAAACTGGAGACAAATTTAAAGTTCTCTGTTCCAAGTTTTCCAAGCGTCACAACAACAATTTCCTGACGCTGCAATATTTAGCGCGCACAGAAAGATGATATTCCCTTCGCATGCAGTAAGTTGGTGTTTGAGTATGACGGGAAGTTTATTATTACCTTAAAGGAAGTCAAACGTACGTTTCAACCTTTGTTTTAAGCCTTTTATTTCTATTCTTCATGTAACAAAAAAAGTTTCTTCTTTGCGTTCCTTAATTCTTTAAATTTCTGTTCATTTGCTTTACTTGCCGTCCTAATCGTTGCTTCATTCACTACATGCGAGAGAAATCAAGACAACATCACAAGGTTTGTTTTTCATTTTACGCATCTATCCAGAGACATTTAGCGGGGTGGAGCTTTAAACCGCAGACGAAGAAAAGAGCTGAACTGTGTCTGCTGCTAAATATTACCACTGCTGCTGCTAATCTCAGAATATTCTTTGCCCTACGGATGTATGATCCTCTTTGTCACGCTATTAATTGTCAGTGTTTCGTTAATGACTTCAGCTCTATCCAGTGACCTGAATGAAACAAACAAACAAAAAATCTGATCAGAAGATGCATGCACACTGACGGAATTAATTTTTAAGCGAAAAAAGAGTTAGGGACGGACCATCATTTTTCTGAAGGGGGGTATGAGAAATTTTCTTATGCAAACCGTGATTTTTTTTAAACGTATGCGTCTCCGCAAACATTTTTTTCCAACATCATCTTAGTGCAAACCACAATTTTTTCCATTTTTTTCTCAGTGTTCCTTTTATTTTTGCTAAATATTACCATTACCTTATTAAACTATTCTACGAAGAATGTAATCAATAGTTCTATAGCCACTTATTTTGTCGATATACGCTCTAATCACCATTTAAATTTTTTTGGCAGCTACTGACGCAAACAAAGGGCATACGACAGGAAGTAGGAAAAGGAAGTAGCAGGCGTTTTTCGCGATTCCACAGTACCGAAGTCCTGATACTCTTTGATAATGTTTCCACAGGCCGTCATACTCGTACCACCCGGCCTGTGGTACCTAGGGCGAAGACGGGCACATTGCTGATTTTAAATGATTGCCTTTGCCATAGGTCACTCCAAATAACTTTAAAGTAGCAATGATAAATATAGCCAAGATTGAAGAATGTGATTTGTTTAATACAGTTTTGAGAAAAATACCTGATAAATGAAGTTTTGTAGTGGGACAAAGTGTTGACAAGTAACGTTGAGATTTAATTGCCACAATAAATTCCCATCTTTTCAAGAAATATTCAGCTATTTTCAGATTTGTTATTTGCTTAATATAGAGTGACCACTTTTTAGTGCCCAAATTGAGTTAATTTTTATACTAATGCTTCAATTTGTTACTTATTTTTTAATTTCGGTTTGGTAATAACATTTTTTAATTTTTACCTGACTTTTTTGCAAACATTTTACCTTTACCTTTACCCTATCACGTTTGCAGCAATCTATTTTGTCTTTTCAGACCCTGCTAAAAGTTTTTTTTCAATATTTCTTATACCCTCCTCAAAAAAAGTAATGGTCCGTCCCTTACTTTGAATAGAAGTGCACCTGTTACCCAACCCCACCCCCCACGCTAACGATCTTCCATGTAAACCGACGGACTGTGTTTCATTAGAGTTGAACCTCATGTTTGTTGACATAATGTTTATGTATTAGTTTTTTACGTAGAAAATGTCCCAACATCGGTTTAAAGTATCAAAGGCCAATGCTGATGGGGCAGAAAATACAAAAGAAACTTTCCGACGGGTGAATCTGTCAACAGATATTGAAGTGAATATCATCGAACCGTGTAAGGATTTTTTTTTTTGCGCCAAGAGAGGGTTCAAACCGATTGAATGACCACGTGTGCCATACTAACTTTACAATGTTTTTTTCACACTTCACTGGTTTAGGTTAATTTTTTTGAAACCTTTGCCTTTCAATTGAACCCTGGAACTTTTTAGACAAACCGAAATCTAGCAAAGGAAATCTAGATAAATATCAGTCGAACTTGATGTTTTACCGCATGCAAACGAAACGTGCGTATTTAATTTTTCACTCACAGCCCCCGAGAGAAAAGATAGGAAGAAATCAAGCATTTTGACCGGAAAGGCTGGAAATTTAGCATTGTACGAGGTAACTGTAGTAGGCTTTCTTTGACTGAACCGAAAGTTGTTTTTGTTCTGACTTCATTATTCTCGCACCGTGTGCTTGCTGATCATTTTAAACACCTACCTTTTCTGATCTTTTATCTCCTCGTGCGCGCAGGATGAGCTTCACAAACGACCAAGGATTTCGACGCTTTTAGATAGTTTGTCGAGGTACGAAGCTGTTGCATCTCCGCAACAAGATGACGATGAAGGAGAAGCGAAAGCGGCTACGACTAGTCAGGTACGATATTCATATAAAAATATTTCAAACAGAGTGTGTTACTGCTATGTTGAATGGCCAATTACTTACTAATCAGTGAGTCCTCAACGGTTTATGCAAATTCGTTTTGGTTTTGGAAGCGTACTAAATTATTTATACTAAACTTTGTTTTGATCGGTTGAAAGTTTGAATCATTTTTTGTCTTAAGTACATAATCCAAATTTATTGAAATTGAAGGAGGTCAAAGACTCTCAACCTTTTAAATAAAACACAATGAACTTAAACCGCCATGTTTTGTCTCACTGTTTTGACAGATGTAAACATACTGCAACAGAAAATAATCCTATTTTCATTATTTAAAGCGCGTCTGCGGGAGTCTAACATAATTTGAATCAACTGTAACGGTCTTAGACATTTTCTACAACACATTGCGGCTTTATTCATGAACATATTCTTGATGCAATAAGGGATTAAATTTTCGGAGTGAAAGTGGAATGTGAATAAAAGTGAAGAGGAGTGATCCGGTCCTTACTGTACTTTAGCACTTGGGTTTTCATTTGGTATATGATCATTTCACGCTTGGAAAGTTCTGCGATCTGAAATTTTACCTATTTGCTTAATGGGGAATTTCCATCGAGAGTCTGAAGTAAATCCAGGATTGTTTTTCTGGCTTCTTCTCAGAGTACTCAACAATAACTTTGGTATCAGTGGGGTATACGATTATTTGAACTAGGGGGGCATTCAATGTTTTACTTATTGGCTCCAATAGGTTTGTTTTGTTTTTCTTTTTTTTTTAACGTTATTTTAACTATCATCATTTTTTAAAAATATATCATTAAATCATCAAATGGGGAGGGAAAGTGGCATGAATTATAGAACCTTCCATCCTCCTGAGCTTAAGCACTTCAAAAAGATTATTTGTGGTCTGATGACTATCTTATAGTTAAAAGTATTATCCTGTAAAACCTCTAACCTCCCCAGAGTTTTAATTAGGGATGTTAAGCAAACCACAACGGTGACAGCAATGAGGATGTGGCAAAACAAAAGATCTAATTGGCAGAATAATAGCTGAGCAACTTTGTTGTCCTCTGCTAAACAATAAAGCAAAATCACCAAAATTTGCACAGTCTGAGAGCAGAAACCCTGACAGCAAATTATTAAAGTTCCTCTTCAGAACTCAATGCTGCTCATATCCATTACACAGAAGTTAGATTTAGGATGGTAAACATCCAGACATTGGTGAAATCCAATAATACAAATTTATTTTTTAATCCACATTTTGCTCAGCATTGCTGTCCTGACTGCTTAAGGTCCCTAATGACTTCTTCACCGGCTGTCTGGGGTGGTGGGTTAGGGCGTTCCTTTACTGTGAACCACCTATAGAAATCAATTTTATTGCCCTCTGTGGAACCTGGCAGCTATAGGAATTTGTTATCTGTTAGGCATTCCTATGTATGCCAGCTCCTCCACATTACCCAGGATCTAGGGGTCTACTTGAGACAACCAATCCAAAACATTCCCTTCTTCATTTTTTAACTCAAGTACAAGCTCAAAAACATAGGGGATTATTATTTTAAGGTATAAATTATTTGTTGATATTACAGTACTGGTTGCATTACTAAGAATCAGAAATATCTAAAAGTGTTTGATTAGTAGTCAATGATAGGTGATGATTAATAGCTTAGCTTTCTCCTGAAACTTGGACTATATCTTCTGAAACATGGCTCAAATTTTGCAGGTCACAAAGATGGGTACACTTATGGGTGTGTACCTACCAACCATCCAGAACATTTTTGGTGTTATCCTGTTCATCCGTTTATCTTGGATTGTAGGAATAGCAGGAACATTTCAAGCATTTTTCATTGTGTTCATTTGCTGCTGTTGTGTAAGCAGTAATCCTTATCCCTTTAACTCCAAAGATCTGATTGTTCATTCTTCCCTCTAGCTGTTACACATTTCCTAGTAAATTAGTTACGAGAATTTGGTATTAGATCTAGATAACAGCTTCTACTTGATACATTTGAGTATTCTCATTACCTGTTTGCTGGATAGTTTATCAATATTATAGGGAGAAGTTACATGTGAATCACTTCTGGGAGTTAAAGGGTTAAGGAACCATGCCTTCTCCTCTATTTTCTTAATGAAGTGAATTTTGAACATTGTTGTAAAGATTTTGCTTGCTAGGGTAAACAAATCTAAAAGAGAGAAAAGATAAGGATGGTTCAGATTAATATCTGAATTAAAATTTTGAGGAACTTGAAAGGTGGGTGCTAAATTGAAGCTGATACAGGCTCTAATATGATGAAAACAAAGATAGCATGTTGTGGTGATTGGATGATAATGCCAAAGCCAAAAAAATAAACTTTACATTTAGATGTACAAATGTAATTTCCAAAAACCACTAACTAATACCCCTTAAGGCTTTTTTGATTTGAGGTTCTAGCCTACTATTTACAAGGCGAGTTCATGTCATATGAGAAGTGTGTTAAACAGTCTTGGTTAAATAATTGAAGATGTTGATTACCATAAGTGAAGATGCTTTAGTTAAGAATCAAAGTCATTCTTGCAGGAGGTAGTAAAGATTGTTTCCCAACTTTTCTTAAGTTGTTGGCTTTCAAGTTTTTATGTATGTTGATTACATTTATTATTTTCTTTAACTTGTAATAAATTAGGTACAACACTTTTGCTTTGTAGACGATGTTGACAGCCATCTCAATGAGTGCCATAGCTACAAATGGAGTTGTTCCAGGTAAAATGTTTCCTAACCTATTTCAAATCTGCCCTGAGATTATTGAATGTATAGCCTGAGGGAAACCTGTACTATAGGAGAACCCAGTAATCAACTTATGAAATGTATGTACTTGTCACAAAATTAATTGAAAGAAATAAGATGTGAAGGTTTTTTATTAATTTCATAATTTTCAGCTGGGGGAGCTTATTTTATGATTTCACGTGCTCTTGGTCCTGAATTTGGTGGAGCTGTTGGGCTTCTGTTTTATCTGGGAACCACTTTTGCTTCCTCAATGTACATCCTTGGTGCTATAGAAATACTTCTGGTAAGTTACTAGACACTGTTAATATAGTCAGTAAATATCCAACTTGACAAAATTGTCAAAATATCTTCACTGCCAAAAATTTGACTCTCTTTGGGTTCATGTATGAAAACACAGATCTTTTGAGAGCTTTACAAAACAGAGTTTTATATCTTGTAACATTAAAATAGACCCTGGAGATTTTCTTGGAAGGAGAGACCAGTTGAACTAAAAAGGTCTCTTCTTAATTTCTTCCTTTTTCTTCAATTTGTCTCAGTTATTAATAAAGATCTGAGTTTCCTAGTTGTAAGATAGGGAAAGCAGTGTCCAAAGAAACCCAAACTGTGATTAAAGCATTAATTATGACATAAGAGTTGCAAATGTGAGCTGGTTCCACTCAATGTTTTGGGTTATAACTTAAATCTGTAGATAATGTAATTAAGGAATCACTACTCCAAATACAAGTCCATGTTGTTGCTATTTTTCTCTGTAGACATACATGGCTCCATCAATGTCTCTCTTTGGAGATGTGAGATCAGGAGGTGGTGCACAGTCTCCAGTGATGCTAAACAACATGAGGGTGTATGGCTCCATCTTGTTGGTTTTACTTATTGCAGTGGTTTTTATTGGTGTCAAGTATGTCAACAAATGTGCCTCTCTGTTTCTGGCCTGTGTGTTGTTTTCCATCTTGGCCATCTACCTCGGATTCTTTTCTGCACATGCTCGAGAAATGCCCAGGTGAGGAAAAATGTGTCCTCATCATTCAGTGAAACTTTCCTTGGGTGCTGAGTTGGCCATTCTTATTCATAGTAGTTTGATAACAAAGTTAACAAAATCTGTAAGTATGGAGCTAGTCCTGGGCTTAAATAATTAGTACAGTTTTTCTTGATTTAAACCCCTCTTTATATTAGGGCTTTTGATTTCCATGAAACTTGCATTTGATTTGCATATTCTCACCAGTTTTGCTCCAGTCACTTTGGAAAAAATCTTTTTCTATAAAAAATTTCCATGGCAATAAGATTTCTTCAAACATTTGCATGACTGGCCAGCTGGTTAAGGTCTATGCCTTTCTTTCCCTCAATCTACAGAGTCTGTAAATCAAATTTAGATTCTGAATTTTCCAGGTGCTGAAGATTAAAATCTCTTTATCTTTGCAGGATCTGTTTGTTGGGTAACAAGTTATTAGCTAGTAACAGTTATCATGAGTGTGCAAGGAATGATACATTACTAAATGCAACATATGGAAATGATGAGACATTCTGGAGTAAAAATCCTCTGAGCTACGTGATTGGAGTGCCGGGCATTCCTAGTGGGCTTTTTTTCGGTAAGGTAATTTTAATTTGTTGGCTGAACAACTCATTCAATCATTCTGTTTGTTCATGTGTTCATTTGTTTAATCACTCATTCATTCACTCTTCCATTCCTTTGTTTGTTGTTCCAGTGTTCATTCCATAATTCTTTTATAAATTTAACTGTTTTCTTAAATGATAGTTTTTTTAGTTTTATTGCTATTTGAAATAAAATATAATTACATATTAAGTAGGATGGGTGCACTGTGGAGTATGGATAAAAAGTTGGTCATGCTTAGAGCCCAGATCAGGTTATTATGTTGTGTTTTTGTGCAAGATGCTTTTCCGCTCACAGTGCCTCCCACCCATGAGTACATATATGTTATTTGTTGGGCAGGGAGTCCTTATGTGAAAAAACTGTTCCCTTGGTCTTGGCCTGAGGTAAAAGTGCTAAGAGCCTTAATCAAGACCAAGGGCATGGTTTTTTCCCCTTATGGACTGACCTTAAGACTGGTAAACAACTTATTTTTTGCTGGTTTTCTTCTTTTTTCTTTAATCTGGTGCTAAAGGTATAGTAAAACTCTGCACCATGGTCCATATTGATAAAATATTGACTGGTTGTGAGTGGGCTATTAGAGAACCAGACTTGAAGATTTGAGATTCCAGCCCATATGAGACACTTCAGAAGAAAAGAAACTTAAGTCCTAATGAATTATCAATTTTCTGACAAGATACATAAGGGTAACCTGAAATGGACTAGCTCCCCATCCAGGGGAGAGTAACAACAACTGTGTCGGAACCAGGATGAACTCTGGAAGTCTGGGGTCAGATTTAATATTTATTACACTTCTGTTATAAATGATTTTTAGATAATTGGAACAGTCAATATCTAGAGAAGGATGAAGTTTCTTTTGGTGTCAAGGCTGGTGAATATCAGGGAGAAGTGAGATCAGATATCTCCACATCTTTTTTCATTCTCCTGGCAATTTTCTTTCCATCTGTCACTGGTAGGTAACTCAGAGATTATCTGTTATTTTGTTAGCTAAATTAAGGTGTGATATACAAACATCCTGTCTCTAATTTGCCCCATGATTGTTTCAAAGGTATCATGGCAGGGTCCAACAGGTCTGGTGACTTGAAGGATGCACAACAGTCTATTCCTAAGGGCACAATAACGGCCATAACAACTACATCTGTAGTCTGTATCCTTCACGTATAATATTTGGGTAACATGTTAAGTTCCAAAGATCCAAAAGCTGAATCTCTTTGCTGATGATCATGGATTTCTTTGTGGATTGGTGCTGAGAATTTGGTGACTGAAGCGTAAACAATAGTTTTCCTCTCTTTCAGCACTGAGATTCGACTATATATACTTATAGGTCATATCACTTGCTATGTAAATGTAACAGCTACTGAATACAAAAAAAAAAAGCGGCTCTGATTACCCACAAACAAGTGGGCTCCTCTACTGGAAGGCTTAGCCTTTCGTTACTTGGCAATGCATAGGCGTTTTTGTTGTGATTGTAAATAATTACTGCACCCTGACAAAGTTTGAAGATCTCACCTCAGTATTACTGTTTGGAGCAACAGTACAGGGCGACTTACTCAGAGATAAGTACGTTTTACTATGAATTTTACTCCATAAAATATGATTTTACAAACTTATTCAACTTCACGTGAAGTGTTGTAAAGCGGGAATCAACTTTTAAGGGACAAACTCAAGACTAAAGCAAAATGTCCCACGAATGGATAGTTGTTATAGGAGCGTTTTTGTCACTTGATTGGACGAGGTACCACCTGAAAAAAGTCCCCATGTGAAAGAGAGCTCCCACTTTAACCGTCAGTGAAGAGAGTTAAGAGCTGCAGCTTCAGGTTTGGTCAAAAAGGACTTTTTCTTTAAGAAATTTGTAGGATTTTTTAAGATGATCTGCTCTTTACTCATGAAATCAAATTAACGGTGTTTCATTCGGGTGCATCCTCGTCAATTAACAATAAAAACAATGTTTCTGTTGTCATACCTTTCCGCTTGGTGTCCCGTTCTTTCCAGATTCGGTCGTAGTATCAATAGTGTTATGGTTGTTGCTGAGATCGCCTGGCCTCCCACGAAATGGGTGATTCTAATTGGTTCATTTCTATCCACTGTGGGAGCAGGAATGCAGAGTTTAACAGGGTGAGTAGGTTCCTGACCTTATTGGAATCTTAAAAACGAAATTAGTACGAGGCCACACCTCAAGTGTTAGCTCTTTGCCATCAAAAACAGCCAAAATGTTGAGTAGCAAAATTTCCCTCCAAGGTTATAGAGTATGGCATGGCTTAGATGGTCATGCAGCGCAAAGACCCGTTTGATGGAAAGGTGCCTGTTCATTTTTTTTTTCAGAATCACCTCTATATATTCTCTATATATTTTCACTAACTACCCCATTAATCTTTGCAGTGCACCCCGGCTGTTGCAAGCTATTGCCAGAGACAATCTGATTCCATTTCTGAATGTTTTTGCTCATGGTTCTAAGTCTGGTGAGCCAACTCGTGCCTTGGCTCTTACAGCTTGTATTTCAGAAATTGGAATTCTGATTGCCAACTTGGACTCAGTTGCGCCCATTATAACAATGTGAGTGCATGCGCGGTTTGATAAAAACCGGAATTTTCATTTTTGTGTCGAGAGTAATCCGTGATTGCATTGACTTTGGTCAAGAGAGGATAAAATCACTTAATCATCTTTTGCTTTGGTGTACTTAGCTCTGTGATCTGTCCAGAACACTCATTTCATCCTTTCAATTTCTTACAATTTCCATGCATTATCTAGAAAACAGGTGATGGAAACAAACAACCTCATTAGTTTTCGGGTAGAGCACCACTTTCGCTCCACTGATTTACGAGAAAATTTAAACGAGCCAGAAAGGAGAATTGCTGTCTTAGGAGTAAAGTTGTCAATTCAAAATAGTCAGTTTTGTAATGTTTCTTTTCTTTTGTCGCTCAGGTTCTTCTTGATGTGCTATGGATTCGTCAACTTGGCTTGTGTGTTACAATCGTTGCTTAGGACACCAAACTGGAGACCGCGATTTAAGTATTACCACTGGTATGGTGAACTAGGGGATAACCATTAATTGATTTAATAGTTTATGGTCTCTGGCTCTCAACGAATTTGTTGTTAGCAAATAAATTTCCTCCCATGCCTCTGGTATTGCTCTTTTACCCGCTATAGGCGCATACAAATGTTTGAAAGTGTGAGTAGGTCGAACTGTTGTCAACCCTCACAGTACCTCTTCCCATCTAGGATAAAACTGGGTACTATAGCGCTTTTGAGGAAGTCTACTGAACTTTGGGATAAATTACGATGAGCTTCGTGCCATACTAGCAGCTATGAACCGTTTTTTGCACTCGTCACCTTTTAAATGCACATCGTTTATTGCCTGGCTAGGTGTGCGTCGTTCCTGGGAATGTGGTTGTGTATGGCTTTGATGTTCATCTCCAGCTGGTACTATGCTCTTGTTGCTATTACACTAGCAGCTGCTATTTACAAGTACATTGAATACCAAGGGTAAGGATATTTTGCTGTTGGCTCGTGCGAGGTTTCTATCTTACTAAGGGTTTATATGTTAACTGATTAGCGACAAAAATGCACGTATCGCATTTTCCTTTAGATCTACATCATTGAATTTTCAGTTCTTTTTTCCTGTCTTTAAAAACTTTGAAAGGTTTTGTTGATTGGAATGAAACCACGAAACAACGAAGTGGGATAGTCGACAATCACCAAGGAAACAAACATTTAGAAAAAGAGAGCAATGTTGGATAAGGGTTGATTAGATTTGTACGGATTGCAGATGATGAACGTAACAAACTGTGGTTAAAATTTGTCAAGATTCACAAACCGGGACCAATCCTCTTAAAGGTTACGTGACTGGCAGCTCCCCAGCCAATTAACTGAGCTTCATTCATGTTGTAAGACCCAATCTCCCGACACTCTCAGTTCACTGCATAAATGTGGCTTAAAAACACATGTCAGTAAAGTGTGTAAAGTGTAGAGTGTAAAGTCAGTGGTTCTTTCGACTGCCTTGGTCCAAATGAAATTTTGGTTTATGTCACTGTTGCGAAATTCATATCAGACGTTAAATTCGATAGCGCAAAGATTGAGTGGGGAGACGGATTCAGGGGACTGGCGCTGAGCGCAGCTAGGTACAGCCTGATGAGGCTGGAAGAGGGTCCACCGCACACCAAGAATTGGAGGTTAGTCACGTGGCTTGTTTATTGATCTAGACAAGCTCTCTAAAGTTTTGTGTTAGTAGAAACCTTTTCTATTCTATTCTCTCTTTCAACAGACCTCAAATTCTTGTGCTCTGCCCCCTGAAGGAGACTTTAGAACCTGAATTCAGACGCCTTTTAAGCCTGGCGAGCCAACTTAAACACGGTGAATACCTTTGTGGACTTATGTTTTGTAGTCGTTTTAATAAATTATTATTACTTCCTATTTGAGAGGGATGGTGTTTTCACGAATCTGGAAGACGAGAAGAATCTAAAGTGAAGACATTTACCCTCTGTGATCTCAGTCTAAGTATAAAGTTAAAATTGTCTTTACTTAGAGCGGTATTTTTTTAGGACGTGGTCTTACAATCGTTGGATCCATTCTGGAAGGAGACTTTAAAGAAAGAACAGAAGATGTTGCTTTGGCAAAGGAGGTGAGGGGTAGATTTAGGTATTGGCTGATCTCCAAATGCTTAGAGCTAATATTATGATAAAATACCGATGGCAGACAGAGCGGAGAATTCAATGATTTAGATGCTTAAAACTTTAGGGTGAAAAGGTTTTAGGGACCACTTTGCGACAATCATCTTCATGGAGAAAGATCTTTTTTTCGTCTTGTCGCGAGTGTGGGACAAAGAAAAAATTCAGAGTCCCCATGAGGAATCGAACCTCAGACCATCGGATATACATGGCGGACGAAACGTCATATCATTCGTACTTTCCTGCCACCGCAGCAAGATTTGTCAAAAAGATCAGAACGTTTCTAAACTAACCTTGAGTCAGAAGTCTTTTTATGTTTTCAGAAAAGATAGGCAGTGCAAATTTATATTTTTATTGAGCCCAAGTTTAGACCTGATAAACATCATCTCTGTACGGGCTCTCGAAGCAATGAAAGTAGCCGGCAAAACCTTGCAGAGAAGCCGGCGTACTTCGCCGGCTGCCGTCTCTTATCTTCAACCCTGCATTATCAATCACGCCGTGTGGTGAATGTACACCTTTGAATTTAACGAGAAAGAAAACAACAATCATGCACACAAACAAACAGGAAAACCGGATTAGTTTTGTCCTGAATATAACTCTAGTAAAGAGTACTATTTTTTGGTGACATTCTAACAATCGGTAGGTTTTACAAGGCTGTATGAAAGAAGAAAAAGTTAGAGGTTTTCTGAAGGTGATCGTGGCAACCAAAGTAACAGAGGGGATTTCTTTCTTGTAAGTATAAGAACCGCTTTTTTTGCTTCCTTTCCTCGGTTTCCCCTTTTTCTGTCCATTTGATTTTAAAAATCAGGTTGCATGAGAATTCACCATCTTTTATTAACACTTTCAAATTTGAACGAACATCAACCAGGTGTAACTAGATCATTATTTTAGCGATAGTTAATTGGTTTTCCTAACCAGATTCCCGCCAGGTCCGAACGATTTAAACCTCTGCTTCAGTGTTTGTTTTTTTTACCGATTCAAGATAGTATACTTCTCCTTCAGGACGCAGAGTTCCGGCCTTGGAGGCTTAGAACCTAATACCTTGATGATCACATGGCCCGAAAACTGGCGGGAAAAAGCGCAGTGGAAGAGCTTTGTCCGTAAGTAAAACAAAAGAAACTCGTTGGAAACTTAATTTGTTTTTCATTCTTTAAAGGTTCAACCCATACCCATTCATTCATTGAACAAGTCTTGTAGTGACTTAAATTATTGTTAGAGAGGGCATAGTTTTGGCGAGATATGATTAAAAATACTTCTTGAAAGAGAGGTCGTGCAGTTAACGTTGGTTTCCTTTCTTACGTTCTGGACCTTTTGTGACGCTCAGAAAATCCTCACCTCTTCGCTTTCAACAGATTTTAGCTTTAGTAGCTTGTTTTATCTCGAGCACTGATGGGTCATTTCTTATGTTTGTGCTAGTGGTGACCGACTGGGTCAGGGTGATTAACTCGGCTCCTTGTTCCGGTACCTGAAATGATTGTTGAGAACCCTTTTCGAATGACCCCCCATAAATTGAACCCGAAGTGTTCACATCGGAATAAAGAAAGATACCTCTATTGGCCAATGGAAATTCATATTAAACACATGCGAACTGCCTTAGACGCCGTGAAGCGCGTGAAAATGCTCTCGACTAAGTCGCAATTGGTTTTAGTTGGCGCAAGTTTTCTGGATCGATCAGAAAGCGCAGTTTCGAAAAACCAAATGAATGTAACAATAGATTACTTTCGAAATTCAACTGAAACTGCCATATCCTCTTTAAACTACAGATACCATCCGATCCGTATCCAAGAGCCAACAAGCCGTACTTGTTGCCCGTAAAATAGACTCGTTCCCCAGCAACACAGAACGCTTAGAAGGCAATGTGGACGTGTGGTGGATAGTTCATGACGGTGGTTTAATGATCCTGATCCTCTTCCTCTTAAAACAGCATAAAGTTTGGAGGAAGTGTAATCTTAGGATTTTTACCGTAGCACGTATCCTTTGTCCATTTGGTGGTCTATAAAGGGAAAAACGGCTTGAAAACACATTTTAAAACTGTCAAGTCCTGCGAAATAGAGTAATGCTTCTCATAGCTTAAGATGGGGTTTAAGTGATCTAAAAGGGGAAAAAAAAACACTGTGCCTATGTGAATAACTCAGTGGTAACACGGGTTGGACGGAGTGCCAGGAAGTCTCGGGAACTTGTGGTGGTATTTGGGTAAGATGCTTTTGCTGAGGTGTATTATCTCATAGCGGAGCTCGCAGAGCGTAGCCCCATAATTATACAAAATAGTAGTAACCCATCAAGCCGAAAAAATTTGGATATACGACCGTACGACCGTACAAGGTGCTACTTTTAACATGCGTGGTCAACTGTACCGCGGGCACGCCAACGCCACGGCTTTGTTCAGTAGTCCAGTGGTCTGTGCACTGGGCTCCGAGTCGGACGACCCGAGTTCTAGTCCTGGCCGGGGCAAGGCGTTGTGCCCTTGAGACGTGCGGGAAAAAAAATGCGAGGGAAATCAGTTTTCAAGAAAAGAGGGAAGGTGGGTTGTAGAGCAGAACGTAATAGAGCCGTTGTGATAGTCAAATCGTATACCTAAAAGGAAAAAGGGAACTTAAAAAAATGGTAGAGAAAGAAAAGGAAATTGTAGACTGTATAAGAGGGGTACGAAGAGACTGAATTTTTTATATTTAATATTAATATTTGAATATTTAGCCCTTAATATCAGTGTCTTACGCATTGTTTCTGTGTTCCTATGGTGATCATTTTCCAAGAGTTCTGATTCGATTTGACGTCTGCTTTGTTTAAATGTCTTGTAAAGTTTTCTTAACCAAACGAATGTAGAACTCGAGGACAACAGCATTCAAATGAAGAAGGATCTGGAGTCATTTATGTACCAACTGAGAATCAAGGCACAAGTGGAAGTCATTGAAATGGTCTGTAAACCAGTTTTAAAATGTTATCAACGGTCGCTTTGATCTCATTGCTTCTTCTTGTCATGGGTCGATAGAAAAGATCGCAAGAAAAATTGTTCCTTGTGTCAGGAGAGTAGGTGGCTCAAATGATGGTACTTAAATTGTCAATTTAATTCCACTCATATCGTTAGGGAACTGATAGACAGAAATAGTGCGTATTGTTTCACTGCGGTACGAACGTGTACCTCTAGTCATACAAATGCCTTTGATTTGAAATTTACATTTCAGCCCCAGCTGAAATAACGCCTGATTAAGTGTGAAACAACATAATGGACTAAAATGTGCCGGTTGTTTGGCTTCTAGAATAAATTTCCCCGAAGTTTTTTTTCAATATTTGGTGGTTGCAGTTTTCATTCATTATGAAAGATGAAAGATGAACTGTAGAATTCCGTTTTCTCGAGCTCACCTTTTTTCCGAAACTCTCGATCATTAATTCGAACCTAATACCGCTTCCCTCCCTAAATCAATCACCGCAATCTACACACCCTGCCATCTCCCGCGGACTTTACGAATCCTCTGGTAGCATACCGATTAATTTCGGCCTAAAGGTTGCAAAAATTTAGGATTGCACTGTAATAACGTTTTCTACATTTCAGATGGACCAAGATATCTCGGAATACACTTACGAACGCACGTTATTGATGGAACAAAGGCATCAAATGTTACGTGAGATGCACTTGTCTAGAAAAGAAAGCAAACGTGAAATTCAAGACGTTGTGGAACATTCTTACCGGAGGCGATCTTTGTCCGGAAGACGGTCAAATTTCGATTATAAAACTGGCAAAGAATCGGAGAACACGAGTAACTTTGGCAAGGAGTCGCATTCTGACGAACAGGGTTCGAGTTCATCCAAAAAAAACACGAAGATTTCTGAGAAACCCTCGATTCAAAGCGACGAAGGCACAAAAGGAGTCGAGGTGGATAAGAACAAAACAAACATTGTACATAGTTCTACTCCAGAACGTGACTTGATCTTTACGTTAAGTGGCAAGGACGTTTTTGTGGATAAAAATACAGACAGCGATAAAGAGACACAGCCAGGAATCGCTTCATATACAAATGACGGCCAAAGTGCAGAGGATGGAAAAGAAAGTTTGAGAGGAACACCGTAAGTATCTTTTTCACAATACATAACAAAATGCTCTATTTCTTTGTTGTTAGGGAATTTTAGGCTTCTTCTTCGTATTTGTCATGATTTCGAGTGAGACAATGTTCGGGTCTGTGGTGTATTCATCACATAGTGCCTATTGCTCAAAAGTAGGTTAGAGAGGAAACATTAAATTTCATACAAACCTTGCTGTCTGATTTTAGTCGATTTTTGCACCCAAGTCTAAATATGTGCATTAGCAATTGAGAAAAATCAGAGTTCATTTTGGCTGTTTGCAGTTGGCCATTGCCGTAGACATCCTGCTGAAAATTACTTTAAAAAAAAAAGTTTGGATCTTTTTTCATGCTTATCTTATCTTGCTTGCGACGTTGTTTTGTAGGAAGGAGAAGAATCTGCAACGAATGAACACAGCAGTGAAACTGAATCAGCTTGTAAAAGACAGATCAACAGGAACTCAACTTCTCGTTGTCAACTTACCTGGAGCACCCGCAGAGGAGAACGATTGGCTACACTGTATCCTCTTTCGTGGTTGCTGCTGTTGTTTTTGTTTTTTTTTTCTCATCTTAAATGTGATTGAATTTCTTTTAACAGGTTTTTGAAGTAGAAGACCTTCATTACCCTCAGGTCAAGTTTCAGCGATTCCTGTTATCCAATGTTAGAACTTATCATAAGGGCACATGTCTTTTTCAAATCCAAGTCTTGCACGCGCACGCGAAACCCACACTGCTACGGCTTGGCGAGTTTTCTTTCGCACACTTGGTGCTTCCCTCATCCGGGTAGGATAGGATTGGCAGGACTTTTGTTTAATCCTGGTTAGAGAGACTTTCTGAGAGATACCACTCCTCTACAAAACAATGACCTCGGCCGGGTTTCAAATCCGGGCATTTCTCTTTGGAGTCCAGCGCTCTAACATCCTATCTTTACGGAAATTTTGTGAAGGGGCTACATCTTTTAGTGATTTTATGTATTCTCCGTTGATATAAAATTAATATGTCGGTAAACAAGAATTATTTAAAAACATTGTTTGAGATTCTCTTCATCCAAAAAAAATTGCGTTGACTTACGACTTCAGTTCTAAATTTACCGTAAACGGTCTGTTTTAAACTATCCATGATCTCACCGTGTCGGATTTTCTTTGGTATGGGTTGTTTGCGACGAAATTTTCCTTGACTATGTAACAGATATGGAGTTTCTAGACGAGTTAACGGAAGGATTGGATCGAGTGCTTATGGTGCGCGGAGGAGGACGGGAAGTCATAACCATATATTCGTGACGTCAACGTGCCTGTCTGTAGAGATTTTCTTTGCACACTTTTCGCATTGATTATGATAAAGAACAACAAACCGTTTCGATATGAGAAACACTTTGATCGGTAAAGCGTGATGTCTCTTGTAAGTCGAGTTTGATAGGAATTTAAAAATGTTATTTGATTCATCGCGACAAAGAGATTATTTTGAGCCATATTTAAGTTTTTAGAGATTTTATTTATTGCGGAATGAAAAATTAGATTTAAAAAATGATCTCTACGGTGTTTTCCACACAATGATTCAATATTGTAGTGAGATCGATTTTATTGGGAATTATCGTAACCATAGCGTTATTTGTGATTTCATAAGAAATAACTTTATCTTACTGAAGCAGTTAAAGGTATTTAAAATGTACAGACATTAAAGGAGCGTTTTTGCTTTCCACTTTTTGATTTCCCTTAACTGATTTCCACTCCAATCTTCTTGTATGCTAAAGAAATTTGCAAATGAATTCCTTTTTGATGTGGTTTTCTAAGACAGGTGAGATTGGGGCCAGGATAGTAGATGCTGAACTAGCCAAGTACATTAGGTATGAGGAGTTATATGAAAGGTTTCTTTTCATTGATGATAGGATTTGAACGTTGAGCAAGGTATTCTGCATTGATCACCGAACTATGATAGTTCTATTTACGCTCGTGCACTAGATTTTAATGCGATGTTCACTTTATGGGTTGATTTTGATGAGGATTTCCCTTTAAAATGTTTAGTTCTCCCTTCAACTTCCCTCTTGGGAAAGTTGGTTAGTCGTTTTAGCGAAGAATAAAGTAAGAAGCAAGAGAGGAAAATTGACCAAGGGAAAGTGATTTCTAGAAACCGCGGAGGCAGAGCAAGAACTGTTTGACAAAAGTTTGATCAGTTGTGCAGCATCAAAAAGGCCTGGGAACAAGTTTCATGTGCGAGTGCTGTAAAGCCTGGTTACCAAGCAAGAGGCAGATTCAAAATGGCGGGAGAAACGAATTTACGAGCTCGTTGTTTTTCTTGAGAAAAACAAAGACGTCATGCAAACTTTAGACGTTTACAAGAAAGAGGAAGGAAAGATATGGCAGCGAAAACCATCTCCTTCTCCGGAAGAGGGGTGAGATTTTCTTGATGTGATGTTTATTACACTGGAATCACAATTTGCAAATAGTGTCTATTTTGACTGCTGTTTCGATCCCTCACAGTTTGGTAGTCTGCATCAGTCATTCCACAACAAGTGCTTTCTCGTTACAAGGAAGAAATATCCGATTCCTTCGAACGGCGTTCAGTTCAACTGGTGAAGCCTTTGCAGCTGGTGACCACCAGGGAAATATTTTTGTCTTTGATTTAATCAAAAATAGGTGCGTTTAATGATTCATCAGGCCGTCTACACTTATAACTTTGTGCCCGATATCAGTTGTGTTAATTTTCTCCTAATCACCCAAAGGACTGAACAGAAGCACTTGAAAAGTAGCCAGCTTATATCTCAATTTGTGGAAGTACGGGATCCTATAATTTTTGTCGTATCCTGTGCAGGTGCCTACATTATAAAACGTTGTACAGCTGTTCTTGCAAACCCGGGGAATGTTGGAGAAAGAGAGGAGGGGGGGGGGGAAGGGCTAACTCAACAACAGTTTTGGGGGAAGATCCTTCTCCTTGAGTTCTAAACTAAACTTGAAACGTGAGGAATGGCAACCCTTTCATATAAGAGAGAACACCACATCCCGGAGAAATCCTGCAAAGTCAAGCAAAGACAAAAAAATGTTTTGTTCAAAGCCTGTGCTCCTTTTTCTCTCCCCTTTCTCAAGAGTAACATCGTAATATACTAACTTTAATTTTCTTATACCTTTCTGCTACCCTGTGATGTGCTTCTAGGATGTAAAATACACTTCAACAGCAAAGTATTCCTGTATACCTCGATAGCTAGTAAACAAAATGTGCCATCATTACCCTTTGGAACATGTGGTATTTCATGGTTTTCGTAAGCTCATCAACAATTCCATTATCTCTATATTCTCCAGGTTTTCATTAATCCACAAAACAGGAACTCCGTGCACAGCTCTTTCCTTTTGTTTGAGGAGAAAAAATGAAGTGTTGGTGGCTCTTGCTGACAATTCACTGAGATGTTATGATACAGGTGCATTTGATCTCATGGCTTTTCTGTATAGTCTTTTTTTGTTTGTCTCTTTAAGAAGGCTGCTCTAAGAACATGTAACAGGGGAGAATGAATATCATTGCTCCCCTCCTCTTTAACCCTTTAACTCATAAGTGACCAAGACAGAATTTCTCCTTACAATATCAATACAGTATCAACCAGACAAGTGACGAGAAAAAAATTATCTGAACTTACATGGTAAGAAATGTATGGCAGACAATAATGATAATTAATAGAGAGATCTCAGGAGTTAAAGGGTTAAAGATCATACCCAAAGAAGAAATTAATTGAAGTAGTAATGAATTATTTCCTTTAGTCTGATTGATTGATTGCCATGGATTAAAGCTTCAGTATAACAAAAGAATATTCTATATAGTGGTTCAATATCTGTATGAGAAAATTTAGACCCCCCACTATCAAAAGTCAGCCAAAGATATCAGTGTGCAAGCCAGCAGTCTCTTTGATCTCTCATGCCTATAATAAATACCCAGATTAACTCTTCTTAAACCCTTTCTCCCCTATAAGTGACCAACATCTAATTTCCCCTTACAATATCACCCTTTAATTGTACATTGAGGTTATGAGAATGAAGGAAATGATCACCAGCTAAAGAAGCTCTTGGTTGTTGAAAACATTTTCCTTGTCAGCAACTCAGTAAATGTATACTAGAGAACATTAGGGAGAATATGCATACTGATGTTAGGGTGTAAACGGTTAATTTGTCATCTGAGAAGGATTCAGTTCTTTTTTTGAGACAAATCTTAATGATTATGTGGCTTGAACGTTGATGATTTCATTTCAGAAACCCATGAATTAGTTAGCTGGATGAAAGGCCAGGACTCAGCAATCCAAAGTATATCAGTTCATGCATCAGGCCGTTATGCAGTCACTTCATCCAACTCTGTTGCTCAGTTGTGGGACTTAGACACATTTTCCCGTAAAAGGACTTTAAATGGAGCTCAAACTGTTGGAATTCAGCAGGTTTGAATTAATATTAAGTGGTGCAAACAGAAACCCTAAGAAATGTTCATGTTTTGACCCTTTCACTTCCAAGATCTAAATAGTGATTCTATTCACTTTTTGTCATTCATTGCTTATAACTTTAGATCTAAGAATTTGGAGGTTGATCAAACACTATCCCTGTAGTTGATATTTTTTCTCCTCTCATCACCTTCCTGCTTGAAAATTATTGTACAATAGTGGTGAAATGATGATGGAAGGGAACAAATAGTTGACTAGTTAGCTTGTTGACCAATAGGCAAGGATTTATAGAACATTTTGCTTACATCTATATTAAAAAGTGTTTAAAAATGGTTTGGTAGTTTTTTAATATGTCAGTCAGACATTTATTTATGCCAAACCTCTCCCATTTCATGCTCACTCTAATTTACAAATGAACTAATAAGGTTGACACACTTACCTCAAGTTGGTAACAAAAGTAAATGAGTCACTGACATTTAAGGTAAAATATTCTTTACATGTGACATGTTGTAATAGACATGTACATGTACATGTCACTGTTCAAATTTTTTATTCCATTTTAGACAAGTATTAAATTGATTCACTATTCATCAGCTACATGTATGTTGTGGAATTGATTAACTTGGTGAGAATTTGGTTGTTAGTCTAAAGCAAGATTAATTTTGATTCTAATATGCTAGTCTTAAAATGTTTTCAAATATCATTCAGGTTTTGTTCCTGCCATTGAGCAATACCATGGTGACATGTTTCAAAGATGACAGTTTATTTGTATGGGATTCAGAAACACTCAAGTGTAAATTCCAGCTTCCTGTTCCCCCTGAAGACACAAAACAGCCCCATTACAAAACATTAGCCACACCCAGGGATGGCAGATTACTTGTTGCAGGAGGAAGGTGAGTCTGCATTCAAAGTTTTCCTCAAAGATGTAGTTATGACTTTAAATTTATCACTATAAAAAATACCAAATTTTAGGCCCTGAAAAATATTCCTGTAACTGATTGATTCTGTACATGTGTTACAACTAACTTAATTTGAATGAAAACTTGTTTTGATTTTTTTTTTGTGTTTGTGATGTTACTTTCCCCCAGTCTTCTCTTCAAATCTAGTACAGAAACTGTGGCCATGAATTAACAGTGGTATTGTCACACATTTTTTCTTAAACCAATGGCAATAACCTTAATTATACGAAATATACTTTTGTTTCCTTTTCTTTTTTCAATTTTAATTTTTTTCAGGTCTCGATTTCTTCATGTGTGGAGTCTGGAGAACAAACGTCTTCTTCATGTCATTCAGCTTCCAGCGAGAGTTCGCCTTGTCAGACAACTGGAATTCATCAGTAACAGCTTTGATGGAGGCAGCAGTCAGGTGTCAATCCATCAATTTTTTTTTGTTGTTCCTAGTTTCCATTAAAGTCAATCAACTATGGAATTGAATAAGTCATGCCCTTCGGAATTTGGTGATGAGTGTTATCTTTTGTGGTTGTAGAGGTCATCACTGAATCAGCAACTCCTTTTAGTAATCAATAATTGACTAATAATGGCATGGTTTAATTATTACAAAATTAAGTGGATTATGAGCTCAAGATTTCTGTCTCATGATGGCTGATGAAGGCAAAGCCCAAATAAACTATTGAGGGTGAATAATCTTATTTTTTTGTTTAAATCTTCTATTTGTTTAGAAGTAGTCAGCAATTGAACAGGGTCATTTTTTAAGTCTTTTTTTTTTAACAACTGTACACTGCAAGGCTACTCATTAACTTGCTATCTAATTATGGAATAGGGGCAAGTAACTTAGATAATTGGGTTACAGCATTTGTGAGTGAATGTTAGTAGATTTTTATTAATCATAACTGTTACGATTAAATGAAAAAAACATTTGACGTTTTTAAAATTATAGGAAATGCTAGCTTGGGAAATTCAAATTAATAGATTATGTCTCAATATTGCTCATACATGTTACAGTTATTTTCATAAGCCATTCCCTTGAACATTAAACTTGAGTTTACTAATTAACACCCTCTTAAAAACTTTTCTATATTAGATATCCTTGAATAGTGTTTCTGCTCATTTCCTAGACACTTGGTGTCCTGTCCCAAGATGGTGTTCTGCGCTTTATTGACATCCATGCCTGTAAACAGCTTTTTGAGATTGGAGGTGCTGATGAGGTAATAGGAAAGATTCATAAAATGCTCACAGTGGTTATGGCCCAGTTCAGTCCACTCCATTTTCTTGTATTTGGTGACTGAACATGATTATGTTAACTGACGTGACCATTCTACAATATCAAAGGAAAATTGATAAAACTGCATCATTACCTGGACTCCCAAAGCAAGAGGTATCTCAAACAGACACAAGAAAAATATCTAGATTGGTGTGGATTACCTCCACCTTTCATTGTGTGATGTATATGTCATGAAGCTGTCTAACTGAATCAAACCTCATCAACATGTATCTACTTTGAGTTCAAAAAAATAGTGTTTGATGTAAATGCTAAAGAGAATTAAAGTATTTTTCAAACCAAGCGAATAAAATCAAACCAATTGGCAACAATGTTCATCATCAGTGTACTGTTTGTGATCACATCTGGTTGTTGAACATTTTTGTTTGGAGAGGGCCTGGAGGTTTGTAATCTCCTGTAAGTTAATGATGTTTCTGGTTACAAGATAACTCATGACGTCTTTTCTTTTCCATTGCTAACAGATTATTAACAACTTCAGTATCAGTTCAAATGGCCGATATGTCGCAGCCGTAATGGACAATGGTAACATCAATGTTTATAGTGTTCCAGCATTATCACAGCAGTTTTCCAAGGTATTTTCAAAGAAAATAAAAATCATAGTTAATTTCTATATCATCGATCAATATATGTGGTGTACCAAAGCTTTGCCATGGGTCATTCTGTTGTGGTCTCTAGCAAGCCACTCCACTCTCTCTGATTTTGTCTCCGTTATGAAATTTTATTTATAAAAACGCTAACAGTAAACTTTTAGTGAGACTTGATGAATTTCTGGCTAAGGAAAGCTTAAAATAGGCAGGTATCTCATCCAGAGGGAATTATATCTCTGCTTATCACTTTATGCTACAGGAGCAGTTAAGGCCACCAGGCCCGTAAAATGAAATCCTGACTAAAATAATGTCGGTCCTGCACATGTGTAGTTTTGTGCACACAAGGCACTTTTAACACTGATATTACTGTGTAGTACTTGAGACTAGCCTGTAAATTGGAGGTTTAGCATCCTATGTGTACATGTTTTTCGAATGATTGCATTCTCAGTCATTTTTCGTTTAACAGCCGCCCCCACCATTGGTTAAAACCGTGTGGGAAGAGAGATCACATTCACGGCAAAGCGCGAAATCCAATCAGTCATTAGGCAGTGCCATGACTAAAGTTGGTGGAACACCAAAAAGGAGCCGGACTAGATCACCTGTAAAATCACAGCGTCAAAAAACTGAGGTTTCTGCAACTTGGACGAATGCAGACTCGGGACTTGAGGTACAACTGTTTTTCTGAATTGTAATAGTTGCCTCCATTGTTGTAAATGTAGATGTTCGTGAACATATTGCTAGACTGGTGGTCAATTTGTGTATCAAACCTTGATTGCTTTTCACAATTGTGCGTAAATCTTGCAATAGACGGAGCTTCCAGAGGGACTCAATCAAGCAAGGCTCAAGTCGATTCTTCAAGGCTATGGCGAATATCCTGCTAAATATAGGTGAGTTTTCAAAATGCCAAGTAGGTAGGATGTTATGCTTGAAGATTGGTGACTCATACAGCAGATTTTCCAGTTAAAGATGTCATATTTTCAGCAGCTTTAGTGCTCACCTATGATAAAAGAGACCAGAATTCTCCACTGGAAAAGAAAATGGATCTCGTCATTCCATTTGCAAGGTTTTGTTAATCTTGGGACTTTAATTGGAATGATCAAATTTTTCGATTCTTCTCGGCTTTTCTGTCCATTTAAAATTGGTCCCTCGGTCGTGATGTTTGCATGTATAAGATGTCTAACGCATGGTTTGTACTAGAAAAACTGGTGATGTTATGATCATAAAACGTAAAGGTTCAAGAGTGTTTGCGGCTATGATCTTTAGCCCGCAGAATGGGCGCCTTTTTTGCGTATTGAGGTGAGCGCGTATCCCTCCCCTATCGCGCCTGACTACCTCTTTATGCTCTTTTCCTTGCTCTCGCCTCGTACTTACTCTGGCTGGCATAAAAGTTAAAAAATGACGCCTTTTGTGGAGGCTGATTATAATTTACTTACATGTGCCAATCAGACTCTACACTGACTAACCTCTTACAAAATTTTTGAAGTTGAAACGAAACTAAACTTAGCACTTTTCTGTAGATATAAATGTAACATTTCCGTATTTTTGTCTCCTTAGAATGTTCATTTGGCGGTCTCTTCTCAACCTTCCTGAGAACCATGCGGCTTACAGCAGCTTGGTGGACAAGGGAACTCACAGTGCTTTTGTGAGAATCCATGAAGAATATCCTATCAAGAGTAGAAAGCTACTGAGAGTCCTCCAGAGGTTTGTATCAATTGGCAATTTCGATGTAGTCCCTCCGAAGGTTGTGATATCTTGGAGAGACTGAGACAAGCCATGCCCTCTTCCCTCAACACATGCCACACGAAAAAGAGCAGCAATTTTGGCATCAATTGTGACTTCTGTATCATGGCGTGCATTGATTTTTCTGCATTATCTAAGGACAAGGATTCCAGCGAATTTCAATTTATTCTTTGTTTTTTTCCTTTTTTTTAGTTTTCAAACAATTAATAACCTTTTTTTAAGCTACATCCCTTATGATACTGCAAAATCACACGACAAGAGAAACCTTTCTTTCACTTATTTTGTAATTTCGTTGTAGGACGCTGTCGGCCTTAGCTCACTGGTCAGCCATATTTGGTGAAGTAGACTACCTGCCTCTGCTGTCCTTTCCTTTCGTTAAACTCTTTCAAAATAACCAGCTGATCTGCTTTGAGATGATAGCAACGATCCTGAGTAAGTAACGCGATGAAATTTGAAGCTGTTACGGGTAGTTTCCTGAAAATGACGCCACGTGTAGGAAAACTCAATCTCTCAACCGGATCATCCATTTGCTTTTAAAATTGTTTTGTAGGGTTTCTTTTTTATTTCATTCAAACGAGCCATTGATTGATAATGATTTAGTAATTAAGTGTTAAAAAATGGGCCTGATCTTGAACTGTAACTTGATATTTACAAACTTTTGCGGACCAAGATGGCTGTGATCTCTGTTTGGAACCAATTTTTGCAACTTTTTGCACAATCGTGGTCATTAACAATGAAGCAAACCCAATATTTTCAACGTTTTTACTTGTTACGTCACAGCATAAAATGTGGTCAAGCTTCTCCGATGTTTTTTTTTTAATTATCATTTTTCTTCCTTTTCCTTCAGCAAACTGGTGCCAGCATTGGTTCGAATTTTTTCCAAACCCTCCTGTGAATATCCTTGGGATGGTGGAAAATATACTTGTTCATCACGATAAAAGATTGATGGAACACTTTGTCAACTGTAATGTCACATCACAGGTGACATATGCTTTGTTTTGCTTTCCAGTACCGACTGTGTGTCGACTGTCTTGACTATTTTGATTGATTTCGTCTCTTCCAGATGTACGCCTGGCCATTGCTACAGACGCTGTTATCTGAAGTTCTAACCAAGGACGAGTGGTTGAGAGCTTGGGATAACATTTTTTCCAACCATCCGTCGTTCCTTCTCTTTGTAGTTGTAGCTTACGTCATCGTTTCACGCAAAGCTCTGTTACAATGCACGAGGAAAGAGGATTTTGAGGTTTGAAATGGTTTGAAAATACTAAAAAGAAAGTGTTTTAGACATGACTTTTTGGCTTCGATGATGGCCTGGAATTAAACTGAATTCTCCTTAAATGTTTAATGCACTGTCAGGTAGACAAGTAACAAGAGAAGAAAATTATCAGTCTCGATATAACACCAAATTCTCAAGACCAGCTGACCGAGAAATGTATTTTGTCAGATTTGGGAAAGAACCCCCAGATCTTTGGATTGAAAGTGTTTAAGGGCGCCTCATAACCAATGTCATTAAACTTAGACAAATCTTTCGCCTCAAGCTAAGTGTCAAACTTCAGCTTTTGTTGCCTAAGCTGCATCGGAACAGCAAGAAAGAAGACGAAACGCTCTTTTTTGAAAACTTTAAATACTTCATCAAACACTAGTTGATGGCACAATGTTCACTACCATGAACAAAATCGACTCATAGTGAACAGAGACTCTAGTATGTTGCTTAAGTATCAAAAGAATAATTCTCACAGAGTAAAAATTGTAATATTCCATAGGTATTCCTGTGCAGAAGGGTAACGAATATAAAACTTTTTTCTTCTAACCAGTACTTCTTTCATAACCGGAATGCAGTCGACATTGGTGCAGTTATACGTGAAGCTTACCGACTGCAGGATGGCACTCCAGCAGAAGCAAACCCGCAGAGGATGCTGGAACCATTCATGCCACTGACTAAAGGACAATATCCGATCTTCAACAAATATCCAAAGTTTATTGTGGATTATCAGGTACATTCCTTTTTCAATCAATCATACGGTGTTACTTTCTGAATGATATTTGACGGAACGTCTTACTCATTGGTGATCACTTGTGAGCGGGAGATGGTCACTCGCTGTTCCCCCTTCTCCGCCCACCTTGGTAGAAATTCTCTCTTTCTGAGTAGACGGTCATTTGACTAGTGAATGCAAATTGTTAGCACGAAATAGTTTCGTAATCTGTGGTTCTTTTATGAAAGGTCCAAGAAAGAGAACGTATACGCCAGGAAGAACTGGAGTATTTGAGACAGAGGTATGGTCCAAAGTCGTTTTTCAAAGAGACTGATGAAGTAAAGAAGTAGACGTAAAGTGACGAATTCTAATTGACAGAAACCCTTGAAGACAAACCAGAAATCAAAGGATCAAAATAGAAAAAAAACTTCGAGAAAAATTTGAGTATAGTGATATTTTCTCCTTTTCTTGTTCTCTCGGACCATTCCGTATTCAATAAGTATGTATTGTGGTGAAGTCACTCTTACCATCACATAAAGTTTTCTCTAGATATGTTTTAAAAAACCGTTGTGAAATCGTCTGCAAGGTTAAACAAACACCAAAGAGGAAAGGTGCGAAGATGATTAAGGATGAGGAGGGTTGTCACGAATTTCAAATCAGTGACGAAAATGAAAATTTTTGCCTTTAGATGAACAAACCGTGACATAGCCCTTTTAGACATTAGCAGCCTTTTTTTCTGATATGACAGGCAACTGGCCCAGGAGATGAAAGAGGTAGCAGATCAGCGCAAGCAAGAAGAGGAAGCGTTTTATCGACAACAAGAGCTCATGATTGACGCTGAGAATCAAAGAAGAAGAATGATCGGTCAGGAAGAACAGAAACTGAGCGATCAGAGAAGCAGGTTGGTAAAAAAAGGAGAAGGTTAGGTCTTGCACACGAGCTGAGTGGTCCACTCTGCTAGAGCTTATACAGCTTATACAGGTTTCTGTAATATGAACGACCAGAACACTGTAACTCTTCTCTATGCAGCATGCTGCATAGAAAGGAATAATGAGAAAAAAGATATCGAACCGTAAATGTTTATTGTCAGATGTTTATTGTCAGATGTTTATTGTCAGATGTTTATTGTCAGATGTTTATTGTCAGATGTTTATTGTCAGATGTTTATTGTCAGATGTTTATTGTCAGATGTTTATTGTCAGATGTTTATTGTCAGATGTTTATTGTCAGGTGTTTATTGTCAGATGTTTATTGTCAGGTGTTTATTGTCAGATGTTTTTTCTAGGTTGCAGGCAATGAAACGAGAGATTCATCTACGAGAGCTGCAACTGCTGGACGCTGTTCGTAGACGTTTCATGCATCATCAGCAAACACTTAAAGAAGCGGAGCTACAAAGACTTGATGACGAGATAGAACGTAAGGTCAGTACAACCACAGGCACACCAGCAATACCGCTCAAGGTCATCAAATGTTAGGCCACGGCCTACTGACATCTTTACCGATGCCTGCGAGCTCAGTTTATTTTTGTCTGTTAACTAACTATTCTATTTACCTAATAAGAGTAAGTAATTGTGTTAAGTTTAAACGAGACTTGTTTCATCCTATGACGGTTTTAGGCATTGCTTAGAGAACAAGAAACCAGACACGCTGTAGAAGATGCTGAGATAAAAGGACTGGAGCTTCAAGCGCAAAAAGAAATGCTTCAACAGGTTGGTACATTTTTTGCCCTGTAATGGCTCTTTTTCATCAAATTGGACTGTACATCCTTCACTGGACTACTAGTGAAAACTGTTTTGAGTACCGTTCCTCGGACTCCTGCCATTGTGAGCCTCGAATAAAGCTCGGTGGCGCCTGGAACGAGAACAAATTTGAAGCTCACTAAACGTAATTCTATGGTTTATGAAACAGGATTTGATCCGAGATGAGCTGCAGCATTCCTTTAAGCAGAGATCAGAGCAAGCGATCCAACGAAAACAGCAGGAATTGGAAGAGCAACTTTTTAGGAGGACAATGGATGCCGTTCAGGAGGTCGACATTGATTCACAAAGGGTAATGCAACAGAAAATCTACCGTCTGAGTTGACTCGTGTAGCTTCCTGTACAGTTTGATTAATATACAGATTTAGCTAAGCCTAAAAGCGAAGCTCGCATTTTTTTTCCCGCACGAAACTGAGTCGTCCGACTCGGAGCCCAGTGCACTGACCACTGGACTACTGGACAAAGCCGTTGCGTTGGCGTGCCCGCGGTACAGTTGACCACGCATGCTAAAAGTAGCACCTTGTACAGTCGTAAGGTCGTACATCCAAATTTTTTCGACTTGATGGGTTACTACTATTTTGTATAATTATGGGGCTACGCGAGCTCCGCTATTATTCTGATCGTCCGGGTGAGAGTGAGGTCATTTCACTCTGCTCTCACTGATGCAATTATTGATTCAGAGATCTAAAGCAACTGCTTGGTTTCTCATAAGATTTCCCAAGAAGAATTGGCTAATGCCCAGCAGAAACACACATCCGTCAATATGGAAGAAGAAGTAGATATGAGGACTAGAATGGATGATCTTCACCGAGAGCTGAATGAAGTCAAGGTGAGATAAAAAACGAGAATTAAACTGATGAAGGAGGGGTCAACATGACGGTTAATTCTGCTAATCTAACGGTTAGAACCACTTCGTACGAACCTGGGTTACTTTCAAACCGCGGCTGAATTACTACGAATATTGATTGTTTAAAAGTCGCTCTTATGTAAGCGGTTACATGAAACCTGTAACGATGTAGGGTCAACCCGTCTTATAACCCTTTTAAGAAGAGGTTAATATTTCTTCAAGTTGTTCATGCAAAAACTTGCCCTACCTGGGTTGGTACTTAAACTCATAGTGGAGATGAGAATGATCATCGCAGTAATGTTTGTTTCTATAACTGTTTTAGATTGCCCAGCATGTTTTGGAGAATAAGGAAAGAGAGACTGAAGTTCAGTCGCTTGTACATGAGTTGAGGAATAAAGAGGTACAAATTTTCGCTTAATTTTTTTTATTTTGGAGTGGTATTATACTTACTGGATGCATTGTTTTGCATCCGCCTCTAGAATTAGTTGGATATGATGAAAACGTTCCAACCTGATTTTGGTTTTCTTTACCTTTTTGCATATCTTTATAGAATGACGTTGTGGCTGTGAAACAGTCGGAAGTGAGACAACAGAAAGCTTTGGCAGCCGAGGAGGACAGAAGACGTTTGAATCTTCTGAGTGCTCTGACACGAGATCAGACTACGACTACCGACGACTCGGAGTCATTTTGTGAGTGCATTTTTCTTTTGAATAAGAAATTCTGTTTTAATGCTGGAGGCTGAAACATTAGTGGGTGATTTGTTTCTTCTTTTACTCTGTTTAACGTAGCTCGGCTTAGGGAAATTCGTCAAATCCCGGATCACCCTAGAAAACCGTTAAGTACCATGCTGCCCAATAACACAGAGAGCAGCACCACGACAGAGTCAGAATCCAGCGGAACACCTGTCACTTCTCGAGGTAAAACTTTTAGCATTCAAAGAACCTTTTAATTGGACCAAAAGAAGTCTTTGCAAATGTGAAAAAAAAAACAATACGTGGCTCTTCAGTTACAGTAAAATATTTTCTTGAGTAATGAGGTCATGAAGTAAACAATTCGTCTGTTGCGTGGCATGTGGTCTGAACAGTACAGTGAATTAAGAATGTTTACTTCTGAAGCATCATTAATTTTTTAAAATGTATCTTTAAACTCGAGGTTCAAACTTGATCCGATCACATTTTAATTAGACTTTTTTTTAATGCTGTTACAGAACCTTCCCTTGAACGTCAGCGAGCAACTTTTGAGAAACGTGAACTGGAACTCATGGCTGAGGTGAGAGATTTGAGAAAAAGACTCGCTGCCAGACGGCAACAGCGCCCACCTCCTTTTCATGGAAATACACAGCAATGACGATAAGATAGAAGCACAACTGATTTTATTCATGATTATCTCGCATTTTCCTGAAAGTTATTTTGTAAATACTTTTTAAGTACCCAAGTTTTGTATATTCCCACGGTAATGGTTACTTGCAGAAGAGCATTACGTTCCTTTGTTACTCCAAATGAGTGGTGAATTTCTTATTTCAAAATAGTAGGCTTGAGGGTACAAGAAGAGCCGTTTGTTCTTTTGAAAATACTCTGGCATCCTACAAACCAGCAGCCTTTATATGTATAGATGTATAATTACATCAGAATAGCCAATTCACCTCCAAGTCTCGTTTTCAAAGTAGGGAGTGATTAATTTTATCCTCTACATTTGACTTGTTATCGTCTGGAAATTGTAACGAAAGTACTCCAAAATCTCTGACGTGAACAGGATTCCATCGTGAAAACAACAAGAAAGTTTCAAATGCTTAAGTATGTACTGTAAACGAAACATGGAGAAGTTTCAGTTAAAAGTATCATCATGCGCAAGGGCTTTTGACTGTTACTGAAACACTGGCACACTTGTTAATGAGAAAGATACGTGTACGTTAAGTTGCCTAGCAACACGGCTCTCATTATTCGCAAGCTCATGGTGAATAGGCTATCCTGATCCTCGTGTACCTGGCTCGAAGATACTGGGCAATAGTACGGGATCAATGTTACAAGCCAAGAAATTGTTTAAGTTAACTAAATAAACTTTAAAAAATATGGACTTTGTTGAGGTAGCTTTTCCAATTTTTTATAGATTTTAGACTGTACCAGTCTTTTCTCGGGGTCGATGAGAGCTTTGTTACACGAAGATTATGAGTAAAAATCAGAAAACTCTTTTCAAGAGCGGTTTTCCAAACTTTCCTCTCGATTTCTAAGTTGGTCATGTGGTTAAACAATCTATACACTGAAAGGTTAGTCTTCTGTCATACTCCCTTTAAAAGTTTTAGCACTTTTTTTTAACTCATCTAAACATAGGTTGTTTTTATACAGTTTTGATAAAGAAAATTTGCTTTTTACAATACATAATCTCAACGTGGCGTACAGACAGGTGTGGTCCTGTGGAGAGAGAATCGTATGATTAGTCCAGAGTTTATCTCGTCAGAGCGTGGACGAGATGAACCAAGTAATGTTGCTGGTGAAAATTTTAGTAACTCTCTCCTTAAGCCGTGGAAGCCAGTTTGGATAAATTTCGGCCGAGAAGTTAATCATTCAAGGTCGTTTCAAAAGATGTAATAGCACCTTAGCAAATATAAAGAAACAATCAAAGCAGTAAATTTTCGATTAAAATAGCTCTACAAGCCTCTTTTGCAGGTAGCGATCAGTAAATTCTGCTAGTATTTCGTTTTGAACTTGAGAAAAGACAACTCAAATTAGTTCTTCCTTTTCTGGAGCCTCATTTGGTTTTGCAGAAGTAGCGTGCTAACTTAATTTTATCGAACATTTTGAAGAAAACAGAGGAAGTCATTTGAAAGAGAGATAAAACGTTACGTAACACACCAAATTAACAATTTTATTACAGTTCTTAAATGACAGGTATAGACGAATGGATATCGCAAACTGTCATTCTGCTACAAATCAATTAAACCTAATATTGGGCTTATTCTAACAACAATAAATTTGGAAATGTGAATATGATATTAATCTTAAATGTTAACAGTAGGAACATTTTGTTTAGTTCGTTGAGTGGGTGGCATACCGAAGACTTTGTAGCTGTGCTGATTTAAATTCACATTCAGGTATTTACGTGCGTGCTTCTCAAGTTGTAGTATGAGTGTTATCTCCTGCGGTTCGATTCTGCAAAGCTGTTACCCTATTGTGTCTTCTGGCAATTCCGCAGCGTCCCCGGGAACGGCCACGAATGATTTTCGCCCATAGTGTCGAAGCGCCGTGGCGAAAAGTCTCGTTAAAAATGAAATAAATGCATGGGTTGATTGCACTTTTGCTGTAAGCCAAAAACCACACAATGAAGTATATGTGAGTTGACTGACAAAAACTGTCGGAGTTTTGGAAACAAATCATGCTTTCTATCCAGATAGGAAACCAGCAAACGGCAAAGAGAACCACTATTGCCACGAGCATGCCAATAATTCTCCGGTTCATCTTTTCTGTGTGGTAGTGGTGATGATTCGGAATGTGAAGCTCATTCCCCGGTGTCTCTCGCAGGCATAGCTTAAGCATTACTGCAGTGTACAGCACGCCTTGGATCACCAAAGGCACGCACGTGAACAAGACGAATATGGCCACGAAGTAACTCTCTACTGATTTTGACGACCAAAACGTCAAGTAGCAAATGCTAGTGCCCTTAATATCTTGAACGATCGCTGAGAATATCATCGGTACTGTGAAAACAAGTGATGTGAGCCAGATGATCGCGATTATTCCGTACGCCACAGGGCGTGTAATGATTCTCCTCAGTGGAAAGAACACGACAATGAAGCGGTCCACCGCCATCGTGGCCAAACTTTGGGTGGAAACTAGGGCAGATAACACCATTACGACGGACTTGAGCTTGCACAAAGCATGTCCTACAGTACCCTGGATCAGCCAGTTTGACACAGCCAGTGTGATGACGGCTTCTGTCGAACTGGATACAGTGATCAAAATATCAGCAACCGCCGTATTCACAACGAAGAAGTTGTTCGGTGTCTTCATGTGATGGTTGTAATTCTTGTACACTATTGCCATAATGAGCCCATTGCCCACCAAGGAGGTCACGATTATAAAGGTGTAAGCTACAACCTTGATCCAAGTGATGTAGTGGGGTTCTGAAAAGAAACCTTCCCCTTGGTTCACCGAAAGGTTTTTCATTTTATCTTCCCGCTATAGTAGTATTCAGCTCGGCCAAGCGTACAGCAGCTGAATGAAATCGACAGCGAACTTTAGGATTTTATCAGCGTTATTAAGCCGCGAATCTTTACTGAGTTTGATAGACATATGTCAGCGCATAATTCCATTGGGCTTATTACTCTTGACTCATTACCAGTTATTATTGCTTTTCAATATTAACAACCAGATAAGGTGGCTTGTTGTTGACTTCATTTGCGATGCGAAAGTAAATGCACGAATCAATTTTACTCCCGTTTTTGTCGGTGTATGTATATAAAAAAGATTCTGATCAGTATCAAGCTGCGTTGTTTATTTTCTCTCGTTACGTGTAGCCAACATCTGACTATGGTAAAATTGCCGCATTTGCCGTGAAAGGAAATATAATTTATTTAGCGTATTAGAGCGAGGAAGTTTTCAAGAGTTAATAGTAACTGTTTAAGTGTTTCATACGGCTTATGAAATGATACCCTATTTGCAAGGAACCGCAGCTGAGGCAGCAGGAAATAACTAGATATTGAAATGATTCCGCCATCGGTATCCCCTGTTGTGAGTAAGAAATGAGTTGAGTGACCACATATTTGAGGAGTCAGAAAAGACGAAGAGCCAAAAATCAAAACAAAAACAGAAGTAGGCCTTTATCCTGTTTGGGTCGTTCTCATTCAAAAATTACTAGTTTTAGACCGATTTAAAATGAACTTGCTGAGATATTACTAAACCTGCAATAAGGGACAGTAAAACACAAGGGAAATTAAGATCCTGATGACAGTTTTTGTGTGATCTCTTACTTGTGTTTGTAAATTCACTTACACATTATTAACAAAGATTCTCGCTTTTGACTTTTATGCTCGGCTTAATCAGGTATTTAATCCATGGACAGAGTTCGCATAATTTTGAGAGAACTGTGATTGTTCACGAATAGTCTGAGTATTGTTACATAACCGTAGAAGGTAAGGTTGGAATAAATAATATATCGTGAAAATCAGAAAAAAGGGATTGCAGGTGATACTAGTTAATTCCTCCTACGCGAAAAAAGTAATAAATGCTTTAGCTGCTCTCGAATATTAAGTATCTCTTTTGCCAGACATGAACAAGTGAACGACAAAAAATCGAGAAAAGAAGTATTAAATTTTTTAAATCACCTACACATCAACTTTCGCATCTCAAGAACTTGCTTTCCGTCTGTAAGGTTTATTCGTTAAAGAAAAGGCTGGACGCAAGCAAAACAGGTAATGTCTACTTCTTGTCTAGGATAACATAGTCCTGAAGATTAAATTCACTACAGTGGAAAGAGCCAGATATTTTGTTTATTTTAGGTGTGTGGGAGTGTGTTTGTGTGCGTTTTTCTTCTTTGCAGTGCAACCAGCGCATGAAAATTAGAGAATGCTGGTAAAAGGCCTCAGTTACGCAATTCAAAATTTTATATGCATGCGTGTTTGTGGCAAAAATTAATAAACTGGTCCAAGCCAAACTCCATTTACCAAGCAAGCTGTGAAAGGTAGGCTTGATGTATATTCATAGAAAAAGATGTATTTGCCTTCGATAAAACTTCACCATAAGAGGTGCTGAGTTAAAACTGATGCATAAAATTGAAAGTTTCCTTTAGACATGAACGCATGGGAGGTGTTAGGGCGTTAATTGACTCAAATATTGTTAATTATTCAAGAGTTAATGCTTATTGTATTCTTCTCAACTTTCGAGTTTTAATTTTCTTCAGTTATTATTTTGTTTTGCATTTGACCATGAAGGTTTCGTGCAACGGTAATTGTTGGACAAGTTTAGACTGATAGCATTTTTAGGGGGAAACGAATGCATGTTTCCTTTGGTAATAAGCCATGCAACGTTTATCAGACGGAATTAAAAACTATAGCCGCAACCCATTCCCGTCGAAAGTTCGTTAAGGAAACATAAGTTTTGAATATTTTCCTCAAAAACTGAAGGTGTGCCAAGGTTGGGAAACAAGTTTTGATTGGAATGGCTTTACTGTTGCATGACAACATTGTAGTGTAAACCCGGTCCCGTGCCAAATATTTCGGTTATTGACTCAAATTTGTGATTGGTTAATCTAATTATCTTCCCTCCGACAATACCTACTCATCTTATCTAATATTCATTTTCAAGAATGAACACTTACAGGAAAGGTTGTTTGTTTATTATCGCTGATCTTGGCTGGTATCTCAGCTGTTGGAAAGAAAACAAAACAAACAAAAAGTTTAAACAACGAAATGACTAATTCAAGTTCCAAAGAAGAATAGAGGTCAAGGTAAGGCACACAAACGAAACCTGTATTTGTCGCCTTGAAGGGTCCAGTTGACTTGGGGGTGTGGAAATTTCATCCTCTTCTGCTGAAAAAAGTCATTATCATTTAAAATTCTCTGGTAATTTTTTGTAAAGATCCAGTAACACTTTCACGCAAACTAACCGGAGGGTCACATTCTACTTACGGCTGCAGCGCTCGGGTTGTTGAGTCGAAATATTACTTTGTGATGAAGCTTGAGACGAAGAGGGAGTTGTATACTGTGATCTGTTGCTTATCCTATTATTGCTCGTTGTAGTAGATCTGAAATACGTAAAAAAGCGTATACATGTGAGAGCAATTTGAATGGTAGAGAAAAAATAGGAGATTCAAATAGGCTTTACATGCAGTATGTATGTTAACGTCCGCATAACCAATTCAACCCACCCACCCCACCCCCTGCTTCTCTTTTAACCCTTTAACTCTCATGGATGGCCAAGACAGAATTCTTACAATGTCAAGCAAACAAGTGACGAGAAAATAGAAAAATATTAATTAGCAGATTATCATTTTCTCCAGTAGTAATTCCTCAGAACTAACATTATTAGAATTATATGGCAGACAGCAATAGAATTACCCGTGAGATCTCGGGAGTGAAAGGGTTAGGGAGCGGACCACTGAGATCAAAAGAATATGTACATGTTAAGAGGACGACAAAGATTCTAAAGAATGTAGTGTGCAATGAGGCTTAGGGTTAAATTTTTAGCAAGTTGCGTAGTCATTAATTAGAGCTTCTAGGGAAAGCCTCACTAAATTGGAGTCATGACCAACTGTTTTGATCGATGTCAGTGATCTTTGTTATTTTGAAAATAAGCCATAAAAAAAGCTGAGGGTTAATAGTGATCCTGGAATTTTCATAGCCACGAAAAGGGTTAATCACAGAGATTCTTCAAGTCCTTGTCATCACATTGTTAACCTTAGGTATTCTGCATAAAGATCCTTTTTTACATAAATCTGGTATTTTGAAGTATTCTGATAGTTTCTCTTGTTGTAGAAACTATAGGTGCGTGCTTTTTTTATTACTTCGCAAACTTTACTCATTTTCAATCGTTTGAATTTCATTCCTTGATCGTCGCATCATCCATGAGTGCAAGAAACCAAATGTTGCAAAATTACTACGCCTATAACCGATTCTAGTGACCTTGTTGTTAAGATAGGTGATGACATCGCCATGGGGGAACAAGTAACCCCGGTTGCCCCTAGACCTGATGGCGTGGCCGCTTCATAACTCCCAGGAGTGTTCGCTGTCCTTATGAGGTGTCTTCCTTGAAGATTGTTCCTGTGGACATGAAAAATAATCACAAGGGGAAAGAAAAGTTATAGGATTGAAGTCACGGTTCGAAAGCCTACTACATTCCTATGTTGAATCAGACAGTCCAAATATACGGTAGTAAGTATGAAGTAAACTCTTGGCTCAAAATACATAGATGTAAGTTTGAGATACCTTAAAACAGTTCCTGGTGTCCCTCCAGCGGATCCTGGACGGGATAAAACCTGCTTGTTTGGGGATGGAGTTCCTCGAACAGTACCTGCAAATAGCATAACAATTTATGGTATAATTAAAGATATGTTTTGGTTTAATTTTTCTGAATAGAAAAGAAAAGAATAACCTGAATCACATCAAAACATAAGTATATCTGGCTTCATTGAGAGAGCCTGGCTTAACTTTTAACATCACTGGCGGAACATAGAGGGTTTGAACAAGATCTTTTAGACAGGAAAGGAAGCTACAAAATTGAAAAAAGAAATAACGTTTACCCATGAATCCATTGCAAGGTGGAGTTCTCACTGACAGTCTCGTTGGCCCAGAGGCAGGGCGGGATAACTGGTTCTGAAATTTCACAAAAAGAGGAAATGAATAGAAATGCAGCTCAAACGGAGCAATAACTGAAATACATCGTACCTGCCAATGATGTGACCCTTTGTTTTCTTTTTGAGAACTGCAAGAAATTAGGCAGTTTAAACGTGATACCTTCATATAACAACTCGTGACCTCAAACGTTTGCCATAAGAAACTTACACAGAGACATCGTTTTTGAGGCAAGAACAACGATCAGAGGGCAAATACAACTTTTCATGGAACGTTTTGTCCTAAATCAATCGATTGCGAAGCCCCTATGACCCCCATGTCTCAGCAGAGAAAGATTATTTCTAGCGAGCCTCACGGATAAGAATCTACCTGCTTTATTATAAGGAAACAGCGGAAATTATACATGCCCTCAAGTTGAACTCCAAAAGCCGTGCTGGAGGTTGACGCTCAAAAATCGAATAAAAGAAAGAGAAAAGAGCACAAGATCATCTTTCGCGCCGAATAACCTAGCTAAAGGCTAGTTTGGCTCGTAGATGAATTAGATTGACCCTCACAAATAAGTTACACGCGAAGAAAAAGAACTAAAAAGACCAAATTTACCTGTTAGGTGTGGTCCTTCCGTAAGGTGAGGACGAGTACTGACTGCAAGTCGGAGATGGTGTATGGCCTTTTATATACGATTAGAAAAGAGGGGATTAACTTCAAGTATAACTCTTCAAACGAAATTCAATCGCATGAAGCTACATGCTTTGTGGTTCAGTTAAAATAATATGAACTGGGTGTATCAGTGATTAAAATAGGTAAATAGAGACAGATCTTTGTAAGGCGAACAATAAGTGATTATTTACGCTGTTTCCCCCCTTCGAAAAAATTTTAAAAAAAAGCTTTTATTTCAAATGGGAAATACAGGTCAGTTATGTACCCCTTCTTGGTGTTGTCCCTGGTGAATTCCTATAACTGTGCGGTGTTCCAGGTCTACTAGAATTATTGGCAAGCAGTCTCTTGAGGTGAACATTCTCCTCTTGAAGAACGGCAACTTCCCTATGCAAGACAAAGAGACCGTTAATACTACACAAGAAAGGCAAACTCGACAGTCAGTCCTCTTCGGTACAGACTGGAACTGGACTATCTGAATGAATAGTCAGCTCGGTAGAACTTCTCAAGGTCATTGTAGAACTATGAACGCAATAATTCCCCTAAGCTGCTGGGAACCTAGTTGCTGTGTCAGAGAATTGTTTAGTTTAGTTCAAATGAACATATTAGCAGAGCTTATAAGTTTTGATATTTGAATGCTATTCAAGCTCCCATCAACATCATTTAAAAGTCAAATTTTTTGCATTCGCCGCAAAGTTTATTCGTACCTCTGGTTAAAAAGCAGTATTTCCAACCTCTGTTAAAGATTTATTTAGTTGGAACATATAGAACTTTAAATACCGTTCAAGTTCCTGTAGTCTGGACATGTGTCGCTGGAGCCTCTCCGCTGCTAGAACCTTGAAGATAAAATCGGGTATGCTAGAGAAAATGTAGTGCAATCCCAATCGAGTATGAAAAATCCCAATGTGTCCTTTGTAACACAATCCTCAGCTGCGCAAAAGATGGTATTTTTCCTTCAGCTGCCTCTTAGGTTAGCCAAGCTGCCCTCCGTGCATTGTGCGATTTTGACAGTTTGCGCACTGTCTTGTGTTTCCTGCAAAATGTCTTCCGTGCTGTCACACTCAAGCTCACTCAAATATGATTTGAAACATTTGCACAAGAGCTACATAGAACGTTGAGCTTCAAGTAGCTTTCGCGTGCTCGTAAAAAGAGGCATGAGTCAAACGGCAGAAAACTGGCCGCTCTCGCAGGATCCTCGCAGCTATAAAACATATACAGAGGAAAAGGATCAATCATCTTTTTTTCTACGGACGTACATATAGATCGTACCTTTTTCTCGATATTTGCTGCTAGTCGTTCTCTGTGGCTTTTCTGAAATTCCAGCACCTGGTATAAAATGACAAGAAAATTCCACCAGTTTTCAAGGGTAGCCTTCTACTTTTTAGACTCGAGGAAGGCATCCCCTTGTTTGACAGCTACCAATACATGGCCTTTTCATGTTGAAATCAGAGTATAGTACCCTAGTGGTTTTGTTCAAATTGGCAACATGATACAAATACTTAAGTGAAATACAAATTTAAAAAAATTGACCGTTTTAAGAAGTCTCTTGTCTGGGTCGGTTTAACTTGTGCAAGGGCTTCGAATAATTAAAGTTGTCTATATTTATTTTCCCCTTACATAATATAGATATCGTAAAACTGGGGGAAATAATGTATTTTATTCCATTATCAGTTTGGGAATGTTTTACCTGAGACAACTGCGTGTAGTATTTCTTGGATAAATCGATAGGATTGGTAAAGTACATTTCAACTTCAGGTTTCATCTAAAGTGAAAGAAAAATTAATTATAATAAAAATAAGCACTCAGGGTTATCATAACTATCTTCTGTTTTCCGCTAATATCCTTTACTACCACTTCAGAAATAACTTTAAACCAAGTTGTTATTGAATGCTTGATTAAGCTTACCTGCGATGATAAAACGATTGAATTGCATGCCCTCCTGCATATTGTGCACTGATCAGGGTTTGCTGTAGACAATGCAAACCGATGAAAATGCGTAAACAATAAAGTTAATTCACGCTATATTAAAGCTTAGATCTCTAAGTACAATTTTTTTCTACTTAATTCACCTTGTAGGCAATCTGCACAGTATATGTGACCACAGTTCGTGAGGGAAAATAATTTTCCTCCTCCAGGTCGAACATAGCAGCTATTGCAATGGACCCAATCTGCCATTTCCCAAAATTTTCACTGGTTGACCAATCTTGCGACTTGAATCAAAGCTGAGCTCTCTTTCAATGTATTATGACAATGAAATCGTGTTGTTCTAGGAAAGGAGGATGCGCAGTATTCAACGATATCCAAAGCAAAGGGAAACTGTGTGCTGAAGCTGTTTGGCTAGGTGTTCTTCGAACTAGTCAAAGTATCCACGTAAACAAAACATTGCCTCATATTCGCAGAAGTAGTTGATCTAAAGCAGAGGGTTTCCTGAAAATGGCATCTCGGGGCTCCTTGGTCATACCACTACAGTTTAACACAGAGAAAAATTCAGACCTAAAGACAGTTTCGATTCTAGAAAAAAAGGTTCCTTTCTTCGAAGAAATCCGTTGACAAAACGGAATATTTCTGAGGTTTATTATGACATCGAGCAAACTTGCAGTCTTAAAAACTGGCGGGAAAAAGCCGTGCGCCCGCGGCTGTGCTTTAATTTTTTACTAGGGTGGGGAAGGGGTGTACATATGCAGTCTTCGGTCGCTAGTGAGTTAAATTTTTTTTCTGTAGATTAGTATACCCGACAATTTGCCGGCAGAAAATAGGACTATTGAGTTCCTTATCTTTGTTTAACATTCCAAAAAAGTGTTAAAAGCCTAACCGAGAAGTGAAACTTCCCAACAGTAAATTGTATTCTTACTTTGCTTTTCTCTTACTAGGACAACTTATCCTTCAAGAAATCTTGGACACGCTTTGAGGAAAAGGTAGAAACTACAGCACCGAATCACTTTGAGATTGGGTTCGTGGGCATCTTATAGAAATTAAGGTACAATGTATTTTTAAGAGCTTGAAAATGCCATTTTTCAAACTCTCAGGGACAAGTTTCTTAAATCAAAAAGAAAAAAGTGCACTCTTAGTGTTTAGAATATCATTCTTCTGTAAGCCTTTGAGATAACTGACAGTGGGTAGGAGAGACTAGAGGTTAGGAAAACAAAGAAATATTTTTCATCCCTCCGTATCTTATGTTGTAAAATTGGAGCAAAGTAACATTAACAACCTTATAAAAGCAGTTAATTTTAATTCAAGGATTTAATTCGTGAACTACTAATACATTTTTTCAATTCTGTAGGTAAAGTGTGAGGAAATAAAGTTGTAAAAGGTGTTATTAGCATTAAAGTTGATTTCTCCACTCAGCTAGTTAATTCATTAATAGAATTCCCTTAATGAATTGTGTTACTGTTCTAAATTATTTATTTGATGACTTTTCAAATTTCTGTTTCTTCCAGTGAAGTGAAAAGTTGGGAATAATTAAAAATTGATGCTAGCTGGGCCAATATTGTGGATCAAGAAAATCTTAGGGGCCAGCAGGAAAAGGTTACATGTAGATAACTTAAGGACTTCCCCTCTTGCTGCAAATGCAGAAACAACTCACTTTTTCAGGGAGAAATAACAGAAAATTATGGACTTCAAAATGAACTTGTAAACCTCTTTGACACCTTGCAATATTACTGCTAGCCAATTGAACAAAGATGAGTCAAAGTTTTCAGAACAAAATGTGACTTCAATTGTCCATCTTCACATTCAGAAGTTATTGCCATACTCCATATTGTGATCTTTCATTCATGTAAAAAAAACATTTATACCTAAAACAGTTTCATTCTCTATTATCTTGCAAAACAATCTTTCCAGTCTCAGGATCAACCACTCTTGGGACTTTATCAACTATCTCTGTCACAGTAAAATATTTCTTCTTGCTCAATCTTTGACATTCCTTGATGACCACAAGGTCCCCTATTGCACACTCATTATTTTCATCATGGGCAAAGTACACTTTTCTTTCATTGAAGAACTACAATAAAATGAAAAAATGAAATCAACAGGTTAAAAGTTTCAACTTTGTTTCCTGCTTGAGATTTTGGCTATAAGAAACTTGAAAAATAAAAAACAAAAACAAAACAAAACAAAAAATGAAGATAATTGAAGTTAAACAAAATATGAAAACAATGAAAATAACTTTTCTGTGCAGCAATTTTCAAAGAAACACTGACATTAATTTTATCCACATTTTGTAGCAGTTAACCTGGGTCTCAGAGTACCTTTTAATCAGATTTCAAACAATTAATACTGGTCAGAGTGCATTGAACAAAAAATTAATGTTGCTGAGACAGTCAAATTTGGATAATTGGCATTAGCTACTTCAGAAAGCTGTCACTCTACTACAAGATGGGTTGACTTTCTTTCAGGTAAGTAAAATTCTATCCTCTTTCAGCACATCGGTAATAAAGCCGTAAGTAACATAAGTAAATAATAGCCATAAAAGCCTGCTTTTTTAGAAATTCTTCCTCTTATCTACTTCTTCATTGCAATCATACGTTTAAAATTAGTTTTTAACAGGTTTATATATATATATATATATATATATGTGTGTTCCCCAAACTAGACACATCATGTTACTTATTTCCACTTTCTTTCTATTTATAGTTGTATTTAATAATGGTATCCAACGAAATCCTTAACAAATGTGTAAAAAAACAAAGGAAACCAATTAACTTAAATGTTACCGAAGATCCGATCTGGATCAATGACTGCATAACTGATACGGCTAAAATTTATGTTCAAGCTAAAAAGTAAATATAAACTGTCCTTGTGAAAATTCACGAAAAAGGAAAGAAGCCACCAACTTACAGTTTTCAGTTTGTTATACAAGGCCAGTCTGGTTACCAAGATCTTTGCCGTCTTGTTCATCTTGGTTCCAATAACTGTTCCCACGAACTGCGCCATGTTGGGTTTTCACTTACTATGTCATTTAGCGTTACATGAATTGTTCAATCCTAAGTACCAGGCTTATGTCAACGCCTCCCATTGCCTTCACATCTGCATTTTGCGGTTTGCAGATGTCACTCTCGAATTCCTTCATTTAAATGAAGGAAGTAGGTTGAAAACCTGTTGGAAAGCTGTGTATTCGTGTGTTAATTAGTTTTGGGCGTCTCAAAAGGAAGCCGAGACAAGGTTCTAACCAACAATGCAGGCGCCATACCCTCCTCCTTCTGCACCTCCAAGCGCCCCTTCAACTTCACAGTTTGTTACTCGTGTTCAGCTAAATATTTCTTGCAGAAATCTGCGAGACAAAGATGTCATGTCTAAGTCTGACCCAATGGCCGTGGTGATGTCATTTAAAGATGGTGGCTGGTTTGAGGTGAATAGTGTACATAGGCATATATTTGATTTCATTTCAACAATGTTTTTGTTTCGCAATCAACAGTCAATTGAAATAGCTTGAGAACCTCACTTACGGGCAGGGTCTAAATATAATTTAATGATGTGGGTTGTTTGTTTCGCAGTTGTTTAGCAAGTTGGAGGTTTATAGTTTTACAAGGATATTGCTACACATTTATGGGTAAAATTTCCGCACAGCCCCATCCTACATTATGCATTCAGTTCTTGAACAGAGGAAACAATGACAAAAATAATACATTTCCGTTGGGAAAATAGATTTGTTTTACAATAGTATGGGGCTGTGCGGAAACTTTACCCATTTATGTTATTGGAAAAATCTCGGCGATCCGAAATTAGATTAGAGATTAGAGATTTATTATTTCAGATCGTTGGACTTCGTGGGGCAGGTTCTCCAGCAGTCATTTATGACGAATGTAAAACAGCAATCAATTATTCGAGAATGTTTTTGAAAATTATTGTATATTTAATAATTATCGACCTGTTTTAGTTCTCTCTTCAGCAAGTAAAATATTTGAGAAATGTATTTTTAATCAGCTTATGTCCTATCTTACGGATGAAGACATGACTTCCTCCAAACAATATGGATTTAGATCAGGTTAAACAACCTTTGACTGTCTAATTGGTCTTATCGAAGAATTAACTTCTGCTCTTGATCAAGGAAACTATGTGGTCTCTTTATTCTTAGACCTAAGTAAAGCTTTTAGCATTGTAAATCATCAATTATTATTAAATAAACTTGAGTATTATGGATTACAACAAAGGGAAAGTAACTGTTTCCAATCTTATTTAAATAACAGGAAGAAGTAGTTGCATGTGAATGGTGTTGCTTTTTAGTCATGTTCCATCTCCACCAGTGTACCTCAAGGATTGATACTAGGACCTTTGCCATTCATTATTTTTATAAATGACCTTCTCAAGTCTTCTGCTTTTTTTTTACTCGATTATATGTAGATGATACTCCTTTAACAGTTTCTGGAAGTGATCTTGACAATTTAATGTGTGAAATTAAGAATCATTTGCTAGCTGTCTACAAATGGTAATGCAGTAATAAGTTGACCTTATATTTGACGAAAACTGAGTATCTTATTTTTATGCCTTGTCAAAAGGAAAATTACAATTTGTATCCACCATCAAGTGTAGTAAATGTTCATTTAGAGAAGTCCTCTTTTATGTCAGATACCTTAGTGTGTATATTGACTGTCACCTCACTTGGTGTGACTATATATATTGACTACATATGTGGCAAAATTAGCAAAAATATAAATATAATGGTTAAGTTAAAACAATTTGTCCCAAAAGCAACACTTATTAGTTTGTATTATTCTCTTATATATCCTTTCCTTACTTATGCTTGTACACTATGGGGAAATAATTATAATGCTCCACTGTCTCAAATTGTAAAATTACAAAACAAAGTGGTTTGTATTATAAATTATGTTCCTTTAATGTAATCAACAACTCTACACTACGTATCTCCTTAAGTCTTTTGAAATTTTTTATTCATTTTATCACGATAATTACTAGTATCTTAGCATATGTTGCATATTTTAATTTTATCATAGTATATTTTAAATAATTATCAGTTAGATATCCTGTATTAAATTGCTATAGATAGAAATCATGTAATGCGCGCTTGATCATTTCATGGAAAGCGCGCAATATAAGAGTTAAATTATTATTATTATTATTATTATTATTATTATAATTTCCTGATATTGTTAAACTGAACACTTGACTTGTATCCTTTTTTATGATTATTTCCAGAATGAAAAGTTTCCTACTTTACCTGTTTCACTAGTATCTGAGCTACGTAACTACAATACCTGCAGTGCCGCCATCATCTAATCAAGTAGTCATACCTTCATTTTGAATTTATCTCAGGAGATTCTGCCTGAGTGTTATTGGTAGATTCTTTTGGAATAGTATCCCATAATTAGTGAGAGGCAAACCATCAAAAGAGATGTTTAGAAAAGCACCCTTACACTGGTACCTTCCTCAATACTTATGAAACATCATCTCTGACAATTTACTGAGCTATTTTTGAAAGTATTCCTCTACTTTTTTACTAAAAAATTACAAGTTTTTTGTTATACTGATGTAACTTAAGGGGCACAATAATATTTTATCTAGAGGTGTCCCTTTCCTCTTCTTCCCATATACAATATGACTCAATTTAAGTGGTTTAATTTTGTATTGTAAATTTTCTTTCCTTGAAAAATTTTGTATTTTTTACATACTTTTTCACCTTAAATCTAATTCTGTATTATCACTTGCCAAGGTTTGGAGGAAAAAAATGATTAAAAATAAACAATTTATAATAAAAATTATTTCAGTTTTCTTAATTTTGATTATGGCTTTATGACCTTTAAATTTCAATTGGCAAGTCAGACTTCATTAATCTTGCATTTTAGGTCAACTCTTCCTGTTTACACTTTTCAAAAAAATTTGTTAAAAGTCAATAAACTTTATTTAAATATGCTGCCCGCCCATGCTCTTTTTCTGTACATAAAACGAGAACTGTTCTGAAAGCTGTAAACTGTTATTACTATTTACAGGAGGAACTATTTTTAAGACTGAAATAGAAACAATAGTTCACCATTTTGGTCATTAAATGTACTAAAAAAGAAATAATTAGAAGTGGATGTGTATTTTTGAGTGTAATACTACTTAATCCCATTGAAGGTGACATGTACAAGTTTGTCATCTCGCACAATGAAAAATTTTCTTTGGGAGGTGTGGATGAAATTTGTTTCAGTAGAGATGAGCTGATTCAAGAATGTTATACTCCTTTCAGTATGCAATAGACATCTATTTGACAACATGTTTTTAAATCTCAGGTTGGAAGAACAGAAAGGTTGGATAACACATTGAACCCTCAATTTTCAACAGCCATTATTATAGACTACTTTTTTGAGGAGCTGCAGAAGTTGAAGTTTTTCATCTATGACATTGACAGTTCATCCATGAGTCTAAAGTCTGCTGATTTCTTAGGGGAAATGGAGTGCACTTTGGGTCAGGTAGTCTACAACTTTTTATACTCAGCTACATCTATGTTTAACAGTTTAACTACACTGAACTCCAAATGAATAAATCTTAAACTGCATGCAGAAATATCACAGAATAATTATTTGTAGCCACTCAGGTAATTTATCATTCATTAGCTGTAAATTCTTGCTCCACATTTCAGTATCATAAAAGTCTGCACACTTGTAGCTAACAGTCTCTTGCTGCCAAAGGTTTTCCTGATTTCTGATAATGGAAGCACTAATGGAATTGATGATAATTTTGCTGCTAATCATTTTATAACAGATGTACTTAGCCCATCATAGCTTAACTCACCAAGCAGGTTGTTACTTTTGGTTTCAAGTGAGGTTTCACTATTACCCTGTATGTACTCCTTTATAGAGAGAAGTTCTTTTAGAGCAAAGTGATTAACCACATTGTGTAAATACATCTCATTCAATGGTTTAACCTATAATACATGCATATTTTTTGCATGTTATAAAGTATTTCTCCAAGCTTCATAATAAGAGCAGAGAAAGATATAAGGAATGAGCAGAATGTCTTCTCATATTATATGACTTGTGAACCATTGAATGAGATACTCATAATTTTGGCATTATTATTTCATTTTCAAGTGTTTTGGTACATCTGAGCACAGTATTAATTGAAAATGGCCTGTGTGAAAGACAGAAGTAAAACCAACGACGTGCTTTCTGACTAACAAAAACGATATAAGGTGCCAAGAAATTATTTCTTGAAAAGTCAAGCCTTAAAAATGGAAGTTTGGATCACTTAGTGTGGCCATTTTGTTGCTCTGCTTTCTGTCCACCATGCCATACAATATGCCATACCATGCCATATTTTGCATGTTTTATTTCCCTATTGTGGTAAAAAGGCGTGGTAAAGGAATAATATTACATATCATACGACAACCCTGGTTAGATCTTCATTGTAATATTTTCAATTCAAAGTACCAGGTGCTAGCTATAACAAAAGAGCCCTATTCATTCAATAACAATTAAAGTAAAAAACTATGAGATGTGTTACTGAATTTCCCTGATCATGATTTCTCATGTTTGTTTCCAGCTTGTGTCATCTGGAACTTATACAAAACCACTAGCTCTTAAAGGTACTGCTGAGAATCGAGCTGGGATGATAACGGTGGGTTGATATTGTAAATATTTTAACAAACCCACCCTCCCTCCTTCTTAACAACTAAAAATTACAAAATGATATCATAAGGCAAAATGATAGTGGTAATGCTAAGATCATTGTTTTTTACAAGTATTAGATGAATTATTAATAATTCTTTAGTTAGTAATTTGGTCCCAGTACTGTTTGATGTTAACTAAACACTTGTATTCATTTTTTAAATAACCTGCTGCAATTATTAGGTGGTAGCAGAAGAAGTTTCTGGTGGAAACGATGAGGTGCATTTCCAGTTTAGAGCTGAAAAGTTAGACAAAAAGGTTGGTGGCATGGCTTTGTTATGACAAATAGTGCATACTGTTTTCTACAATGAAATTATGATGGAAGATAAGCAGAATTAACTCAACAGCAGAGGTTACCAGGAGTAGTGCCACTACTGTGGACTTCTAGATCTGGGCTGGGTTGTTTATCCTTTCACTCCCAATCTCTGAAAGCTAAATTCTCCAAACAACTGGTTGTATGTATAGTTCTCTTTGGAACGGTCCTGAGAATATGGGGTTACATTTAAGCAATAAACCCCTGATTGATAATCTTCTTAATTCTCATAATCTGATAACATGCCAGTGTGTAGAAACAGTGAGGAAAATTGATGATGCGATTTCTCCTGTAAATTAAAAGAAGACCAACAAGGGTAAGGGTGACTTTTGGAATGGACGTAGTTTTATGGCATTTTTTTTTTCATAGCAGGGGTGATTTGCATGAAACATGCACACACACAAGCCATATTATCACCAATTTTACCTAAGGTAGAGCAACTTATTTTAATGTGATAAATGTGTTTTTAAGATGCTTATGCATGTATGTTCCAATCTCTTAAAATTTTTGTCAAGGATTTTCTTGGAAAGAGTGATCCCTATTTGGAATTTGCAAGATCGAAGGAAGATGGAAGTTTTGTTGTTGTACATAGGACAGAGGTTAGTTAGTGAATGTACATGATTGGATAAGATGTATATTTTTGATGCCTTCTATAGTTACAATGACCTTGTTTTTATCAACCTTTATACAGGTTATTCAGAACAACCTAAATCCCAAATGGAAACCATTTCAGATTCCAGTGCAGCAGCTGTGCAATGGAGATTATGACAGGACTATTCGAGTAAGTACTTAAAGAAGGATATCGTAGTTCTTTCCATCCAACTGAAATACAGTTTCCTTCAAAAGATCTAAGGAAAACTATAAAGAAAAGTGATCGACCTGGAGATAAATTTTGTCCTGTATCTGGAAGACTTGTGGATAAACTTAGAGAGTTAGCACACATTTTATTGAGGGGATACCCTCAGCCAAAGAACAAAAACTTGTCTCCTACAGTCTTAAAAAGGCTCCCATACCCTTTTCATATGTTACCTTCCTTGAAAAGACACAATTATTGTCTTTTTTCATAAGGACATGCTAATATTAGTCTTGAGTATATCCCTGATTAGAAATTCCATTATATTTGTTGCATTTTTTAAAAGGGATACCTCTGTATAGGGGATCTTTTCCTTGTCCTGATTGTGTATCTTGAATAAAGTTCCATAGTGATGGATTGTATATGTTGCCTTCATTGAAGGGACACCTCTAAATTATTATGTAGAGGGACACTTTTTCTAAATGTAAGGGTGTTCCCTGGGCATGGAAGTTTCAAATAATATAATATTATTTTCCATCGTTTTTTTTAGATTTTGTGTTATGATTGGGATTCTGATGGATCACACGACTTTATTGGTGGATTTACAACAAATCTTCGTGAGATGTGCTCTGCTCAACCATCAAGGGAGGTACAGAACAAAGTTAAAGACATTTATTTGAATTTAGTGTAGCACCTGGAATTTATGCTCCTGTTGTTCAAAGTTTTCCTTGGTGTCAAATTTTTGAAGCTGTAACCTCTAGAATCTGGTTTTAGTTATTCTCCTCTTTAGGAACAAGGTGTTTCCTAGAATATTAGTTACCAAATGATAATTTAATATTTCATCAACTTGAAGATAACACTTTCTTGCTGATCAATGTCTATTCTCATTAGCTATATTCTGGACTATGTATCAAAACTGTAAAGAGAAGTAGCATGTTGGTCACTTCTGGAAGTTGGAGTGTAAACTCCTGTAATATTGATTCTTGGAATCCTTTACGTAAGACTTCAGTTTCTAAGATTTGAAATAAAATCACTGAGAAGCTTAATGTCATTATTTAATTGCTTTCAATTGGTGATTTTTATCTCTCTTTAAAAGCTGAATAGATAAATTATCATGAAACCCATACAGTTGATCAGTAGATCAGCCTTAACAGTTAAGTTTTTTTATTGATAGGGAACAAATTAAAATAATTGATGTATCCTCTGGCTTGTTTTTAGTGGCCATGTATTAATGAAAAGAAACAGAAGAAAAAGCGTGGTTACAAAAATTCTGGAGTAGTTTTTGTTATGAAATGTGAGGTTGGTTTTCTGATTTTCATTAGTATAATTGAAATTGTTGTTTAGTTATAAGTCTTCAATTGATTTTCTGTAATTTGTTTAGGACATATACAATTAATATCAAAGAGATTATTGTTCCTCTTGAAAGACAAAGTTTCTTATAGACAAATCATTTCTGTTTAGAGACTATTGAGACAGCAAAAGGGTCACTCTTTACTGCGATTTAGCCCAGTTTTAAAAAACAATCCAATTTTAGGGTTGTGCTTATTAATTCCCTTGGTTACTGGATAATCTTTTTGAAGTGTTTTATCATCATCTGTTAAAAATTATCCTTTCATTAGGTTGTGAAAGTATCTTCGTTCTTAGACTTCATTCAAGGTGGCTGCCAGCTAAACTTCACAGTAAGTTGTAGATTTATGTTTAACTTGATGAAAATAAGAAATCCAGGGAGAGTTCTTTAATTTATATTATTTTGTCTCAGCCTTACCAATGTTGATTCAAAATTCTCTCTCATGGCTCATATACTTTTTGGAGTTGAGTCAAGGTTATTCTCTCTAGCTGATGAATTTGTCTATTATCACTTATATATGCTGGAGTATGTATAGACATAGTAATAGGAAGTTACATGTTCACACTTATCTGATGATTAAAGGAGTCAAGAATTCAGTGAGGAGAAGTGTGGGTAGAGGGACAAACTTGAAAATGTGTTCAAGTTGCACTTTGTTTTACTTAATAGCAAACTTTCTGAAAGATCAGCTATGTTAATTATTTCTGTTTTTTTTTTTCAATATCTGTTTGGAAATTTATAACAACAATCTTAGAGCAGTGTTGATAGCTTTGGGTATCCATTTATTGTTATGAAAATAAAGAGACAACTTCTGATTCACATTGTTCATTTCTGAATCAATAACTACAATGTTCTTTGATAATAACCAATAGGTTGGTATAGATTTTACAGCTTCCAATGGTGAACCAAACCAGTCAACATCCCTTCACTACATCAACCCTTATGCACCAAATGAGTATCAGCAGGCTCTGACAGCTGTAGGAGAAATCATCCAGGACTATGATAGGTGTGTAGATTTGAGGACAGTTTCATGCCCTCCATCAGTCCAGAAAACTGACACATTATTTTGTAAATTTTCTAAACCAAAAACCGCATGCAAAACCATCAAAACTGACAAATTTTCACATCCCTGTTATCAAAACTTTAAATGATCTAATTCACAGCTATTCAAGATCATAATGGTGGTGCAACTGTGACCCAAATAGGAAAAGTCAAAAAACCCTATTGGATACAAAATCCAAAAGCCCAGGAGTGCTTTTTAACGAATACCAAAACCCAAATGTTTTAAAACAGACAATCTGTGAACTGCAATGAACACCAAAACTGCAAAACCAAAAATCCCAATGCCTCCCTCCGATAGTACCAGTGTGCAGGACAACTGGTTGAAAGGTCCAGGTCTGAGGGCTAGCTTTGGCTCTGAGTAAATACATGTAGTCCTGCAAAAGGCACTTTAACCTTGAAAACATCAATCAACGAATTATGATTATCATAGCATTTTAACTCAGCAATGAGGTGCATGCAGCAAAGTTGATTAAAATCATGTTTTGATGTGAGGAAATAAGTTTTGTAGTTGTATATAAATCATTGTTATCACATTCCTAGTGATAAACTCTTTCCATCCTTTGGATTTGGAGCAAGAATTCCACCGACATATCAGGTAGGTTTTCCAGGCAGAACATTTTATTAGTGATATTCTAAAAAATACCTCAGCGTTTTTCACTATTTCTTAAAAATCTGAGAAACACGTTTCTTAATGTCCCAGTTCGTTTATTTTAGTTGGTGTATTTATTTTTCCCCTAGGCTTTACTCTTTTCATATTTTTTCTTTCCAGTTTTTAAGCATACATCCAAGGCAGCTGTCATCAAATTGTGATGTGGGATTGATATTTCTAGGCTTTAAGTTTTGAAATTGAAATTTACCTGTATAGTGAAAGTGACAAGATTCTAATGGAAAGGAACTGCTGCACAAACCCTTTTTTTTTTCATTTCAGGTTTCTCACCAGTTTCCATTGAATTTTAATCCCAATAACCCATATTGTGCAGGTGTGAACTTCAATTATTTATAATTTATTTGTTATCAGTTTTAAATGTCCTGACTAAGAATTATTTACCTGAGAAGAGCTTCAACATGAAATTAACACGCTGTATTTATTGCTCTTTGCAACTTCAGAACCAGTAGGCTTCTAGAGCATATTCATATAATGTCACAACTTGATCATTACATTGGTGTTTGTAACCTAGTCTTGTTACTTTATAGGTCTTGCTGGTTTGGTACAAGCTTATCAAGCCTGTATACAAAGTGTACAACTTTATGGTCCAACAAACATCTCACCTATCATCAACCATGTGGCTCACTTTGCACATGAAGCAGCCCACTCCCAAACTGCCACTGTAAGTTGTAAAAACAGGGACATGCTTTATCTAATCCAACACATAAATAATTATTTACAATTGTATTTACCAAAGTTTTGTAACACCTTATTTCAATTTTATCAAGTATCTTAGGGTATAGTTAACCAATGCCACATTGTCCACAATTTATTATTGCTTGAATTGCTTTTTTAGAACTACTTCATACTACTGTTATTGACTGATGGTGTAATCACAGACATGGATCAGACCAAGGAGGCTGTAGTGGCGGCATCAGCACTTCCCATGTCAATCATTATTGTGGGTGTTGGAAGTGCTGACTTTGCAATGATGGAGGAACTAGATAGTGATGACCAAGTGTAAGTACTTGTTCATGGAGTTAAGTTAATATTTTCCCTTCCAATAGGACTTAAATGTAACTCTGTCTCAGCATTTTATCATTGACTGTTGTTCAGTCTTACTTCTTGTCTTCTTGCATTTTTCATCTTGCTGGGCCATACAAATGCAGGGCTTTTTTCTGGCCATTTGAACTTGGACTTTATTAGTGTCAATCAATGAAAGTGTCTGTGTGGCCACACAGGTGACATGAATCAGAATATAGATTCACATTCTTGATTAGTATGTCTTAGCATACAAGCAGGTTTTCACAGACACCGGAGCTCAGACAAGCTCTTCCTACCAAAGTAAAGCTGGTGAGAAAAATTGCTGCTTCTGCCACAATACCTATATGAGTGCCCATATGCACAGGTTAACAATTTAAGGACAGGATAGTTGATTATATTCAGTGTTGTGTTTTATGTATTCAGATCTGCATAGAAATGATCAGAGGTAATCAGAGTCATATGTATGGGTCACTTAAAATGTTAAGTATAGTGAACCCGAAAATGCAGATTAGAGCACTGTTATTACACCTTGCTGAGTAGATAATTTATTCTCATTTTTGCCAGCAGGTTGATGGCTCATGGAAAAGCTGCTCAAAGAGATATTGTTCAGTTTGTCCCCTATAGGAAATTTAAAAATGTAAGCTTTGTATTGATCATCCTTTTACAAACCACATTTGGTTTTTCCATGGGAAGCCCATAATTCTTTTGCATGGGTTCCTGGACTGTCACTGAAAAGCAAGTGATTGTTTATTATTTCAGCTTGAGAGACCACTCCCTTGTTTGAAATTTCCTCTTTTCCCCCTTCCTTAGGATATATATTCATTTGGTATAATTATATTCTAGAATATGGCTTTCCAGGGAAAGTTTTTTCCTATTCAGGTATGATTCCATTACAAACCCTTTACAAGGATGTCACCACCAGTCAAGATGGCTTGATATTGGCCACATTGTGTGGGTGTGTCAGTGTGTTATGGGCAAGGTGAAATTTTGGTCTACATTATGAACGAGAAAGCCAGCCTAATAAACCAAGAGTTTATCTTATCGAGGGAAGTCAATACAGTCATGTAAATTCAGTTGCTAATTCAAAACAGGTGCTTGTCAAGGGAATCAATTCAAACACAGATTTCACTTCATCTTACCCACATGCAGAGCTAGTAATAAAATAATAAATATCTTCTGATCATCAACTAAGAATTTATGGCATGATCAATAGAGTAAGTAGTAAGCTTGTGTTTTAGGTTTCTCCTGCTGCCTTAGCAAAAGAAGTCTTGGCTGAGGTTCCCAAGCAACTGACAGACTACTTCAGGGCAAGAAACATTTTACCACAACAGAGACCAAATGTGAATATTCCATAAAAGAGGATACACAAGACAAGACTATTGTACAAGTTACAGCTTACAGTTGGCTTTTAATTATGGAAAAGTTGTGTAAAAAGACCAGAAATATAAAGTCCAACAAGTTAAAACTATACTTATTTATATCAGTAGTAAGTCTTGGTTTTTTAAAGATGTATAAATCCCTTATATGTCATAGTTTTCCCCACGTGAGTTGTAGAAAGGTTAATATGGAATTGAAATTTATTTCAGAAATCTAGGGTTTAGATATTTTAAAGTTTGCCAATAATTATCTTTAACCCTTTTATGTCCTTAGATCAGTAGTCTCCATGCTGTTCTTTAGACATTTCCTAAGGTGCTGACAAGGAGAATTTATTTAACAATGAAGGGCCTCTTTAACTGGTGATAATTTCCTTTAAGGAAGTGACCTTAATTTGGTATCCAGTGGTGATATTGTAAGGGAATAGATTTGAGTTACTTTTAAGGGGTCAAAAGGTTTAAAAGTAAGTGGAGAAGATTTCTGATGTGTATGAAGTAATCTTTCCTTCCTCATTTAGTTGGTTTAGTAGAAGGTAGTCATTAAAAAACTACCTCTTGGCACCTTTGTCTTCAGTGTGAGTTATAGATTATCAGTGAAGATGCTGGATTGCAGCTATGCGAGGAGCATGTTTGCAAGTTTTCATGGGTGATCTTGACTGATGAGTGTATTTCTTAGCTTATTTAATATGTACTTTTGATTAGGGAAACAGACTAAGCTGAATCATGCAAAGGCAAATTATAGATACTTTTAGTTAATCAACTGAAATAGTGTCTAGACAATCCTAGTCTGTACAACTGTAAGACCTTAATATTGTTATTTTACTCCAAAATAGTGGTCAGTGTAAGGGGAAAATTCCAGACAAGTGTGCAGTAAAAAATGTAACATCAAAAAATGTAACATCATCAGAATTCTACATGCTTTCATCCAGAAAGTGACAAAATGAGTTGTTCATTTTCTGGTGTAAAGTTCCCAGCAGTGGGTCAATCTCAACATCACTCAGAAATCTAGAATGATCCTTGTGACGTGCAGTTGAGACATAGTTGGGCTTCTTTACAATTAGCAATAAAAACTACATGTATCATCAATCATCATCCCTTTTATAATTCACAGAATACAATATCAAATATATTGATTGTTCTGAGTTACATTTCCTTGAGTTCATTGAATTAAAAAAATAACATTTAGGCTAATCTTCCCCTAATCATAATAGATATATTAATAATTTGAAGAACAATAAAGAGGCTGGAGCTACTTTATTTAAAAATAAATATCAAGGAAAATGTGCCTGTATACTAAATTTGCTATAAAGGAATTAAAGTGTTTAGAAAATAACACTACGTTATAAGATGTATTTAAAAATGATACTATAATTACAACTAATCACAGACCTACATCAAAATTTTCAACATGTTAAACATGGCTAAAATTGAGAATTAAATCTAAGATGTCTTCTGTGTGCAATTTTCATAGCTAATTCCAAAGTATTACAAACTACATCACCAACTGTTTTACGCTCCTAAATTAATTTACAATTTATCGAATGAAATTTTTTAGTTGTTAGTAGTAATTTCAGCCAGATGGTGTAGCAAGAGGTGAAGAATTATTCACTAAATAATGTATACAGGACAATAAGTATCTTCAGGTATAAACGGTAATTTAAATATAACAAGTTTCACCAAGTAAACAAATTTCCATGTCCATTTTGTTCATGTGGCAATGTGATGATTATGAAGAGGAACCAGTAATTTCAAATAGGAGCTGAAAAGTACCTCTCAACTGATCAATTGCATTTCATTGATGATGACTAAACACCAGAATTGAGCAAGGATACCAGCCTCTAATCACAGTCTAGCCCAAAATATTATTTTTCTTGAGTTTCCTCAAGTCTTTCAATTAGCTAATTAAATAATTGGCAGACAACTGGCCAACTTATTAACCTCAGTCTCAGATGTTACTTGCATGTAATATTTCTGGTTGCCTGTGACTAATTCTGAACTAAAAAGGGCTATTAGCACCATCAGAAAAAATTAAAACCCACAAAATTTTCAAATGGTGCAGCACACTATCACGAGATTTTAACGGAATTGGTAACTTGACAATTAGTGCTACCATTCAGGCAACCTTATTTACAGACTGAATGTTCATGTACCAAACTAAATTATTTTTCACTATCATCATTGTCCACATTTTGACATATTCCTTCCACTAAATCATTGAATTTCTCAGGTTTATCCACATAGACATGATGTCCTGCTCCAGTAATTACTTGAACATTGACGTAACATCCACTTCATCTTTCTTTGGTTTCCTTCCCTGTGTTGTGATCAATCCATGATCTTGATCCATAGATCATGGTTATAGGAATGTCTCTGTTGACATTACCAATTCTATATATCATTGGATGCTTAGCCCAGCCATATGGGATTGTCATGTTCTTGAAAGCTGTCTCTCCACTGTAGAGAATAAATATATCTCTGTCATTAGATGTTTTGGTGTGAAGCATCGCTGAGTATTTTAATGAGTTGCGCCATATTTTGACTTACCCTATGGGCTTGTCAAGATATCGCACAGCTCGTAAAAATACTCAGCAATACTACACACCAAAACATCTAATAAGTTATTTATTATCCAACTGCCTTTTTTCTGCTAAGTCTTTCAGCTGATTTTGCATAAGGTGGAAAAAGCAAAGCAGATAGAGAAGTGTAGCGCACACAGCCAACTGGTTAACCAGGGTCTTTTACAGTACAAAATAACCAACTGTCAGAATAACTGTAAAATATTGCAGAATATTTGTACTCTATTTGCACATTATTTGTACTCTACTTTGTGCACTTGGATAATAACAATCATTTATTAGGTGCTGAGCAATGAATGAGGGACAACCAACTGTTTGATAAAACTCCTCAGTGTCTTTCCCATTGCCTAGTTGAGGTCATTGCATATTATCTTCTAGGAGACACGTAACTATTGGAGTGCTTCTCTCCATTCCTAAATAAAATGGGTATTAGTCGGCTGTCAACAAAAACCCTTTTGTTGGAAATCACAGAAATCTTTTACTCATCACCAATTCTCTCTCTTACCTAGGTACTTGTGCATTGCAGTGATAAATATAGTTAAATATGGTATCATCTGGCAGGATACTTGAGAACTTTCTTTGAAAATCAGGTCTGAATTGTCGCACTAGAGAAGGACCTATAAATTACAAGAAAAAGTGATATCAAATATTCCATTATTATGTAATAAATCAAAATATAATTTAGAATATAAAGTTATAACCTTTTGCTCTCCGCTTCAACTATCAAGTATGGGACAATGAGGATCTCACTTTTCAGGTCAGGCCTTTACCTGGAGAGCCTCTTAACCTTTAACTCCCATGAATCACAGAGACACAATTTCTCCTTACCATAGTATTTCAATATCAAGCAAACAAGAAATGTGAAAAAAGGAAAAAAACAATTCAGGGATTGACAGTTGATCCAATCCCTAACTCTCTAAACTAACATCGTGAAGACTCTATGGCAGACAGTGAAGAGAATTACTCCTGAGATCTTGGGACTTGCCTGAAGGGAAGGACTTAGGGGGGGAGGCTTTCACCCCCACTGCTGTGGAGGTCCTGACATGTAATTCAATGTAAAAGATTTGTCTCACACTGGCTGGCATCCACTATGTTGAAAGAATAGCATCAACTTCGCAATTTATTTATTTACTCACCCCAAGGACCAGCCGCACGTAATCCAGCCAATGGATTAAATGGACTTAAAACAGCTCCTAGGAATTTAACCCACACAGGGATGTGTATATTCATATTATCTTCAGTAGGTTTCACTGGAAAGCCCCATGGATCAGCTAAGATCAGATGTTGGATCCTGGAAGGGTACCTCAAGGCATAGGAACTTGCCAGGAACCCACCGAGGCTGTGACCCAAAAGAACAAACTTTTCAAGGCCGACGTTCTCTCGCCACTTCTCAATGGAGTCCACAAACTGTTCTTCAGCTTCCAATGGATCTGAACTCAACTGAGGCCGGGAGCTGCGACCAAACCCCAGCACATCAAATGCGTAAACAGACCTGTTCTTGGAAAGGGCATCAAAATTTAATGCCCAAAGACCAACACCTCCTCCAAACCCATGAACCAAGACCAATGGTACTCTGCTAGCTTTTGGATTGAACTTTAATGTCCATATTCTCTGTCCATTTTCCAACGGTACAAATCGGCTTTCATAATGAGATTGGGTTTCTATGAGAAAGTTTCATCAGGAAGACAGAGTTAAATATAGCCCCGCTTTCACTTTGTTTGTCATGTTTTATTTACCACGGATGATGCAGTAATCATAAAATTGAAAAATTATATATTAAGTAGAAATGTGCTTAGTATGACCTTTTAGGAGACCCCAATGCAAGGGAGAGTGCTTTCGCGTTCTTAGCGTGAATCTGGTTACGTAATAAGTTTTGGCACACGGATGTAATGAAGGCAGTTCAAGGTCAGACGGTTATAGAAATTATTATGCAGGGCAGGACACGTACAGCACGAAAAAACCCTGGAAGTAATTCAAACATGAGGGATGTTGCAGTACGTAGTTTTGTAAAGTCCGTAAAGCGAATGAATTAGTCAAAGCTTTGAGATGGCTTTGAACAATCTACACAAACAGATAAATAAAACACTGACGTAACTTTTTAAGCGACAATAGAATACACGCGATGTTTCACTCGTTTGATCGCGACATCATAAAGTTTCGCTGAAATAATGATCACTGAACCCTCACTTTGTAATATTTGAGACTCTGCTTCCTCTAACAGCTTCTCTGAGGTCGGGGACCACGTAAACCAACTACTAATCCAACTGCAGGCGCCAGCGCTTGATTCATTCCCGCCAACACTTCAAGAGAAAAACTAGATATTCTCAATCTGCTTCAGAAAGCCTTCTATGGATTAAAAAAGAACTTCAACCACTTGATTATTACTCTACCTTTGATCTCTCGTATCCTCCATGTGTTATTATAAGAGATGTTGTTCAGGTCACGTTTTCTTCATCTTCTCTTTGTTTATTAGCTGTTGGTCAGCGTCTGACATATCCGACATTGAAACATGTACTGTATATTGTTTATCTTTGTTACGTCACGCGAACACCACTACACATGCGCAGTTAAAATGACCCTTGAAATGGGCGGGTATTCAAACTCTGTTTTCAGCTGTTAAATTTCACTTTGCTAAATCATCCTTTGCACCAACTCCCGGTCTTTAACCACGTTATTTTAATAAAACTCGGATCAATCTCTGTGACCTGCGATCAGGCGTTCGATTTTCTTTTCAAAATTGGAAATCACGACGATAACCCAAGCAACGGGTTGTAGCGGAACAAAAGATTAAATGAGCGGCAGGGTAATAGCTCTGCACGTGTAGTTTCAACCTTTGCACATTTCCCAGCCGTCCAGTGCAAAACAACAATGAGGAGCAGGGAAGGTGCCTCTCACCGCCTTGCCCAGGGGTTCGATTCCCAGGCCTGACCTCACATGTGAGTTGAGTTTGTTGTTGGTGCTCGTCCATGTCCTGAGGGTTTTTCGGTATATGTACCTGTTACGTTTTTCTGTCACCTAACTAATTTTTTTCCAGACTGACCAGATTTTATAAGCATTCTCGTTCCAATTTTAAATCACAATTGTTTCATTACAATGTAATTTGGAGGGATCTCAGTTTCCACATCTAAGGAGATTGCAAAAGACCAGTGAATCTAGTGAAGAACAATGCTTGCACCAAGATGATAGAGAGAAATATCAAATTACAAAAATAACGTCTGAAATGTGTTAAAAAATTTTATTGATTATATTTCTGATTATTTTCTATATAAATAATTGTATATAATTAAACAACTCAAAATCTGTTGGTGATTTGTGAGTGAAGTATAACTTTTTGAAAACAACATACTATAAATATTTTAAATACAAGGGTTCTATGAACCATTTTTTATAGTATTCATGTTACGTTACAAGTTAAACGATAATGCGGATAGTTTAAAATGAATTGTGGGAGTCTAGACATACATTTGCAGGGAAATGAAGAAAACAACTTCGCAGAAGTAAAAGAAATGTATCCTAATACATACATAAATATGATGCACAATTTGGCTGTTGGTTTTAATCCCCCCCCCCAGCCCAAAACCTTTGGAGATTCCATCATTTTGTTAGCTGCTTAAGCATCAATCACTTCAAAGCTTTAACATCTCCTTTCTGTGGCAGCCCCACTAGTCATTGGAACATTTGAAGAATTCAGCTCTTTACCTTTAAATTCCACCATATTTACAATAAAACACTTGTATTCTCACTAGAGAGACTTGACACTTCCAGTTCAAATTACCCACCCCAGCCAAATTGATTGTTGCATTAGTTTTAAATGTTTGGTTTTTTAAACCCTCATTCCCCTCAGAATATCCAATGATTTTCCAGCCAGTAGATTGGAATGAACGAATGTCAAAATAAGATCAATAGATATGTTTCTAAGCTTACCTTAGTGTTATGTTTTTAGACACAAAAAATTCAACACTGATCAAATCAGCTTGAAATAGAAATGACTTGATTATTGTTCAATCAGTAAAGATATATAAACTGATACCTCAATAATGTCCCTATTTCTTTACATGCTTAAAAGCTACGAGTTTTAGTTCAGTCAATGGTCACATAAAGTAGTTTGTCCTCTTTGCGACAAATTTTATTTACAGCCACGTTAAATGCCTCTGGCTGATCTGCATAAACATGGTGTCCAGCATCAACAATCACTTGTACATCAACATAACCACTGCGACTATTTTTAATTTGATAGCTGGGTGAACAATCAATCCAAGACTCTGAGCCATGGATCATTGTCATTGGAATGTTTTTGTCCAATTCACCAATTCTGTGAATCATGGGGAATTTTGCCCAGCCATACAACTCTGACATCTTCTTGAAAGCTGTTTCACCGCTGAAACACAAAAAAAGAAAAGAATTAAACAATATTAACTTAGATAAAAATCAGCCCTGTTGTCTGAGACAACTTTTACAAACTTATTTCCTCATACTGAAAAAGAAACAAAAACCAGCATTATAAATTCTAATTTGACCTGGAAACAATGGACAAGAAGAGCCACCTCATGGAATGTCCTCTGCTAAATCCCATTATTTATTTATTTTACTATCATTTGTTAAGACACTTGTAAACCTCTCTGGGCCTGTGGAGCTTATTTATTTCAGGACATTCCTAATGGAGCACTATTTAGAAAAAGGGGATTTTTGGAGAGGGAGACTTTTTGGAGAGGTGCACTTGAGAGGAGGGTGTATTTAAGGGAAGGGTGGTTAGAGAGAGGGGCTAATTTGATAGGAAAGTTTATAGGGGGGAGGGGCTCATTAGAGAAGTGGGCTCAATGGAAGAGAAGGGCATTTGCTACATTTCATAATTGATTATTCCATTCTTTTATTTACCTTGGTTTCTGAGCATTGCAGTGGTAAATGTAGTTGAAAATGGTGTCATCTTCTAGAAGACTAGCAAATTTCCCTTGAAGGTCAGGCCTAAATTTCTGCACCAGTGATGGTCCTACAAGACAAAAAAACTTGCATATCACTTTAAATCTATTTTTTATGTGTAGCATCATTTATTTTTATTATGGTCAGACCATGTTATAATCAAATAAACTCCTACTTCCACCTATGACATTTCAAACAATTCAAACCCATTACATTATCGTAACTTTCAGAATCAATTTTAAGCAATCAGTTATTTTAAGGGACCTCTGCTGACAAGAGCATTTCAATTAAATTGATTTTAATATAAAAGAAATTCCTAATTGAGATGGGTTGCTAAAAATCATACCATAAAGTTTTAAGGGTAGAAAGAAGCTAAATTAAAGTTCTGAATTGGAGGGATTGAAACTGAAAAAAACCCTACAGGAGGTATATGAATGATGAACTTTTCCCCACTCCCAACCCTCCCCCCACTTTCCATTATTTTTTTGTAATAATAAAATGTGTAACCAATAAGAAAAAATTTACCCTTCAACTCCCATGAGTGACCAAGAGAGAATTTCTCTTTAAAATATCCAGCAAACAAGTGATGAGAATAAAAAAAATATGAATCAGGAGATTATTAGTTGATCTAATACCAATTTCTCTGAACTAGCATCATAAGAATTGTATGGCAGACGGTAAAAAAAATTATTAATGAGATTGTGCGAATAAAAGGGTTAAATTTTTCAAACTTACCCCACGGGCCTGCAGCTCGCAGTCCTGCCAGCGGATTAAATGGGCGGATAAGAGTTGCCACAACCTTCACCCATGTTGGAATATTGTACTGTAATTCTGCTGGTTTCTCTGAAAAGCCCCAAGAGTCTGCTAAGATAAGATGCTGAACTCTGGAAGGATGTTTTAATGTATATGAACTTGCCAGAAAGCCACCAAAGCTGTGCCCAAGGAGAACAAACTTTTCCAACCCAATTTCCTGCCGCCATTGTTCAATAGACGTAACAAATTGTTCTTCAGCTTCTTGCGGGTCTCCACTCAGCTGTGGTCGTGAGCTGCGGCCAAATCCTAACAGATCAATTGCATACACTGTCCTATGTTTTGCTAAGGCATCAATGTTCAGTGCCCACAGGCCAGCACCTCCTCCAAAGCCGTGAATCATCACCAGTGGTACTTTAGTTGCATTAGGATTAAACTTTAAGGTCCATATCCTTTCATTGTTTTCCACTGGCACATGCTTGCCCTCATAACGAGACTTGACAACTGTATGGATACAAAATCATATGGTTAAATAATGTTAACTTAGATGACTTGAGGCTATAGCAATTTATTTTTTCATTACCAAATAAATATAGTGTATAGATCATGATAAATATATTTTGGTTACTGTTGTCAATCAAAAATCGCTGTTGTGCGAAATATTTATTCATTAATTTGATCAACCTTGTCAAATGGTGTTGACATCTAAAATGATGAGCACATCGCTCCAAAGATCTCCTCAAATGAACCTGGTCAATGGGGCTGATCTCACCTCACCTTTTGCTACATTTCAGTTTTTTTTTTGTTTTATTTTGTTGCGTTTTGTTCCTGTTTTTATTTTATTTTATTTTATTTTATTTTTTTGCACGATCGAGAAGACGCATTGGCCCATTGACCAGGAGAAAATTTGAAGAATGTCACCCTCTAATGCCATCCTCATGAGTTTTTCCATAAAACCCGAAACTCAAGATAGATAATCATCGCCTTCATCACAGGCACTGTTGAGCCTGAACCTGATTACTGTTGGACAATTTGATGAACCCCTCGCCGGGAACTGACAAGGAGCACTGCTAACATTTTACTATATCTGGTTAGTTTTGGATAACTATTGCTTATGAGCGAATCAAAACCTCGAAAACTTACATTTCCAAATTCTCGCTTCTGCAGCTTCCAGCAAACTTTTAGAGGTTGGTCGCCATGAACATCTTCTCTGAAACCAGCACCTTGATCTCTCGAGCTCCACTGATGATGCAACCACACTACAAAATGTAAACAAAGAGGTTGTAGAAAGAAAATCTTTATTTTACAGATTCATAAATAAACGCAACTTATCGGTACCTTCGATCATTGTTTGCTCGGACGTCTTCCGTTATAGCTGATGCCATTTTCCTGATTACTTACTGCACCTCTGAGAAATACTAGTCACGTAAAATGTTGCAACTCAACTATTATAGTCTACCAGCTTCGACATCTTCTCAATGCGGATGACTCAGAAAAGCGGTCTTGTGATTGGTTCTTTTTGAGAAATGCGTCATACACAGGCTGTTATGTGACCACTGGAACAGTGACTAAGCAACCCAGGATGAACTAATTATAGGAATTACGTAATGCTATCCGCTTCGCCTCTTATAAAGGATTTTTTTTTAAGTTTAATAGATAATTTTGTAAGACAGGCTGATGTTCAATAAAATATATCTAGTGTAATCCAAAAATTACGCTTAAAGTTAAAAAGACCTCGCTGGGAATTCTTGAGACGTTACCTTGTGATAAAACTTGTACTGCAGCGAATCAGAAAAAAATCTCGCAAAGATTGATAATAGAGCAGCTTCCAAAATTAATTATACCTGGTTTTCATTAAGAATGAAATAGATTTTAGAATGTTTTCTTTATCTATTGAACCCGACTTTTTGTTAAAACCCTCGTCCCCAGGACCATTCCTCCTCGCAAAATTTAATTGACCATAAATTGGTTCCAGCCCCTCTTCGCTTATCTGCACGCGCTGTCATCCGCCTGGCAGTTTTCGACCCTGACCTTTCGTACTGATACTTGAGTCATTTAGACAACGGAAGGAAGAAACCAGTTTTTAGCTTTAAAAGAGGACGATGGATGATATTATTGAGAATGGAAAGAACAAGAAATGGGTAGTCTGTAAGTTGTGTGGATCAAAAGTTCTGCGACCTTGCGCGGCCAGTCACGAACAAAGAGAGGTACTAAATCTTCGAAGTTTAAAATACCTCATTGATCCGTGTTTAATTAAAATTGAACCCTGCAATCGATCGAATTTATGTTAGTAACAATTCATGAACAAACGACCAGTTTAATTTCTCTTTATACAGCTATTCTTACCTTTCATGCAGAAAAAGAAGGACTTTGCTGGCGCTGAAGAACATCAAGGTGAAATCCTTCAAGAACATTGGATGGTATCAGATATGTTTACGTTCGAAAATGTTGGCTTTTCAATGACTGTGGATTCAATCAAATATTTAGCCTGTGCCGATTGTGAGTGTGGACCAATAGGCTGGCATGACATTAATGACAAGACGAAGTTTTATGTTGCTGTTGCACGAGTAGGGCATCAAGATCTATCACAATAACTTCATATTATAGCTTATGGCAGAGTATATGGTATGATACCTTTGATTACCCGGATATTTTTTGTAGTTTTCTCTCATTATTATTTTGACATAAATAATGCACAGATCAATTTGAAGCTTCAACATCATCTGTGCATTATTTATGCTTAGGGTTAGGTAAGAACCAGGGTTAGGTAAGGGTTAGGTAAGAACCAATCAAAGAGTGTGTTTAATAAAGCCTACAATATAATTTCTCGTAGATAGCTGGTTTGACAGCTTATGTCTTAGTAGTAGTCTGACATAAATAACATCATAAAGAGGTGTTCAAAGTGTACTTATCTTTGTTCAAAGCTACATACTCTCTACTATTGGTGATCATGTTTTACAACTCTTTGAGTTAGTTAGTATGAATAAAGCTGTAAATTTAACAAACTGATTCCATGTTGCTGAGCATGTGTTCAGTAATAGATCACAGATGATGTGAAAATGTGATAAAAACAAAAAAGTTGTACATAAGGCACAGCCATGTGTTACTGATAATCTTACCACATTTGATGTCTTCTGTGATCTGTTACTGAAAAGAAACACTACATGGAATCTATTTGTTTTACATAATAAAGCAAACATTTTTCTCAGTTATAGTGATTGCATCTATTTGTTGCCCTTTAATAGATCAAAAGAAAGGAACAATCAATATGTACAAATAGTTCAACTCCTCATGAAAATTTCCTTTCAAATATATTTCTGAAGAACTTGCGCATTTTTTGAAATATACTGAATAAAGAAGACTCCTTTAGTTTTATCTATATGGTCAATCTAAATTGCATAGCATTTTGTTTACATGGCCTGTGGTCTTAATGACTTTCATATTCCAAGATGCCTCTAAAAGCTACTTGAAGATAACTCCTGTTGTGCAAATTGTTTCATTTACGCTCTGTGTATCTGGCAGATCTCTCATTCATAGCTTTTTTTTTCAAGGGTATATTAAAAAAAAAACCTCACCCCTTTCAGATTTTAAAATCCATAATTCTTTGAATTAAATACTTCATATGAACAGGCCAAGAAATTAATATCAACTACTTTATCCAGGTCTAATTTCTGAAACTTGTGCAAGATACTCCCTTTTTTTTTGTATCAGCAGAGACACAACTGTGTTTTTCAAGTGTTGGCAACAGGATTTTTATAAAAAAAAAATTACTCTCCATTGAATGTCCATGTAATAGCCTAACTTTATCCACACTTGATATTTTCAATTCATTGATTGTAATTATGATCGCAAACATAAGCTGGAGATCCAAATCTTTTAGCTGAAGGGGAGAACATGGCAATTTTATAGAAACCAAGTTAAGGTATTTCAAAAAAAGAACACCACTACATAATTTATGAGTCGCTTGACATTTTTAAACAAACAATGCAAGACCCTGAAAACCTGGGACAAACAGAACATATTTGAGTGCCAGGCTTGTAAATGTCAGTTTTAACTTATCTTTATGCCAAAGAAGCCTCAGGACTCTCTCTCTTGTCTACGAAGGTTGAGGGAAGCAAACACCAAGGAAAAGAGAATGAATAATTACTGAATCTACATACATATTGGCTCAATACAGTTAATTGTTAAATTCCTTTGGACCAAGAACATTTATTTACGTTCATAATGTTTTAACACTTCACAATTAATATAAGTTTTATATAAAAATATTATAGATTATCTGTGATAAATATCTATATTTTAGCAAAGACAAAATATTTATTTTGCAATCCACAATTGAAGCAAACCAATTTCAAATAATATCCTTCAAAAAGAGAGCAATTCTTGTTAAATGACTTATTTTATGTTTGTTGAAAACAATATGATTTATAAAATAATTTTTTCCAAAAATAACTATGATAGCAAAGCAAAAAAACAGAAAAACCAAACAGACAAACAAAGAGTTCTGGAGAAGACCCTTCCTTCATAGATGTGGGCTTCAACAAAGACTACATGTTGTAAGATTTTTCCATTAATGTCAAATGAGCACCAATCCCATGAAGAAGAACATAAGGATGGTATGGACAAAAAGGTGTGTCCATGTTGTCATGTGCTAACCTTGTGTCTTCCCTCCTAGTCAACCTAAACCTTTGCCCCGCAATTAAAGACACACTACATGAAATCTATAAATGTTCTCAGAGGCCAAGCCTGGTCTTTAACAAGCCACTGTCCAGCTTATTTCCCTCACTAATTAGTTGAATTGTTTTGATATCCCACGTTAACAAGATAAATAAATAATATATAATAAAATAAACAGATTAAATAGCAGCATTTTTTGCCTTTGGCTCTTTACCCACCATTTCTGATCAAATTGGATTTTGAGGATTTCTCTCGTAGATAGGAAAAATTGGTGAGCTCCCTCAAAGAAAAACTCAAAGCAAGGGCCAGGATTAAGCACATAGTTAGCCCATTGATAATGACAATTCCAGCAATCACACCTGACCCCAGACATAGGAGTCCAATACTTAAAGCATTTCACCACTGACTTGCTTCCCAACCCCCATTGCATACATGTTGAAGCACATTTTAGAAAAATAATCACACTGTTACTAAACAGTCACTATACACTATGACAATTCATGTCAGAGTAAATTTCAATTGAATGTTGAACAAAATCCTGGATCACATTGCTTTTGTTCCACTACCCTCTATGATTGGTCTAGAAAATATGCCACCCTCAGCCAATCAGATGCAAAACTACAACAAGTGGCCACTTTGTATTCTGAATTACTTTCGAAAAGGAGCTTCCTTGTTTTCCCTCTGAGTTCTCAGTAGCTTCTTGTGATATTTTTCTTTGTTCTGATTGGCTGTTAAGATTACTTCAGTTTTGGTTTTTATTTTGGTCTTACAACATTCAGTTGAAAAGCATTTGCTATAGAATGATTGAAATCAGGCTCAGATGATTGCACTTTCTGAGCTGAAGCAAAGGGCATGTGCCACAGTATTGCCAGTTGGTTTTATTTCCAGTCAACTACCACAAAATTGACTCATTGCCCATGTCCAGTAGCACACTGTGTCGAACAGGAGTATCAGATCTTGTTGATCCAGGAGGGCTACTGCTTTCTTGAGAGCTTAAACCATTGAGCGTACTGTTTCTGGAAGATCCTGAGCTGTGACTACCTATGGAGCCACTATAGTCACTGGTTACCACTTGATCATCCCTTGTTAGCTTGACATTGTACAATGAAGCAATGTGCTGCAGAGAGGAGGGTGTTACAGTCTCAAGTGTGACACAAGTCTCCGTATTACGAATTAAGGACACAACAGAAGAATGATCGCCCCATTTACAGTCAGTCAGATTTACAGCTGTGATTATGTCTCCTGCTTGAATTCCAGCATCCTGAAAATGAGCACAGGGAAGTTTACAAAAATACTAACAGACCTCATTTATGTCAGTGAAAATTCAGCCCAAATGGATGAAAAAATAAATTTTCACTTGAGAGGTTTAACTTTTAATTCTTGTTAAGTTTCATTCACCTCTTTGATTTCATTTATGACACAAGTCATATCATAATCATCTGACATATGCATGATGCCTAAATACACAGGTAAAGAGAATAAAATGGAAGAGAAGCCTTCTGCAACCTGTATAGCAGTCTAATATTATTCCTTTTAGCTAAACAGCAGAACCATGAAGCTAAAGAAAACAAAAAAATTAAGAGCAGAGGGGATCCTACTTTTTTAAAGAAAGGGGCTCCCTCCTCCTTATGCCTTTATGGGATTCCTTCATAGCTCTTGCTTCTCTCCCTTAGCTAAAAGGAAGCAGAAAAGACTTCTACAAAGACAACAACAAAATTACAGATAGAAGAATTACAGATAAACAAACCTTAGCAGGTCCTTGCTCCTCTACACTCTGAATAATAACTGGAGCAGAGCCAATCACACTGAAGCCATATCCTTTATCAGTTTTCTTTAGTTCAACACTTTTTGGTGCACTCCACTCTAAATTAGCATTAAACACATGCACAGGACCCTAGAAGCATTAAAAAAGATTTTATCAGGTCATTCTCTAACTGATCAATTCCTAAAATATAATAAAATTATCTAGAAAGTACTGAAATTACAGAGGAAAAACTTTTCAATTGAATGTTTTGTTTCTCTCTTTGATTGACCTCATCTCATAACAACTTCAAAACATATCATCATATTCTTCAGTCCTATGTGAAATTTGAAAAAAAATTCCTCTTATTTTGCATTATATTTTAGTTCTGTACCTTGGTTTGGTTTTGGAACATTGAATAAAAATGTGCTTAAGTAAGGTACAAATGTATATGGAGTGTTAATATCTCACCAGCCTATGAAACAAGTCTTCCACAGATGCTTGGCTAAAATTAGGAGCAATACTTGCTGCATTATATTTTGCTGAAGCTGAGGGAATAAAAAAATACATAAATATTATAAGATATAACTTATGCCAAATTTTGCTACCGAAAAAAAAAAAAAAAAAAAAAAGAATGGCTCTAGAGAAGGTAAAGATGGATTCTTGTTTGGTTATCTTAACTTTATACACCCTAACATCAATGTGCATATTCTCCATATGGTTCTCTATACATTTCCTAAGGTTCTTACCAGAAGAATTTGTTTCACAGTCAAGAGCTTCTTAAGTTGGTTAACCTTTTTATTTATTCTTGTGACCTTAATGTTTGGTTCAGGGGTGATATTGAAAGGAGGACTTAGAGGTCACTCTTAAGGGTCAAAAGGTTAATAGAGAATGTCGCCAAATCAATATTTCCTTACAGTAAAACTTTACCACAAGCATGGTCTCTTGCTCACTTTCCTTACGTTATTTAAGATTGTCAACAAATTTCATAATTTAAGTTAATTTTACTGGGACAACCGGGAACTCTTCGACAACATTTCATTTCAACTTCCAATATTCTTTATTGTTTTTCAATAAAGGAAACCCATTTTTCATCTATTAGTAAGGTATCTGCATATTAAAAAATTAACTACATGCCTTTCTGGTAAGAGAGGTGGTATCACAATTGAAATAAAACACTACAGAGCATTTGGGGGTTTTCAGACATCAACAGCGTAAAAAGGATTACATTTATAGGATTCCAAAGCTGACCTTTAACAGGGATTGGTGTTAGGGGGTCATCAAAGTCATCTTCTTCTTCCATAGCAACTAACGTTTCTGTGGTTTTGATCCGTGCATCTTGAAGAGCCTGAGAAATGCACAATAAAATTAACTGTTTATTTAATCTCCTGCAATACAATGAATGGTCTTACAGACTAGCTTAAGAGTTTGAATATTTCATAATAGGTAATTGATCACTATGCTCTCTCAAAAAAAGATGACATGTACCTTTTGTAGACCTGCTATTTTTCTACAGTGGCGACAGATCTGCCTAGTTTTCATGGCTTCCTCATGTGATTTAAGTGCAGAATGGAGATGAGCTTTGGCTAGGTGAAACAAAAACTTTTTAACATCAAACCAAAAACAGCAAATGAAAAAGTTGTGGTATTTTATTAGATAAGAATGGAGCGAATACCTGAAGATTGTTAAAACTGAATGGTGTAAGGAATTGAGAACTACAGTTCTGCTTTGGGTGATTCAAATATGAATATAAATGAAGGATTACAACTCCATTTGGAGGGATTGAATGTTTTTGGTCATCAAAATCTTATGCCATAATACTTGCGTGTACAAATGACAAAAAAATGTTAATTGTTTTTAATTATAAGAGGGTAACTTATCCTTTAAGTCATCATAATATTACTTTAAACAAAATAGACGGTGTAAATATTGAACCAAAATTTGGAAACAGTAAGTGGCTGCAAAGACAAGAAAACTTCAACTTTCAATTAAAGTAAGTTGCATTTTCTAAACTGAACACCACTTGCTAATCTCTTAAGCCTGTAATTTTCCCTCCACACTTGGTCAATGTAGTACCTCATTACAAGTGATGCAAGAAGTCTAATATGTAAATATACCCACCATGCTTTTTCTTGTTTTCATTGCTGTTAGCCTGAGATGTGCCTAACGATGAAAGAATAACTTCATCCTTCTTAGTGACACTCTGATTCTCTATTAAAAAAAATACATTGAATCAGTTAGGATTTTAATCACAGCTTTGTTTGAAAAACCCAAACACAAGTAATCCAGAAATATGCACAACAACAGAGAAGTAAGGAATATAGGCACTGTGGAGTACCAGTAAGCTATTCACAGAGTTTCTAACTGAAGGTTATCCTCTGTACTTGGACTCCTGCCACCTCTTGTTTATTGTTGATGACTTAAAAGAGAAAGCACATTCATGTACATTGTCTGACATTTGCTTTTCAACTCCTATTGAAGTTGAGTCACCTTTAGATTTACCAGTACATTCAACTATAAAAAAAGAACTTAGTAGCCTTTGATGTACTTACCCACACTTTTAAGTATTCCCTCAGCAATATAGTAATGTGAGAGAGCTTCATAGTGAAGACACATTATCTGAAGGGAGATTGAAAAGACAATAAATATCATCTCTATTTGTTTCAGAAGAAGAAACATGAATTCCTAAGACAGAACCTGACCATATAAGCTAACCAAGTATTCAGAGTAATCATAGCTTGCATTATGCTAAACATACTTATGTAAATGGGACAAATTTCCAACTGAGTGTGGAAAATGATCTAGGACTGCACAGGTTTTATTCAACTATACTCTATGATTGGTCCAGAAAACTGGCACCACTCTCTCAACCAACCAAATGTAAAACCAACTGTGACTTGGACATTTATTAATTAAGTTCTTTTGCACTTTAGGCAGTTTACTTGTTTTCACAACAAGTTTCCAATGATTCCCTGCCATGTTTTCCATCATCCTCAAAACCTGTTGTGATGACTTTCCATTTGTTCTGGTTTAATGACACTTCATAGAAAAGCACTTTATTTGTTTCATACTCACAGACATCATGTTTCTCCAGGAAATTGGAACACAACTCAAGCAGATTCCAGAATTCATCAGGATCTGAACCTTTTTGTAACTCTGACTAACCTGACATGGGAAAAAAAAACATCAATTTTCCTCACAGGACACCTCTTTCAAAATTTGCAATACTTAACTATTTCAGAGTTTTCTATAGGTTCTGTAGGGCACATATCGCTAAATTATACATCAAGTTTTACAACTGATTTATAGTATACCATGTCAGCTATATTTTGAGCTGACAACTGACAAAGCTGATGATAATCTACAGAATATATAGGAAAAAATCAGTTAGCTTTTCTCTATAATATATATAATTATACAACTCTCTATTTCACTCATGTTAGGAATTAAGTAAGGGGAAAATTAAACTTTCATTCAGTTTCAAATTTATGTACAACTAATGAAACACAACCAGGTACCAAGACTTCACATGAGGATTAGCAACATGTTTTAAAATCACTTCAGATTTAATCAGAGCTAGTTTCTGTCACATATTTCTATGGCCACATGCCAGTTATCATCATTTTGATGTACTGCAGAATAAAATTCTGTTCCATGAAAAAAGGTTACTCATTAGATCAAACTCATATTCTTACCTGGGCACATTCCTGAGCAGCAACTATCTTGTCAGACAAGTTATCTTTAATTCCACCAAGAATTAGTTCTTCCCATATACACACTTGTGCCTGAGCCTGAGAAATAGATAAATTATTAACTTAAAGATATTAAACAATGTTGTAAACTATTCCAGGATGTTCATTAAACATTGGAGAGCAGATAGCTCTACAGCTACAATGCAGATTTTTCTAAATGTCTCAATGAAAGCCCTACTATTTACAGAACTAATAATGATCAACAAATTTGAAATACAAGATAAAAATGCAGTTTTCTAGACTGAGTGAACATTTTTTCATATTGGTTACATTAGAGGTCTTTAATAAATATTGAGGAGATTCATCCATTTCTCTAATACTCAGTTTTCTGGCAGAGTGCACTATGAGAATGGCCCACCTTCTCATTCTCATTTCATGGTTGGTACCACAGGACACAACCCTGCCTCAACCAAACTAGAACAGCTTAGCTTAGCACATGGATCAATCCTTTTTCCCTTACCCTGTTTCAACTGAATATCAATGAAGAGTTGTGAAATAAAATACTGTTTGTCAGACATAAAAATTCCATCCCTTTATAGGAGTACTAACTTCAACCAGGACCAAAATGGAGACGGATTTCATTGGTGGTTGCAATGACAAGCCTTCCTCAAATCCTTGAGCTCTATTTTTTTAAGTAATTTGTACCACTGACTTTGTTATTGTCCAGTTAAAATCAAATTTCGCAAGCCTTAAAGTAAAATGATCCTCTTACATGTTGCAAGATTCACAAAAAAAGAAAAATACATTCTTAACATTTCACTACCTATTCCCTGCTTGTTTAAAACACGGCTCACTTGAACTTTAAACTCACCAGCATGACAGCCATCAACATGTTCATCACTTCTGGTGTTAGGTCAGCACTTGGTGAGTTGATAAAACTGTCTTTGATAAATTTAAATACACCTGAATAATAAAGCAAAAATAAATTATTACCATCCAAAATATATCATTACTACTAAGATCACTTGAAATCATATTCATTTCTTAAACTGTAGTTCACATAATTTTCATACATTCACAGTCATTGATTCATCACTTCACAGGTTTAATACGAAATGAAAAAATGATCAGCTCACAGTTGGCATGTTAGCTTAGCTAGTTAAGAGCACTGCTCTGGTATCACAGAGGTCATGGGTTCAAATCCCATACCGGCCAGAATCTTTTCAGGCCTAATTTTTACTACTGCTTATTAAGTAGTGTTCATTACTGTGAAGGTCGCTTTCATATTCACTTCTTTATTCAAAGTTCAGATAATTACATGATTTTCAAATATTCACAGTCCTTGATTCATCAATTCCCTGGTTTATTGGGAAACAAATGTAATGACTAGCTCCCAGTTGGCTTGTTGGCTCAGTTAGTAGAACACTGCACTGGTATTGCAAAGGCCATGGATTCAAATCCCATACAAGCATGAATTTTTTTCAGGCCTTATTTTCACTTCTGCTTTGGAAGTGTTCATTACTGCAAACATCGCTTTCATACTCAAAATTATATTCATATTCACGGCAAAGACCATTTGATAATGCAACCCTAAAAAGCTGGTTTCTCCGGTGTGCATGACACAGTGACACTCAGTGACGCCCTGCCTGTTTCATTTTGATTCATTAGCTATTAGTAAGATTACTGTACTTCTCAAAAACAAATCTACCATGAAGTTGCAAATGAATGATAAGAAATTCATTTTATGCTGCCATTGGTCATCTTACAGGCCTCTTGAATGATCTGTACAACATTTCAGAAAGTTGGAAAGGTAAAGGTCAGAGAGTTCAAAAGGAAATTCCCCCACACCCACCTCAAGTTTTATTTTACTTTTTGAAGAATATGAAGCAAGTCTGACAAATCTAGAGCTGTAGACCAGCAGATATGAAAAACCCAGCTGGTTTGTAGCTAAGTATGGTTACCTGCAGCTTTCTGAAAAGCATCAATTGCCTCTTTGAGTCCTGCCTCTGTTCTTCTGTCCTGCAAGGAATACCTCTTCATTTTTAATGCTTATATTTTTAGGACTTCAGTTAATGAATAATACAGAGGATTCTAAATCACAAATTCCATCGAGAATTTCAAATTTGATCAGAATATGTTTATGAAGTTTGATTAGCCAAGAAGCTGAAAGACTGACATAACAGCTTGGCTACCACCTAATTATCAAGCAACTAGTTTTTATCTTGAAAGAAGAAATCTTTGAGAGAGGAAAACATGGACATCTCATCTTGCTAATAAAACAACAACACCACTTTCACAGCACATCCTCAGGAAAAAAGGAAATAAACTGAACAACACAATCATACTCCTTTTCCCACCCTAACCACAGCTTTACATAAAGGCATGTCCCTATCCAAAAGAGATATTCCATCACTATATAGCCAACCTTATCAGTGGGGCACACACAATGTATCAAAACCAAAAGAAAAACAAAAACACCACACAAGACCAAAAGGAATCTCAAAAGCTCATGGTAAATTACAGGGTCATGGGAAGATGACAATATGGCACACAACAAAGAACTTAGGAGCATACATACAAACTGGGCAGTGAATACCCAAATAAGCTCACTCTATCAAAATATTACAACTTCCATTTTTCCTTGAATAGGTGTCCAGGCACTTGTTGAAAAATTTCATCTTAAAGTAGGTGTGCTTATTGGAAGGAGGGTGCTTAATTGAGGAGAGCATTTATTGTTCTTTTATATACTGATTCTGCTGTACTTAATGTTTAAATAATTACTGCATGAATAAAGTAAAAAGTAAAGCCTTTATACAGGCCCAAGTGGCCCATGGGGTCAGCGCTTAACTCTGGTTTCCTTAGCATGAAGCAGCTAGGAGTATTGCTACTCCCCCCTAGATGGGATGCTAGTCCATTGCAGGGTTATCCCCAGCATACTTGCTGGTACCCATTTGTACACCTGGGTGAAGAGAAGCACTGTGAGAGTAAAGTGTCTTGCCTAAGAACACAACACAATGACCCTGGCCAGGGCTCGAAGCTGGACTACTTGATCCAGAGTTGAGTGCACTAACCATGAGGCCACCGCACCTCCACTGTATGAATAAGTGGCAGTAGAAAAAGGTTTTCCTTATATTCCTACCATCTAAGAAAGTGAGTGAGTAGAAGGGGGGTGCTTATTCAAGGGGGGACCTGTTGGACATTTTGGCCTAGAGGGTGGGCACTTATGCAGGGGAGGACACCTATTACAGCATGGGCATGTATTCCAAGAAATATGTTATTATATCTATCTTAACTTACTTGCTTTGCACCAATTTGACTCCAGATGGCAGCAATGTTGAAAAGCACACTGGCCTACAAAGTTAAATGTTTGTAAAATTAGTAATATCAAAACAATTTCAATTAAAATTTCATTAAACCCAAAGTAGCGTATACAGCAACATACAGATTTGCCAGTAAGGATGTCCATACCTTTTCAAATGCAACAGATCTTTGTATTTTTGGTAAACCAGTTGTGGTATCAAACCTTCCATAGAGAGAGCCAACATTATTATGCAGTAATCATAATTGTATGTTGTTTTATTTAGTTATTATCATAATTATAACTTACAATAACATTGACAATGATTTTCACATATTAATTAACACGCAGATCATTAATTCCATAACCTTTATTTCTTTTCATTTCACTTCAGTTTCTCAACAATTTTGCAACAATTTTGTAGTGAAAAAGTACAATAATTTTGAAAGGTTTAACGTCTGCTTATAGCCTAGTCATATAAGAAAACTGGAAAGAGCTCTCACATTGATGAGATTCCTTTCTTTAACAGCTAGATTAAGAGACACCAAGACAAATACTGTATCAAGTGCAGTCTTGTCCTTTCCTTTCTTACTAATCAGTGTTAAAAATAAATTTTTCTAGTCTAGCTTCTTGGTTTAGATTGTTCTAATTTCCCTTTATAATGAAAAATAATTCCTCTAGAACATTAATTTCCTTCCCTTTTTCTGCCAACTTGCCTCTAATACAATCACCCTAATTTTTGTTTAATAACTGAAGGTACTCTACACACAAATACCTTCAAACTTACCAGTGAAAATAAACTGACACTGTATAGTGCTTCCCATTGGGAAAGAATTTCTTTTCCACAAAATAGAGTTGGTTGTAGTACTTGAACAAAGAATGAATGCCATTTTCATCTCTGTTAGCTTTGTTCACAGCTTCCTATTTAAAAATGTACAGTGGCAAGACTCTAAGTCACAAATGCTTTCTTTGGTGGTATAGCCAAAAAGATAAATTTTTAAAAAGAAACAGGAAATAAGGTCTAAATGACAGCAATAAGCTATTAGTTGAAGAAAGAATAACATTTAAAAAACCTTTAATTCGAATTAATGTTTGACAGTTGCATTCCTTGAGAAGTAATATATATAAAATTTTTTTTCAAATATAATCTCTTTTCATTAACAGTCTAAGCATCTAGGAATAAGTATGTTTTGCTCAACATGTTTGGAAAACACTCAAAATAATTTCATCTTCAGTTATGAGGACAAAATTCACAGATGAACCAAAGTTTGGTGCCAAGGCACCACCATAATTTTTATTGATTGTGTGCATGCAGCTAACTCATTAATTTGACAAACCTTTCTTAGATTCTCAAATAACTCAAGCTCCCCCTCAAAATTTTCTGGAGTTTCACTATAGTGATCCAAAATGAAATCCTGAAAATATATAGCACAATACGACTGGTTACCTTTTTAATACCTAGTGATGCTGAACACTACCTGTAGTGAGCATGTTATTTTGTATCTTCATCACATTAAGTGATTTAAGCCCTCCCCCCCTCCTAGATGTAAACCCTCCATTTGTCTGCTTGCTAAGAGGAAAAGGTGTATAATCCAAGAATTTAAGCTAGGATTTCAGTTAAAGTTAACTCTAAACCCCTCCTTGATGTCTATCCTGATAATAAAAAGGATTTAGGTAAAGAGATTGTTTGAAACATTTACTGTACCCGGCTCAAACTAAATGTATTCAGAGTAGAAAAGAAACCTGCGTACCTTAAACTGTGATTTAAAATCGAGTTCTTTTGTTTCCCTGAGACCAACAGCAATCAAAGGAATCTGGTGCTCTACAGATCTTTATTACATAACAAAACAACACCAGTAAAAAATGAATAACAAATGAACAAACAGAAGTATTGCTACCTATATAAATAATACTGGTATCACGTTTTGGGAAATGAAAGAAAGGCATAAAAGATGGTCAAATCTGCACCAAGCCTAGGGAAATCGCCCCAACTTGGCTTTCATTAATGGTTCAGTTTTGTCTGTTGGAGAAAAAGTAATTTTATTCGCAGATCACACAACCATCTTTCCAAAGATTGAACTGAGATTTTATCATCTTTTTCTCTGACTTGTATACAGGAATTTTCCTTTTCCAATTCCTTATAAGAAAGCAAGGACTCAACTGTCCCAGTAACAAATAAATGAACAAATTTCTCTCTAAAACAGACCCAAAAGACTTTAACTGATGAATTTGAGAATTCACCTGTCAAACTGATAAACATCCAACGTGCTGTTGATTCCTTCCAGTTCTTCTTTCAACAAGTCCAACTGGGAATTAGCAAAACTCAACTCTGTTTTGGCAGCAAGCTTTGTTTTGCGATCATTTGTTATCCTTAAAAAAAAAACAAATATATATATATATATATATATATATATAAGTTAAAGAATTCAAGAGGACGCATCAATTCTCTGTGACTCTGAGTTTCGCGCCTAGGCACTTGTCAGACTTGTCAGACAGAACTTTTCTATATATATGAATTATATACAAATTAACTTGATCAGTTTTATGATCAGCTTTATAACATTATTCAGTTAATAAAATATTCCAACCTTTCAAAGTCCCATGAGGCTGGCTATTTATTGATGCTATGATGGAAGTAAGTTTTCTAGTGTACTTGTACCAAGTTGCAAGTTTCTTGAGAGATAATGCCCAAAATTAAAAGATTATACAAATGGCTGACAGTTTAAGAAGAGGCAAATCAAAGCCTTTAATTGAAGATCAATGTGTGATTTAATGGGAGAGGTTTACTTGCCTCATAACCATCCATCATTTTCTCCTATTTTCTTATTTTATTTTATATTAAGATCATAGTTGTAATAAAGGAAAACAGAAAATGTGTTTAAACATAAAAGAAAACAAAGAGTAGATCAAAGAAAATCCATATATGCTAGACTATGAGTAGTCCCTGTTTTCACATGAAGACTGAAGACTGTCACATGAGTAAAAAGGGTCAGTGAAAAAAAAATTAGTGTGCCTTACTTCCAGAGTTCTGCACCCTAAGAATTCTACAATCATTTTTTTTTACCTTTTTTCAACTCAAGCAACAGACTTTGCTGAAAAGGAGGGACTAGTTGCAATCAATAAGCACATACTCATGAACCTCTGTTACTTAAATTAATCCATTCTTTGAGTGCCAGATTGTCTCTGAAGACATGACTATAACAGTAGATGCCTGAAAACTGAAAATTTACACAGGCATTTTTTATAAGTTTCCAGAGAAAGATTTGAAGAAAAACCAATATTTCATCAGGATTTTTCCTCTTTTTCAAATTGAATTTTCACTTTAAGTTTATTTCAGATTACCGGTAAACAATTTTTTGTAACATGTGGGTCATGACTATAATAGCTTACATTTTTACACTGGAAATGAAAATTGGTCTGCAGGAAAAAGCTGAAATTGGATCAAACTTTTTGATTGCTAATATCACAGTAGACTGGTATATAAATATTGTTACAGTTTATTTTTATCTCACATAAAAACAAAACTCTTTTCATCTTATTTTCATTTTATGGCACTACACTCAGACCAAGCAAAGGTCAAATCAGACCATAATTACACCTGATACAAACTGTCATGAGAGTTGATGATAGTTTCAACTATCACGCGGTTCATGCACCTTTATGCACTATCATTGTTTATCATCAACTATCAACTATCAACTTATCATCAACTATCAGGTAGTTTGGACATGTTCAAATTCCACATCATAGTTGATGATAGTTTTTGCCATTTAAACAAGCAGATGATGGTGAATGATAGTTTTCCAGTAAGAAGTATTGCCAAAAAGGGGCTCAAACTGAAATGGCAAATGGTAAAATGACTACAATAGCCAACTATGATGACCATTTGAACAGGGCTTTAATCCTCAATATTACTTTTATTCCCTTATAATTTTATTAAAATTATTTGTGGACTATGAAATCAAACATTAAGTAATACCAAGGAAAGAAACTACAGTGTAAAAGATATACCATCAAAACACATACTTGAAATTTTCATTAAATCTTTCATACTTCAACGGATTAAAGCCGTTGAGAGGATTATTTATTTCTCAGTCTGTGGCTCATGACGCAATGTGAAATAATTGAATTAAATATATCGCATGGATCAGTATTATTGTTGTTAACGTAATTTACATGAATAAATTGAAAGTCTTAAATTATAATATTAAATAGATGCCGTAATCTGCATTCTGTGAGCTTAATCAATTTTGCACGCTGCGGTTGACTCTTTCTAGAAAAAAGGCTTACAATATTGTCATTGTTATGTATTTAACGGATTATGAAACACACAAGTCAATTAGTAGAAAACTAAAGAAAACTCTGGAGGAGGAATGCTACACGAACAGTAGATCGGAGTGAACTTCAGATAAAAATGAGTCTATCTGATGCACTTTGTATTTTATACACTATATTGGAGGCAAAAACCTAAAATAAGTTTCACGTAAAGTGTAACTTACCTGAGAGCTTTCATCAAATTTTCAGCACCATCTCGTAATTTTGTCTGCTTGAATATTTTCTGATTTAATACTTGTCGTTTGTGTTGAAGTTTCCATCGGGCAGATGTCTTGCGAGATCCTAGTTCGACATCGTCCTTATGATTGAATGAAGAGAACACGCACCAACGAATTAATTGAATTTAGTATACTTTGTCATACGCGACACTGTGTTTTTACAAACATCTTACCAACAGGCGACGATATTTTTGTTTCGTGATAAAGGACGCAAATGAGCAAATATTGTAATGACAGATAGCATCGGCTAAATTTCACCATTGGAGGGCTTCAAATTAGCCGCAAACTCTTAAAAGCAATATTGGACATATTGAAACTCATAAAAGGATTATATCGCTACAAGAACACCACTCTTTTAATATTACTTACCACTTCAAGCTTTACGTGGTCACCTTTGAGAACATCATTTCCCGTATGGCAATTTTCCTCCGACATTTCACGTCCGTCCGTTGGAACCATCACACTAGTCATTTCAACCGAAGAGTCTGTATTAGCTGACCGAGCGCGATTTTGAAAGCAAATATGTCATTTATATTGGATGATTAAGATTCGTCATGGTTTGTGGGAAGTGTTTGTCTAATTCAGCGTGTTTATATTTCCGCTCAAATACCTTTGTAAGTGAATCATGTCAATGACATATTTTGCAAATCCAAGCGTGAATGGTGGAACACGTGATTCTCATGCGTTGGTATTATCAACCCTCCCCTCCCTTACAAGAAGTGTACTCACTCGCGCGTGTTTGGCATGCAAAGCGTGCAAAGTGACGTAAGTCAAAATTCGCAGCTACCGTAAACAGCAAGATTTGTACTTTTCTTGGTTCCTCTTTAAAAACTCAACAACAAACAAGAAATAGTGAAGGGCTGCAACAAAGCTTTTTGGGAGTTGAGATTCCCAGATTGTATAACGGTGGCAGCTCACAGGGTTGTTACGATTCCCTACTGCTCTTGCCTACAGCTGCCTCTCATCTGTAGATACTAAAATTTAAAGAATGTTAAGTTTTTATTTTTGTTTTCAAATGAACATCCAGTCCATAGCATAGCAATTTTTTATGGAGAAAATACTTTCCTCTCAGCTTTTCGAAAACAAAGTTAAGATAACAAAGCTTTTTGGAAATTGAGATTCCCAGATTGTATAATGGTGGCAGCTCACAGGGTTGTCATTATTTCCTACTGCCTTCGCTTGCAGCTGCCATTGACTGTCTAGGTAACTTGCCTAAACTCATTGATAGATATTAAAATTTGAAAAAATACATATAGTTAAGTTTTTATTTTTGTTTTCAAATAAACATCCAAGCAAAAGCACAATAATTTGATGGGGAAAATACTGTCCTCTAAGCTTTTTGATAAATGTAATTCTCTGAGATATTCGTAGTCAGACCTCTAACTCAAAGATGTGCTCAATGTAAATCTATTCTTAACAACACCAATACATTATCTAACACACAAGAAATGGCAATGGACAAATGTATCAACTGAAGGTTTTTATTTATCTTAAAAGATGTAAACCAACTTTTCTTCATTATTTTTTTACAAGGACAAACCATAGAGCTGGAAGGAAGAATCACACGTCATATCTTAAGAGTTAGAGAAATTAGTTACATAGAAACAAGCTTTCTCTATACATAAAATTTTACCAACTTTGTCTGAAATGATAGGGAATTAGATTTCATGAAACTTCTGTAACTCAGAATTATCTTAATGTTGTATTCTGTCAAAGTTTTAGGCTTGGTGGCATCATAGAGAAAATTGCCAGTATATTAGGTATACAGAAGGTGCAGTTCTGGCCCAGAACTCATCTACAATGGTATTATTCACTTGACAACTATGATGAAAAACTGGGTCCTTAACTACAGTGAGATGATGCTAGTGATCACATCTTCCTCATTCTCCAGTAATGATGTACAACAGAGTCCATTAACAACATCAAGGAAAGTGGACAGCAGAGTAAAATATAATCCAGATAACCTGTTAAATAATTCAAGGCATTTTGTTATTAATATCAAAATAGGATATGTTTATGAAGTAAATTTGATGAATTAATCCACTGAAATCTCACTGTTACATGCAATTACGAACATTTTACCAAATAAAAATAGAGAATACAAGAATGTAACTCTACCATAACTGTAACAACAGTTAAGTGAGTCAAACATATTGAGGACAAAATATTTCAATGGTGTAAGACTGCTGTGGGTAATTGAGCCATCAGTTGTAAAAAGAAACAGAAGATCTTCAGTAATCTGAAGCTACACTTCTAGATCTAACAAGTTTCTCTGTCCATTTCCTTTATTGAGAAAAAAATTTCAACAATTCTGGCCAAGAATACTTATTGAGGTAAAATTTCCCATCACTTTTTTACAATCTTTATGACCTTGACAATAGTCAGTGTTAAGTCATCTACTGATTAGATATTCCTAGACAAGATTTTCCTGTTCATGTTTGAAAAGCCCATGTCAGGTTTTGTAAAAAAAAAAAAAGTTAAACAAAGAAAGTTTCTGAAGCAACCCTACTTATACTTTAATTGAGTTTGTATTTTGTGAGATGCCTAAAATGTATCTCTCAGATTTCAAGAACCAAAACATAAGGTGCAAATTTGAGATTAGGTCTTTTCCCTGTGGCAGAAAAAATAACATTTTAAAAGACAGCCTAAGAACTAAAAAGGGTTTATTTTTCTTTTCTACATTATAGATCTTTTATATGCTTCTAAGATATTTAGCACTTACCAAAAATAAGGCAAATGATGTCATAAAACCTTCTTTAGTCAGTTCCCATGGTCCACCATATTCCTCGTCATCAATCTTTTGAAAGTTTGTGAAGTATATGTACAAAACACCAGCATTTATAAGGGCAAATCTGAAAATCATAAAATTGTGGCTGTTCAGTCACAATCAACTCCCGAAAACAATCAACAAGTTTATTCTCTTTACAAAATTGATACATCATCACATGAAAACAGGTAACGAGAAAAAAAAAGCTTTTCATTCCAAGGGAATTATCCTTATTCAATGACAAATTCCCCTCACCAATTGAATGAGAAGCAAAGAGTAGCCAGCAATGAGAATTACTTTCAGACCTTTGGAGTTCAAAGATTAACTCTTTCACTCCCAGACCAAGTTTGTAATTCTCTTTACTGTCTACCATACAATTCTTATAATGTTAGTTCAGAGAAATTAGTATTGGATCAACTGATTGTCCCCAAATTGATATTTTTCTTCATTCTCATCACTTATCTGGTTGATATTGTATGGATATTGTAAGGAGAAATTCTGTCATGGTCACTTGTGGGAGTTAAAGGGTTAACCTAGGATAGCTCCATTTAAAATTTTTAGACTGATTTTGTTCAACATTTCATGAGAAATAAAGACAACAAATGCAAAATGACAATTAGCAACTTACAGTGCTATAGCAAGGATTCCTTTCAAAGGTAGCAGACCCCAAATAATGCCTAAAATAATTGCTAACACTTGTCTAAACCAGTATATTACATCAAGGAATTCATCCTGTAGATAAAACAGAAAGATCAGTGACTTGGTAAAGTACCTTTATATTAATATCACAAAGATGTTTTCTACAATTGCTGTCAAAAGTTTAGGTGATGGGAATTTTCTTGCCTTTCTTAGTCTCTGTCCCAAGTGTTACACAAAATTTCATTGTATAGTGATAATAATACTTTATAAATAGTGCCATTTCTATCACTATCCAATACTGCTTTACAGTGACTGAAACAAATACAAAGTACTTGAGAATCCCAACTAGCAGGAGGCAGACCACTTGGCTATTAACATGGTGCCACCAAGGAGGAGGAGTAAATGGCAGGTGGGAGGACTTGAACCTGAGACCACCAGAATACAAGTCCAGCACCCTAACCACTTGACCATGTCTCCTCCTCCTCAGCATTGAAAAGTAAGGACAGGGTTGCTTGGAAGACAAAAACATTTTTACTGAACAAAGTATGATCTGGTTTTTACATCAGCCTTCATGTAACTATCCATGTTGTATGTAGATCAGCCAGATTAACTAGGGGCACTTTCCTATTGACAAAAGATCTTGATACGCTTTTGGAAGATTTACTTTGTCAAAGGGAGGCAGTCCAAGAACTTCAAAATCATGAGCTTTAGATCGATGCATACTGTGTGTAAAATGCATCTTATTCTCAATAGTAGTCCTTTTAACTGCATTTTGAATATATGTATGCAATGACTTTAAAAGCCATGGATCCCACTTTTATTCTGCGAAAAGTCCTAAATTGTTGACAAAAGTCAAGTCACCCACTGATACAGCTACATATGCAGGAGACTGAAATTGCCAATGGGACAGAAAATTTCAGAAATTTCTAGATAACTAGTAGCTTTCACCAGAAACTTTCCTGTTCCACTGATTTTCAGACCAGAAATGTTGAACTTTTTTCCTGGATGTAAGGCACCCAAGGAAGAGAACTACCCCTCCCTCCCTCCCCTACACTCTACCCAAGCAGGTTCCTGCTGCAAATGTGTAATCCAAGTAGCTGAACAAACTGACCAGTGTCAAATAAGAATATTATGTTCTCAATCTAAATACGCAAATGCTATACATAGCTTTGATAGTTACGCCATGATGTGTTTAGTACGTTCGAGAAATTGTCGTCTAAATTGCTAAAACCAAATGCAATATTTGACTATGCTAAGCTGGGCTTGTTCGTGCAGTTAATTACATGCACGAGTAAGGACTCCAAATAGCATTTTGTAAGCAAACTGTGGAAGGGATATTACTTAAAACAAGAAGTAATAAACCATCTTTTAACAAAAAACGTAAGAGGTATAACAATTAATTAAATGATCAATCTCCACTTGCAGAATTTTACCAATCGCAAGTAAATTTATTAACCTACCTTATCTTCCCAACTGGAATTTTTCTTGAAAGCCTTTTTCACTACCGCAGACACTGATCCATTTGATACAGCAATATCTTTCTGAGATTTCTTTAGCTTCTGTACAGACATATTACAGTTAAAGCAATTATCATTTGAAGATCATTTAGATTATAGAATTCCCGCACATGTACTACAAATCGAAGGAGCACTTTTAATAAATGAAATAGACCGCTGACTTCTATCAGATATCCCACAATGCTTCACGTCCTCTCCCTTCTCGTCCTCTTTCCTTGCATTGTGGTGAAGATTTGGTTGTAAGGTCAGTGCCGAGCAACAATCCATGTATTTCTCTCGCATCGCTTCATAATTCTTGAAGCTGTTGAGTTATATCAATTTATCAATAAATTTTTTGTTTAATGAAAGAATTATTTTTATACAATCGTCTAGCTGGAGTAGTTTTTACCTCCCTTGATTGTCAGACACTCGGTATGAAATACAGTATTTTTAGTGGTTTGATGAAATATGTGATATGGTTGTATTAAAGGGTAGTGCCTCGGCATTTTTTATTCGTCTTCTCAGTCTTGCAATATTTATGCTATTAAGTATAAACCTGTACAAGTCAGTGTCTAAGCTGTAACTTTATTGTCATTGTCTGCGAAACTTTCATGAACTGAGTACACTTGTTTTGATGGTCAGGTAACCATATCGAAGTCAAAGTTGTGACTATGCTGATAATAGAACTTGAAAGCTTACTGCTTATTGTGTCACAATTTTAAGAATTTGTCACAGTCAATCTGAAAAAAAGTCAATTCAGTTCAAGCTACCATTTTGTTACTGTGTAGTAAAGTTTGCATGCTTACACCAGTTAGGAACATAGTAGTAGACCATCTTGCCCGTGTTAATGGAACATCTTTAGTGTAAGCCAAGTGTACGTTGATACGCTAGTGTCCTTGTGTTCCTTTTATATCCCTATACCTTTGATCTTGTACAACCCTCATAACAACATAATGTTCTCATATTATGTTGGTAGAGTTCACCAGAAGTTAATTTCTTAGCGAGGATGTGTAATTAAAAAACCTTGCAGTGGTATCATTTGCACTGTAGTTTATTCTGAGGGAATGTTTGCTTTATGAATTGAAAATACTAAGTAATGGGTTTCATGTGATTATTTCTTGCTTCAGGGAGATTTATAGATAGCTCCTTGTTTTTCTCTATGATACTGTGTATGATGTTGAAATAAGCTTGTATTATGGAAAGCTTTAAATACAGATAAGTCATTGATATTCATTTTAATTTTAGTTAGATGAAAATAAAGGGATTGGGTAGTGTTGTAGTAAACAAATTTTAATCTTTTTGTTACGTTTATCCCCTTTTTTTTTTTTAGGTTTCTTATCCAACCTTACCAACCATGGCGCCCAAACACAATAACATGATACACAACAACCATTTCCACAAACAGTGGCAGAACTATGTAAGAACATGGTTTGATCAGCCTGGACGCAAGAAGCGCAGGCGTGTGGCCCGTGTGAAGAGGGCTTTGCAGATTGCACCCCGTCCAGTTGCTGGTGCTCTGCGTCCGATTGTGCGTTGCCCAACTTTCAAGTACAATACTAAGGTCAGGGCTGGACGAGGCTTCACTTTGGAAGAACTAAAGGTAGGTATTGGTGTAGATCCTTAGGTTATATTAGGTGTTTCAAAAACTTTTTCTATACGCAGCTACTGATGGTGCAATAGGCAGCTGTGCTAGGAGAAGTGGCTGTGAAACCCCTTTCTCCTCAGGGTGGTCTGAGGGAATGCTTCTTCATTTGCAATTATAGACAGCTCTGTTTATAATAATTTTAATTGACACAACTGCAAAGTGCCTGTCACTCTTAAATGCTGAGTTAATGAATAAAAACAAGAAATCAAAGGCTTGTGAGAATGCTAGCTGTTAACTTGTTGGTATGAGATTGGACACCCATGCTCGCAGTGTGCTTGTAGGCGAAACAGATAGTGGTAAAAGGTCCTGTAGGTAGATGTAGATCACCAGTAATGGGTGTTTGTTGAAATTCTTGTTTTATTAGAGCTATTTTAAGTTACATGGGGAAAGTGCTTTAAGTTTCCAGTAGTTTTCCTTTGCTTTACATCTTTCAACCAGTCAGATGCAAAATAACTGTTGCACTAACAACTTGGTCACAGACAGGGTCATTAATTTCTTCTATCCTTTCAGGCTGCTGGTATCTCTCGCAAAGTAGCTCCAACCATTGGTATTTCTGTTGATCACAGAAGAAAGAACAGATCAGCAGAATCCCTTCAGGCAAATGTACAAAGACTGAAGGAGTACAAGAGCAAGTTGATTGTCTTTCCAAGGAAGGCTAGCAAACCCAAACAGGGAGACAGTGAGGTAACAAATGAAATACACATGATGTCTTTGTTTATTGCTATGCTGCTTTACAATAAAGGTGTTTTGTAGTTGGTGGTATCATCTTGACAAGGAATTCAGGAAATGTTTTTATATTGTGCCAACTTAATGTAAATCAAAGTTAGAGAAAACACCACTGTGCATCAGAATGATGATAGTAGAGAGTCAAAAAGTTTTTCTTTCTTATTTTCTTCTCAAATGTTTGCTGTGATTTTAGTAGTCTTTGCATTTTCTATCCTGATGTAAGCATGGGTTTTTATAATGCTTACTTTGGTATTGATTTGAGGGACAATTGCTGCTCAGATGAGAGGGTATGAAGTGGGGACTTCTCATGGTGTCTCAAGGACTTTTTTAAATTATTGTCAAGCTATGTTTCTGTTACCTGTTTTTGTGATTTGTATAGACTGTAGATTCAGTTTTATTTAATAACCAGTTCAGACTTCATGGTTAGTTTCATCATTAATTTATTATTTGATACAGGTATCTACTATAGAAATGATTTTGCCTGAGTGGCATTTTTTCTCAGTTGGGGTAGGGGGTAGTTTGCATGACTGAAAATTTCTTCTAGTTTTTTTAATTGGAATGTAGTTTTAATGATATGTGGGATTGTGAGATTAACAGTTATGCAGACAGTAAATATATTTGAGTTAATTGTTCTCTTGACTTGTTCAAATTATAGGCTGCTGAATTGTCCAATGCTGTTCAACTTCAAGGAGCAGTCATTGCAATCCAACAGTCTCGCCTGCCTGTCAAGGCTCGCAAGATCACAGATGAAGAAAAGAACACCAGTGTATTCTGTAGCATGCGTATTGCTCGTGCCAATGCCAGGTTGATTGGCATCCGTGAGAAGAGAGCCAGGGAGAAGGCTGAACAGGATGCTATGAAGAAGAAATAAGTTGTGAATAAATGTCCAAATTCATTTGTTGCAAACATGTGTTCTTCTGTTCTGCATAGTTTACTTAAACACGATTTAGTATTGCAATTGAATATAGAGATAAGGCATCATGCCTGGCCTTGATATCCAAGTGCCCCACATTTAGACAGAGGCCAACCTTTATAGGAAAGTTCTGGTTAAGTTTCTCTGTAGGTTCAGCTTTACAGTTAACTTTCTATTTTGATAAGCTCCCCTCTCCCTTGTAAACTTAGACTGGGTTGCTCAGAACACAAGTATCACAAATCCTTGGCAAAATGCAAACCATATGTGAGTTCTTTCAAAGTAGTTAAATCTGGATTATTTTCATTGGTGCTGTGAACAACCCCGTCCTAGTAGAGCTGGCCTAAACTATCTACCTCAAGATTTACAAGCTTACTGAAAGAATGTAATGGAACTTTGGAAGTATTTCCCTTGTTTGGCACTGAAGGTTTGAATGGTTCACTCTTGCGTTTTTGGGAGTGATCTTTTGACAGACTCATTTCTATCATACGACTTTACTGCAACCTATGTAGAGGGCAGTTTCAAGCTCTCTAAGTCTAACTTGTTCCTATCCTTGATGGCACCCTGTTCAAGACACTCGACAGTACAAGCTGTTTAAAACTGAGTGACTCATCCTGTTGTGCAGCACATACTCGTTTTAGCTTAGTAGGTGAATTTACCCTTCCTTCCCACACCGTGAAGTTCGGAAGAGTAAAATCTTGAGGAATACACTTGGAAGATAATCTTGACTCAGGTGTGGAGGAATGGCACTCGTGATGCTTTGCTATCACAAGTTATGAGTTAACAGAATAGGCCATAGGAGAATAGAAGAGTTAGTTAACAGGGAAGAGATATTCGATTGGGATGGAAGGGCTTTTATTAGGGTCTGAGAGCATGCCGAAAAAAATTATTGTTTACGTAATACATGAGGACTACACTTGGCCCTGACAACTATCACAGCTTGGAAGGATTCAACCGCACTGCTTTAACTATGTCTTGCCCTTTTGCGAGGGCTTTCGGAGGTTTCGCCCCATAGCAAGTTCGTGATGGTAGAGCAACGGAGCGAAGGTGAATTTAAGTGAGAAATAAAAGGGTAGGTGGGGGTTAATATAGGGGGTGGAAAATTTTCTTGATGGGCGAAAGTCCCTTCCGAAGAATACATTTTACAAGTTCAGCTGGGAACATTTATGTTGGGATACTCAGTCTACACGACTTCAAAAATTATTTGATCCCGGTATATATTTATTAACTTTCCTTTAGTTGTATATGTGGAGTTCACTGCATTAAATGTAAAATAAAGGCAATGAATAGAATGTGACAATGGAAGAAAAGTTAATTAGTTATTTTCTGAAAGCTTTAGTTTGCGTACAAAACAGTCCTGTCAGTCATCGGTGAAATGTGAAATTCGGCCAAATAAGCGTAACCTGACTCTTTCGGACTGAGACGCATTCGTTCCTTTACCATACTGTCAACTGAGATTTGGCGATGCTTCTTGTGCTTGTAGCTGAACTTAGTGGACCCCCTTAGCGCTTACAGTCTGCACACGAAAGGCTGGAGGGGGGGGGAGGGGAGGGGAACGCATAGGCGTGGAGGACGCATCATTACTTGAGGACTTTCAATGGAGTCTTCAAGGTAATCAGGAATTGCATTCACATTGGTTTTGATTCACTTTGCTTGTAGTTGGTCGAGAAAACTTGCATAACCAAAAGCAATGGACCTTAAGTGCGACTTAGTCACTCGCGTTTTCCGTAACCTTTGGCAGCTTGCTTAGTTTTAATTTGAGTTCTCATTAACACCCCCCCCCCTTTATTGGCTTCGTGTTTCATGTTACATTCCCCTTCCCACTCATTGGCCGTAGTGATAACATTGGTATAGGATTTACCAATATCGATTGAAATGGACTCTAAGCAGCTGAGCAAGGACCTCGACTGCGTAGATGAGGGTTTTCTTGTGCACCTCGAAGCCATGAATACAGAGCCGCGAGAGGCTGAGGAAGGAACATAGTTTTACTTTTCGAAGTTGCAGCTCCGCTGTCTTTATTTTCATCAATCGCTAAAAATATCGCTACCTATGCAGGTTAAGGGGAACCAGTCTGACTTGTTCTTCAGAAAAACCTGAACATCTCATGTAGAGTACTTGCTGTCATTGCGATTCTGGCACGGTAGAAGCTGCCGCAACTGAACCGAACTTACAATGCTTATGTTTCCGGATAATATCGATCATTCTGTCTTCGGTTTTGGGTTTGCATCAACTTCCTCCTCAGCTGCTTCCAGTTCTCTTACTCCATCTCCATCATCTAAATACTCGGCGCCTTCATCTTGAAGCTCTTCCAAATCTTCCTCTTCAGGTCCAGGGTCAGCGATACACAGCATATAGATTAGAAATGAGAACACCAGCAGAGGGAAGCCAAACATGAGTATAGCAGCAATGGGTTGGGTGGTCCAGATTTCCTGTGTTCATCAAAAATACAGTTTAGACTTGATGAATAAGTAACATCGTTTCTCTTTCCTTCCAAGAGCGATAACCAAAATGAAGGAAACTGGGACAATGGAAAAATTGTTAATGTACTTTTGTGGACAAAGTGCATGTAGCACTGCTTTATGAGGGAGAAAATACTACTGTGTGTGTGTTGCACATGATACATAAAAAATAAATAAATTTCTCATGAACAAGAGCAAACAGAACATAAATGTTAATTGAGGGTCCCGACGGGGTGATGACTTTTTGACTAACGGTTGAAATTTCGGCCGTTTTACGGCGGACGGTGGACCCCATTGAGACCCTCTTAATATGAAAGATTTTCAATACTTACGTAAATCGATCTGATAAGTTCCCAAATCCCCTGTTGAAAGAGATTAAACCAATGAATACTAATAGTTATACTATAAAACGTGAAACTATCGCGATATTTATGCTGATGATGCCCAATTTTAAGGGAAAACACGCCGCATCTCATCGTACATTTCCAACTACACTCGCTTTCAAAAGAAAAATGATCCTGAAGTTTAACCACAGGGTACCCAAGTAAAACATGTAGACGAGACAAAGGACTTTGATGAAGATGGCTTATTACCCTGATGTAATGACAAGATACTTGTCAAATCCTTGAGCGATGTGCCCTAATTTCCTTGCTAAATTGGCTTTAAAAAACGCTTCAAACACAGAGTCACAATGCGACAAAAAGTGCAGATGTTCTTAACGATTCTTCTCACTCTGAGGTATGTTCCAAGCATGCGCTTTAAATTTGGTAATACCTCAACCTCAACGTTCCTCTGAAACTAACTATTTGACAAAAATGCTGTTAACTAAAAATATGCACCTACAATTTTGGTTCATCTCAGCCTCAACATTTAAAAAACAAGGTGTTTAGTAATTTTACAGCAGTGTCTTACCCTATAGAATCTTTGAAAGTACGAGTCTCCACCGTATCCCTGCAAAATGAAAAACAAGTTTAATCGGTTAATTCATAAAATGACGGCATGACTGCAACCAGAGTTCAGAGATAAACTACATTCAGTAGGAAACACTATAGAGATACCTTTGCACGACCCTCCAACACATCTTCAAGGAAAGATACCAACTGCTGTTCAGTAAATTCCTCTTTAATCTCTGAATACTGCTTTAAGTAATACACATGATTTGTACTGTTATATGCCATTAAGAATGGGGCTGACATTGAGCTGAGAATGAAAAGAAAAGAACTTATTATTAATATAATAATTGCAATGATAATAATAATAATGATATTAATAATAATAATAATAATAATAAAGTACTCAGTTAATTAAAAGGAAGTGGGGATGGAGCAGGGATGGTGCAGTAGTGGGAGTGCTCGCCTCCCACTGCTGTGCCCTGGGTTTGACTCCCAGACCTGGTGTCACACAAGGGTTGAGTTTGTTGTTGGTCCTCGTCCTTACTCCACAAGTTTCTCTCTGGGTCCTTCCATTTTCCTCCCTCAACAAAAACCAACATTCTAAATTCCAATTTGATCTGGAAGCAATGGACAAGGCGAGCCATCTTGTGGAATGTCCAGTGCTAAATCCATTCTTTAATTTTTATCATAAACCTAATGCAAAAGTTGTTATTTTTCTACCCATAGAGTCTGATTATATGTTGCAACAGTACATATAATATTGTAAATTCATTTTCACACGAAGAATGTCATCAGTTTTAAGTTCAAGTTATTGATTCACAATTTGTCCTTTTCTTTGCCTTGATGTCTACATTTTTCTTTTTTCTTTCCTCTTTTTTTTTTTTTTGGAATTGTGTAAAAGTGTGCTCTCTTATTGACCAGCAGTTTACTCTGACTGTTGAATGCTTGTAAAGGTTGCAACTGGCTTACTGCATTAATGCAGTAACCCAAGAACTTCTTTGAAGTTTACTGCCTCAATAGCAATAATTTCTGAATACTAAAAAAATATTAGTGAAAAAAGTCATTTAAAATCTTTTTACTAGTACCTCATCATGAGGTTTGTTGCAATAGTATCCCCCAACATCCATCCAAACTGAAAATGCCTGAAAAGAAAGTTATAACAAGCCAGTCTAACCATTATAGAAAGTTTTACCTAATTTTATGACTTCTTCTTGTCTGTTGGCAACTGTTAAATGTTTGATTTTTAGATAAACTTTTTCCACGTTACATTATTTGAGAGAGATATGGTATGGGACTAGAAAAGGTATATTGGGCAACAACAAGGTCATTTCAGAATTTACTCCTATGCATCTTCTCTACATCTAAACATGTGATCCCACACATATTTTTGGCCTCAACAGTCTTAAGGCACAGTTACTGGTGAACTCTAAGCAAACCTTGATGCTGGGGGGTAATCTACAGTGCACATCAAATCTGTGTTACATCCAACAAGAGTAGCAAAACTCCTATTTATACCTGACCTAAAGGAATTGAAAAAGGCTCTAGCAGAGTAGATCAGTGAGTCTAAGGGTAGAAAAATCCTCCTTGTTCAGTCATATAAAGAATGAAGGGATCAATATCAGTATCTGTACAACTGCCCACCTACCCCTCCCCTAACTCAACAATAGTCAATTGATAACAAGTTAGGGTTAATGTTGGGTTAGAGGAGGGGTAGGTGGGCAGTTGCCCAGATACTGATATTGATCTGCATGAAGCTGCAGAATGTTGTACTTGCCTGTGAAATCTTTGCCGTTCATTTATGGCCACACTTTTGACAATTTTGCTGACCCTGATACAATTAAAAAAACAACATTATATATTCCACATGTACTTTTGAAAATAAGTCTTCATCTCCTGTTAGAGACTACACAGAGTGATACTGAATTAAATGGCAAGGAATATTCCCTACATTCTAACAAAGGGCTAACGCTCAAAATGTCAGCCTTAAAACTCTTTATGGTGACCAATTTACATTTTCAACTCAGTTGATAACACTAAATTTCCCAACAAATAACTCAGGATGTAAACAATGAAAAAAATGTCTCATTCTAATTATTCTACATGTCATCAGTTGCCACTGCCTGGTTAGCTCAGGTTTTAGAGCACTAGACTGCCCTGTGGGAGGTTAAAGGTTCAAGTTCGGACCAGACCAATACTCAGCATCTTCCAATAACTGAAGAGGGTTTGCTACCTTTGCTATGAGATCTGAAAATGGTTCGACATTCTTGTCATCTTGGATAAGGACAATAAACCTCAGGCCCTATCTCCTGCATCTTCTCTGTGCTAGTGAGCAGGGGACATTAGAGAGCCCAAACACTTCTCACAAAGAGTAAGGAATGTAGCTCCTTGTCTTATGGTCTGGCAATATTTCCAAAATTGGGGACTGCAACAAAATTCTCTCTCAAAAAATTGTAAACTGCATAATGCAGTCTGGCCAAAGTCCCCCACAAAGTGTTGTAAAGCACATTGGAACATTAGAATGGATAATGCCCTGTATAAATGCCACCTCATCATCATCACATAATAACGATGAGGTTGCACTTTATCTTAGCCAAGAAATCAATGAGATACCTTCAGAATTTCTTTGCAAATTTGAAAAGCGCTACACTCAAAATTGCTGTTATTAACTTAAAGATGTTAGCAGTGTGGCCCTCTACTAGGATTCCCAGCCAAAAATGAGTCAAAATAAAAAAATGTTCAAATAGTAGATTGATTCATACCAACAATTTTGCGACAAGAAATCTCCAATGAGATCATCATGATATAGAGTAGAATTTTCAAATACCTTTCATTTATTTTCTTTTTACTCTTCTGTTCTGCCAGTACAGTTAACAGCATTATTTTACCTAAAAGAGCATTAAGTTATAAAAAGAAAATCAAACCTGAGGCTCTTGAATTGATTGATTTATTCTTAAAAGGGACTTAATCATTGTCAGTGATTATTTTTTTTCCTTGCACTTTAGATTTTCAAACCAGTTACATTTTTGCATTTTATTTTGACTTGTAATAATCATAATATTCCAAAGAAAATGAAAATCAAACTGCTGCTTTAGAATTTTTAACCCAAGAAAATATTTGAATTACAATATATTCATAACAAACTTGACAGTCAGTAAATTGAATCAGTGTGGAATTGTGTAAAATAGAATCAATTGTGTGTCATTTACCAGTTGTGGTGATATCATGAAAATTTGATCTGGTGACATGAACGAATGCTTCAAATCTTTCATTATTTACCCATCCAGATAACACACTCTCTTCAATTACTTCGTCTGAACCTTGAATCAAATTAAAATAAATCAGTCAACAAAATTATTTCTTTCAGCATAAAGGACAAGGAAATATCCTTTATCCCTTTAACTCCCAAGATTTGATTGTGAGTTCTCCCCACTAGCTGCTACACATTTCCTTGTAAATTGGTAACAAGAATTTGGTGTTAGATCAAGATGGCAACTTCTACCTAATAATTTTGAGTATTCTCATTACCTGCTTGCTGAATAATGTATGGGTATTATAGGGAGAGCTTACCTGTTAATTTTAAAAGTTCTGTATGTCAGCAATGGTTACTCATCATACATAGCTCAACTTTTTCCATATTTAGTATCTGTTGTTATTTGCTAAGTTCAATATTTTATGCAATTTACATCATTGACAAATGGCTAAAAGACACCAAAAATCTACATTGAGTGGCAGAAGTAGTTGACAGGCCTCCCTTACTATGTGGTCAATAAACCCTCTACTTAACATAATAAACAGAAATCTTGTGATTCATCTTAACTAAGTTACTTTAAAGTTCCCTCTTTTACCCCAAACAATGCTACCTGAAATTAGAGAGCATTTTGTTTACATAAGGCAACCTTGGAATGGGGGTGAGGGGGGAATAAATGGAAGTTACAGCAAAAATCAAACGAGTAGTGGCATGTGCCAAGACTTAAGCCTTTAACTTCCTAGATCTCATTAGTAGTGCTCCTTGCTGTCTGATATATAATTCTTGTGATGCTAGTTGGGAGGATTTGGTAATGGATCAACTAATAATCCCCTAATTAAGATTTTTCTTTATTCTCGTCACTTGTCTGCTTGATATTGTATTAATATTTTATTAAAGGAGTAATTTTGTCTTGGTCACTCATGGGAGTTAAAGGATTAATAGCCACTCATTGTAGAAGTAAGCTAAATATGGAAAAAGAAATACATCTAACATCATGATGGCTAATATAATGTAGAGAATTTATCTAATCATCATGATATATAAAGACTCATTACCAGTCATAAATTAATTTTCCAATGTTATTGCATACCTTCAAGCATGGATATGGAACCATCTTTTGAAACAATGACAGTTGGCCCCTTTACCTCAACATCCTTGTCAGAGAACAAAAGTAGATTAACTGAACAAGATTCAATGGGGCAATAATATCATCATTTTATAATTCACATTTAAGAGGCAGCCCTGTTCTGTAGTGGCTGGTAACACATCAATTAAGGTATTATGTAATAAGCATAACTGTAGGTAATGCTTGCAAATGAAATCACACCTGATTATAAGATGTTATATCTAAAGCACTAATACTAATTACACTATTACCATAATTTTTTCCTTCATTTGATTTATATATAGATTCTCACCTCTGGTAAAGCTCCCTGATCAATTTGATAAAAATAGCTTTGAATAACCTTATCTTCAGCAACTTGATAAAAAATATCCTGAGAAAAAAAATAAGTCCATAATTAGATATAATTAAGTAAAAATATCTTATTAGATGTTCTAGTGTGTGGTATCACTGAGTATCTTACAAGTTCTGCTGTATATTGACAAGCTTGAAGCTCAAGTCAAAATGCAAACAATGGTTTAAAATAATTGGCAATACAACACACTATAACATCTAATAAGTTAAATATTATCAAACTACCTCATTTTATGTACATTTCTTATTAAGCGAGAAAAGCAAAGAAGATAGATACGTGTAGTGAGTGCAGCTGACCAGTTTAATAGGTTTTTTTTTACAGTACAAAATAACCAACTGTCCAATATTGTACTATACCAGTATGTGACACTTAAAATTTATTACAAAACTCTTAATTAGAATTTTCATCTAAACTCCTTCTTGGAGCTTCTTGTTGATGTTGTTGTTGTTGTGTTTCAAGCTACAATTAACTTAAAATTGATCATGCAGGGTCCATGACTTGTGTTATTCACAGTGAATAATTTTGGTCTCAAATCTCATTCTCAGGTTATGATTCAAAACAAAATCTTAAGAACAGATCTGCCATTAAGAACAACTTACTTTAAGTTTTTCTGACAACTGTGCATTGTCATTGCTTGTTACTAGGAAAAAACAGACACTTTTCTCATTTCTTATTCTCTCCATTTGGGCTGCATCCTTGAGCTCAGTAACCGCTGGTCTGAAGGGTAATCATAGTTGAAAAATATAAATAAGATAAACACAAACACATATTAACAACAAAAATTGAACTGTAAGATTCACTGCATGAAATTCCTCTGATCTTAAGGGACACAGTCAGCTCTTTCTTGCATTAGTTTACAAGCCCTTGACAAACAAGACATTTAATTATTTTCATTGTCACTCGTCAATTTGGTCATTATTGACAAGAATAGTTTTTTTAGGTATTGCACTCCAAGTAATTATCTGTTTAATTGGTGTTTGTATCTACTTTTAATTTGTTTGTTCCATTTTTGATATTTGGTTCTCTTGTTTTTTAAATCAAACAAACATAACTTTTACTTTTTTGCTACCTGCTTGACTTTTCAGTTCCAACGGCTTTAACATATCACCTCAGTTTTTATATTTTTTTTTTTTTGCCTTTAAGGTTCTCTAGTTTCTGATAAGCCCTGGATCATCCTACCATGACAGATTAACTTTAGATTACCAACAGCAAAAGGATTCAACACCAGAACACCTAATACTCTTTTTTCATGAGAATAAATCCTCTCTGATTTACATCAACTTTGAGTGGGTCACTGGATGGACTAACACACAAACATTTTGCATTAGTCCTATAACTCACAAGATCTGATTTTAATTCTCCCTTCTAGGTGCTACCCATTCTCTTTTAAATTAGTTATGAGAATTTGATGTTGGATCAAGATAGCAACTTGCACCTGATAAGTCTGCGTATTCTCATTACCTGTTTGCTGGAGAATATAAGCATGTTACAGGGAGAAATTTCGCATTGATCACTTCTGGGAGTAAAAGAATTAGAAGCACAAGGACAGGGAAGCAAACATATCTCACCTGTTTGCCTTCTCTGCAAATTGGACAAAATCCTGGACTGTGCGTTCACCTTCAAATGTTAAAACTCTCTTTCCTTTAATACTGTTATACCACAAGCAAAAAATTGTAGAACAACAAGTTAGTAACCTATTGATAAATTGAAAATACTTAGGATTGTTCCTTAGAAATAAGATAGCTGTACAATCTAGCAAGGTATGACCATAATCTACAAATCAGCTTCAAAAATCCCATCCAAAGGAGTAAGGGTTAAATAAAGGGATTATAATTTTCAGACTTTTTTTTATTTTTCCAAGAACAGAAGTCCTTTGATATTTTAAGAAGTGTAGAAGAGAAAGGGTTCATCGCTGAAGGTCATGCCTTTATCTAATGAGTCTCTCTTGGTTTTTTTAAATATACATATACATATATATATTTACTTATTTATATAAGGCAAATTCAAATTTCAATTTGTGTAATTATCTAAAACATCTTGTCCATGATTGAAGTTTAAAACAAAAAATTTTGTCCTGAATTTATTTCCATGTAGCATGTAAAATGTAGTTTTTGAGTTAGTGTTATTAATAGTTTGCTGATGCTACTCACAATTTAATTGAAGGAAATCCTCTGATACCGAAGTGTTTTGCTAGTGCTAATAAACAAAATCAGAATAGAGATAATTTCTTAAATAGTGAAATCCGAACGAGAAATTGTAAAGAACATCAAGCTATCTACTCTAATCTATTCTTATCACATGATAATATAACCAAGTATTTGAAAATAATTAATTGTACAAATCAAATTTAATTTTCCTCAAAAACTGAGTGAATGCAGAGGCCAGACTTAACCCCAACACCCAAAGATTTTGTTTTCCTTTTAGTAATTGCCCCTTCTAATGAATGAGTGGAATCATAAAAAGGCACAACTACATTTGACCCTTAAAGAGCCATGGCAATAAAAGAAAGTTTTCATTGCAAATATCTTTACCTGAGTATCTAGTAGCATCTAATTTTCCAACTCTAATAGGTGATCCATAGAGAGTTTTCCCTACTTCAGCCCATATTGGCTCTAGTTTCTTGCAGTAACCACACCATGGGGCATAGAACTAAAAGACATTTCCAAGAGCTTAACAGACATGAATCATTAAAGGAAAGACTGAGGTACTGCGTTTTTTGGTCCACTTTGCTGATAACAAGACACTGGAAGAGGCCTCTAACTAAGGTATTAGACAAAAGTGGTCTTGATTTAACCAGGAAGTTTGTGGCCATATTACCAGTATATGAGGGAAGACATGTGGGAAATTGCCTCCTTTGTTGTCCTTTACATGTGGATAACAAATTCATTAACCCTGAAACTCCCACGAGTGTCTTAGTCCTTACAATATCAATACAAAATCAAGAAGACAAGTGACGAGAACTGAGAGAAGTATCAATTAGGGGATTATTAGTTGATCCAACACCAAATTATCAAAAGTAACATTAGAAGAATTGTATAGCAGACAGTAAGGAGAATTACTGATGAGATCTTGGGAGTTAAAGGGTTTAAAAAAAATAATTGAGACCATACCTCAACTAACCAGCTACCCTCATTCATCAGAGATGAAAAACTGTGAGAGAGAAAGAATATCACAGATTACTTTTAATTCAGACTAAAAGGATGGTAGTACACCTTTATTTGGAAGAACTGGTGGTTTAGTAGAATGGTGGTCAGTAGCCCACAATTCTAATTAAAACCTCCAGTGCAAGTCCCTAGTTGTGTTCTTTAGCAAGAAACTTTGCTTGCACCAAACCTCTCTAGCTCTCGGCCCAAGAGTATACATGCGTAACAGCAAACAGCCAAGGAAACATGACAAAAGAATAAAGGAGGTAATTTTCTAAAGAAACTGCAGTATTGCATCAGTGGGAGAGTAATTTTGTATTATCAACTGAGTTGATAATGTAAATTGGCCACTGAAAAGAGTTTTAAAGCTGATGTATTGAGCCTTAGTAAGAGTGAATAGTGAAGGGCTAATGCTCACAAAGTCAGCTTTGAAACTCTTTATGGTGGCCAATTTACATTATCAACTCAGTTGATAAATAAATACTAAATTACCTGGTTATAAAAATGACAAAACCCTGGGGCTAACCCAAATATTCACTGTTGTCCCATCCAATGGGATGAAAAAATACACAGTTATTCCATGCTACTGAAAATGGGTTAAACTCTTGCAGTATGGGCTTTCTAACTAGCCACCTAAACTGATTCACGTTACCTTACAATTTTACTCCTCTTGTTAACTCTTAAGCAATTGAAAATTATTGGCCGGGCTTGATTTGTTGATCACAAGATTCATTAGAAAGGTTTCCCCTTTCCCCTTTTTCGAGTGTTACTGCATTTACAACGCAAAGTCAAAACCCATTAATTCATATGACAAAGAGAATAGGGAGCAATATGATTTCCAAGAAGTGACGTCTCCAATCAATTGTCCGTTTCCCGTCGTTCGAGGTCGTCCTTTTGTTAATTTTCCTCTTTTCTTTCATTTTCTGTATCCCGCGCCCCATGGTAAGTACTTAAGAATGTTAAAAACAATAAAAGTACCATAACGTTTAAAATAAGAACAAGAAAATAAACCACAAATTGAATCTTCTCCTAACCTGTCGTCAAGCTCTTTGACGAACGCATTGCACCTACAGAACAAAACGACTGAAAGAAAGAAAAAATCAAGATCACGCTCACAAAATCGTGCATGAATTCCATTCACATGTAGTTAGAAATAGTATATACCTAGCGCTAGGAAAGTAAGAGAGAATATTCTCCGAAATTGTATTGAGGGCCTATTCTTGATCGCCATTTTGACAGCTGGTTATTAGCCTTGACCCAGTCTTCGCGCAATTAGGTCTGGTGATAGCCTGGAGCGAGTAACAAAATCCGCAAACCAAAAATAGCGCAAAGGCTGAAGGTACAATTACCAAGGATTGAACGAAGCCGTGTGATGCAATTTTGCAAGATCATCCTGAACAGGATAGTCGGTTTTAGAGAGGTCAAGTATGAAGTTTATAGCATAGATAACCATGTGACCAATTTTTTTTTTGTTATTTTGAGGTTTGCTGTTTGCCGTTTTCAAGGTTTCGCGTTACTGAAAAACGTAAGTAAAAGGTGTATTCTTTTATGCTGTTGCAAAGCATTAACAATCTCATCGACGTTTCATGGATGCTATACGCTACAAGTAGTTATCATTGCGCGATTCTATTGGCTACTTTGCGTCACGTGGCGTAAAATCACCCAGTAACCCTCGTCTACGTCGGTATTTGCATGGGGGCCCCACACCGTTGACAGATTTGCTTGTTCCTATAACGCTAAGGTACCAAGATTTAACACTGAGATTTTTTCAGACTGGCTGTGTAGCAGTAGATGCCTTCTCCCAAGATTGGGAGCACGATAATGATTGGATTTGTCCTCCAGTGTGCCTATTAATTAGAGTGGTAAAGCACATGGAATTGTGTAAGGCGAGAGGAACGGTTATCCTTCCCTTGTGGAAGTCCTCTTGCTTCTGGACTTAATTTTGTAGAGACGGTGTGCACTGGAACAGTTTCGTGTTCTTACCCAAGTTCCCACGTCTCTTTATCAGAGGGAAAGCCCGAAACTCGCTTTTCGGTTCCAGACCCCTGAACTTTGATGTTATAGCCCTTCGAATTGATTTTCGCCGCCCTAGATCTCCCTGCGCTTACGTAGGCTTCTTTACGAAGTTCAGTAAAGACTGTGATCGTTGTAATTAGCCCGACGAGCTTTTGTATTCACCGCGGAAGTTTTCTCTTCTGGGTGCAAATGCGATTTTGTGTCAGTCAATCCCAGCGTAATTGCTCCAAGTCCTTTGTACTTAGCTTATGGGTTGTTTGGCACTTACTCAGGCTTGAAGTGACTTAAGTCATAGAATTGCACGTCAATATTGCGTTATGACACGAGTTTGTGTCAAGAATTTATTCAGCATTGTTTAAAATTAAAGGAACCCATTTGTGGTCCACTTTGCAGATTCCAGTTGTCTGTGTATTCTCTGTTGGAGTTTGATTATTCCCGGTTATTCTATTTTTATTTATCTATTTATTTAGTTATTCCTTGATGGATTGTACCCCTCGCTTTGCCTTATTTTATCTCTCGTTTAGATATTTTTCATTCTAGATTTTGGGCATTCTGGGACGGACCGCTTGACTAACTGTCTAGTTCTGCATGCCCCGTTGAGTTGCTTAAGAGGTATTTAGTTATGTTTAAGGTACCCCCTGATTCCAAAGATTTTATTTTCAGGCCCATTTCTAAAGGGAAGGGCTCTTGTAAGCTTGTTGACCCCGATAAGCCAATTAGTTACTCTACTATTAGAGGGCCTCTTTCGCCGGGACCTTCAAGGTCTCGGAGTTGAACCGTCCAAGTTTGGTTTGCATTCTCTAAGATCTGGAGGAGCCACTATGGTAGCAAATAATGGAGTAAACGACGGGGTTTTCCAACGACATGGTCGTTGGAAATCGGTACAGGCCAAAGAATAAACTTATTTGGTGTACACTACTGTGTTATCTGTTGTGTAGTGGAGACTAAATCTATACATCAGAATAAAGCTGAACAAATGCGGTTTTTGATAAAAATGATTTTAGCGAGTTTTCTTTTCAGGAAGTGTCAGGAGCCTTTAAGACGTGAAACGACCAAGAGTTCTTCACAGTCTTATTCACAAGTGTTTTTTTTTATCAAGGACCTTCTTCTGCTTTTGATTTTTCCAGAGCAAAGAATTTTCCATAAGAAAAGAGCTTTCATGTATAAATTTTGTCAAGTGCGTGATGTAAACAAAATATGCAAATAACATAAAAAATGAGCGATGGCCGCGAAAATTCCCTCAGGGGACTCGTCCAGGTAACGAGATATGACACCTTCCTGGTTTATTAATTTTTTATCAGAAGTTACGTTTTTCCAAAGAACTCGGTGCTTTTGAATATTTTAAACTCTTTCTCTTGGCAAAGTTAGGTAAAAAGTTTAAGTTAAAATTTCCGCACAGCCCCATACTATATTATGCATTAAGTTCTTGCATAGAGAAAACAATAACAAAAACAGTACATTGCCATTGGGAAAACAGATTTGTTTTACAATAAGTTGGGGCTGTGCGGAAATTTTACCAAGTTTGAATTCTTTTTTTTTTTTCGGCCTCTGAAGGTAGGAAGTAACCTTGAAACTGCTGGGAGCAACTTCAGAATACCCCGCAACTCATTTACATGTCATTGAACAAGAATAGTGTCTATTGTGTTATGCCTCGATCTTCAAAGCCTCCCGACACATGTAAGTGAGGCGGACCAAAGTTGCGGGGTATTCTGAAGTTTTGCCACTTCGTGCATTACGTAGATGTAGATGTTCTTGTGTCCGAAAAGCACAAAAAACAAACAAACAAAACTTTCTGTCAACGTGCGATGTGAAAATAAAGAAGGGTTATAAATAAATATTTAACTATATGCTTTGCCAACATGGGAATTAAAGTGGGCTTAATGTTACCTTTGTCTCTAATGTAAATGAATTGAATAACGCTAACTAACAGACTAAAATGTAAATTACGAATAAATGATATAACTTGTTGGTTCAATAATTCTCGCCTCTCTGTTCAACTTGCAAGCGGACTCTCGTGTTTGTGCCCCTGGCACAGCTACCTGTAACACCATTAGCAGCCCCCTATGGAAAAAATTGTACCTCGCTACGTCTTGTCGATCCAGGAAAGCGGCTACCTCTTTACTTTGGGCTCGGGCACAAGCTGAAAGCTGACTGCACTAGACTATTTCAATTGACTTGCGCAATTTCGCGAAGTTGTGTCAACGACGAAAAAGACCTTCTCTGACTCGGTCTCTAGCCGTAAGAACACCAAGGGGACTGACCAGCTCGATAACTTCGGTTTTGTTCACACCAAGACACCTTCAAAATCAGTGACACTGCCCGTTTGCGATCGTGTGATGTCGTTCTCATCAATAATTGCTTTTGCAATCATTGCTATTGTTTCATCCCAAACTTCCTCGAATGATTTAAAACAGCTTCATCCATTCTTGTTTTTCAACGAGAAAGATATCCCTAGTCTCCAAGAACGCGCGCGAACTACTCACTCTGAAATATCTCAAAGGATCGACTTGGCCAGTCAAGAGATAAAAAAATGGCCTGAATATTATTTACCACCTGAAGATTGGAAAAACTTCTCTAGTGCTTGGAACGAGTGTTATGGCAATGACCTGACTGCGTTAGCTTTCTATTGCGTTCTCAATCCAGAGGATCTCAAGGCGACAGAGCTTGCAATTCTGTTTATGGAGCGACTTTCCAATCTTCCCAACTGGCGCGTCGCCGATTTATTCCATGACGATGTCCCCGTAGCCCACTCTTTAACCGGCATGGCGACCGCATATGACTTTCTGTACTCACGTTTAAACGACACTCAAAGAACTCGGTTCTTAAGGAATATAACGGCAGTGACAGAGGAATTATACGAGAGATCTTTCAAGCTTTGGTGGGGGTTTTCTTATCTTCAAAATCACGTAGCCACAAACTATATGGCGATATTAAATGGCGCCTTGATTGTCGCCCGACACAAGTTGTTCGAGGGGGAGAAATGGTTGTCACGAGCTCACTTAATGTTAAGTAGAAACTTAGAGCTGTTTAACTTCGTAGTGGACGGCTCCACTAACGAAGGTGTTTATTATGGCGCTTACACAACACGTTCACTAACGCAGTATGTGTTCCTTGCGTTACGCCACTTACGTGTAGACTTCACGCATTCCCCTTGGCTCAAAGAGCACGCTTCGCTTCTTTATCATACGGTGCTCCCAGGGTTCAGAGAAACCGTTGGCTACGGCGACTCCAATCGGAACTGGTCTTACGGTCCAGAAAGCCAGCTAGTTTTCCTAGACAACCATGTTTTGAGGAGTGGCTTGGGAAATTGGCTGGCGAGACAGATTAGAGAGCACAAGGTTCAAATGGCAGGAGAAAAAGTCTATAGTCAAGCGGCGTCACACCAAAATAGCATGCTCCACACAGAGTTCTTATTCTATAATCCTGATATTCAAGAGAGAGCACTACCCAACCCAAGCATGCCTCGACTCCACGTGTTCAGTGACTGGGGAGTGGTAACTTACGGAGGGGGAATAGACATATCTTCCGGCGATAACCTGGGTAGTCCCTGGGGTAAGAAGAGAACATTTCTTTCCTTTAAATGTGGGGTGCTTCACGGACGAGCGATAAACTCTCTTGTTAGAGAAAAACACGTTCGATTTTGGCTAGAACGACGGATACGTTTCAACCCTGGCCATGAACAGCCGGACCAAGGATCATTTGTGTTTGCCCCAAATGGTGTACCTTTCATTACAGAGACCTATTACGCCTTCAAGTACACTTTCCTTAATAATGCTCTGATATTCGGTCCCTCCCAACAGTCATCTTGCTATAAACCCTTTGAGGGGCAGATAGGAGAGTGTAATAAGTGGTTTTATTTTAAAACAATGGCAGCCTGGAGGGCCGAAGGAGATATTATATCTGCGTCAAGAGAAGATGATATGGTTTTCATAAGCGGAGAGATGAGTGGGTGGTATCGACAAGAACTGGGCCTTATTAGTGTATATCGTTCCTTGATTATGTTGAATCCAAGCGTGCTCCTCGTGGTCGATCATATCGAACGCAAAATAGGAAGTCAAGCATCTGTTATGAGCGCCTTCTTTCATAACGTGGATCATCCCTTCATACTCAATGAGAGCATGTCCAAAACACCCCATGCTACCATTTCCATAGAGGGACTTTTGCACAGAGTTTACTGGTCAAACTTAGGGACCGACCAGAAGAGTTATGCCAGTTCGACAAATTACTCGTCAAGTTTCCATTCCTTTCGAACACATTATCTTAATATAACAACGCCCTTGAACGTACGATATACACGGACTGCGTACTTATTTCTCGGTCCTGGATATAGAGTAGACCAACTTCCACGAGTATTAACTGGGCATGATCACGGAGTGAAGATCTCAGTGATAGTGAATGGAGTTCGTTACCATGTTTCCATAGCAACAAAGCATAATCAACCTTACTCTAGATATGAGTTCTTGGAATTTGGAGGATATTGCAAGGTTGAAATTAGAGAGAAGAGATCCAGGACTGTGCGTTTCGGTTTGGATGTCATGTCATCTGCAGAGGAGGAAGTTGTAATATTAATCCCAAGTGAGACTAACTCGCATACAACTTGGAATGTTTTATCCACCTTGTTTCTGCCATTCATTGTTTCTATCGTGTTGCTATATCTCTATTTACAGCTTCGAAAAAAGATTCTTCGACACAATCTCTGTGATGTGTTCGTGATTTGTCTTGGGATGTCATGGTTAATAACAATAATGGCTATTCATATCAGTTTTTGTATTGGTGAAGGATGTGACTTAAAAAAACCCAAAGTGACTGAAACTTCCCGCGAAAGTCGTGTTCTCTCAGAAGTACAAGAGGTTCCACCGTTTGTGTTATTCACATCTCTACCTCTAGCAGGCGCGGAAATACTAGAACACTTGTTTAAAAACTCTTCGAATTTCTTTTTTGTAGAAGTGGGGAAAGGTGTCACAAAGTTTTTGGATCTGTGTTCTACTTTTCATCGTTTTCACCATTCGTCTGAAGCACTTCGGTATCGAGAATATTTTCGTTATCTTGCTAAAGACCCAAAAAGAATTTTTCTTGATTTACCCCCAGAGCTTCTCAAGACTCTTCCAGCTGTAAAACTGTCAGATCCCGCGTGGGGTTTAAAGTTTTCGTGGTTATCAAAGATCGTGGAGGAGAGAATGCGTGCCATAGTCGTGGTTAGGGACCCGAGAGGGTGGGTGAACGCGTGGCTTCGAGAAATTCGCGTGGATACTGAACTACGCACTGCTGTCTACGCCGCTTTTGATACAGTTAAGAATCTCAAGTGCTCAGAGAGGAATATGTCAAATTTTGCCCCTGAATTCTTTGAAATGCAGCAAGCACTCAAGGATCATAGCGATAAAAACGACAAAAACACCCTCGTGCAATTTCTTGCTCATCTCTGGGCTGCGGAGACGCAAGCGGTTCTGCGTGCCAACACGCACTTTCAAATGGGAGGCATACGCTTTGTTCAATTAGAGGACCTGATCCTGAAACCTCGCAAAACCGCAGAGGAACTTTTTCGCTACATAGGTGTTCCTCTTTCGCCAGCTGCTGAACATCGCCTTCTTACAGTCGTTCGAACTGAGCAATTTGCTTTGGGTTCCTCGCAAGAATTGATTGGCTCCAAAATGGTAGAGGTCTGGAAACAAGAACTGAGTGAAGTGGACGTCGCAAGAATTGAGGAAATTTGCTCTGATGTAATGAAAAAACTTCGATATTATTCACTAGGTTAGGTGGTACAAAAAAACGTGTGAATGTGTCATTAAGACATATTGTTCAGCAAGACACTTTGTTTGCACCAAACCTCTCTAGCTTTCAACCCAAGAGTACACATTTGCACCAGCAAACTGCCAGGGAAAGATTACAAAGGCCTGGGGTCACCCAAAAAATTGACTGTTGTGCCATCCACAGGGATGATACTCTCAGTTATTCCGTTCTACTGAAAATGGGATAAGTTCTGGCCAGACAGGTCTTCTAACCAGCCACCTGAAAAGATTCATTTTACCCGATAGTTTTTTTACCTTGTTAAAAAAGACTTGGCCGTGCTTAGTTTTGTCGGTGAAACCAAGATTTATTTAAAAGATCTCTTCCTTCCCTTTTTTTAAATGTTACTGTATTTAAAACGCGAATTAAAAAAGTGTCAGCCAACATAAAGAATAGGAACTAATAGTATTTCCAAGAGACGACGTTTCCAATGGTTACGGTCGCTTTTTTTCCCCCTTTCTTTCTCTTTTTCTTTCCCAGCCCCCATCCTAAGTACTTAACCCTTTAACCCGCATGAGTGACCAAGACAGAATTTCTCCTTACACAATCAATACAATATCAACCAGACAAGTTATAAGAATAAAGAAAACCATCAGTTTGGAGGTAATAAGTGGATCCAATACCAAATTTTCTGAACTAGCATTATAAGAATTGTATGCATGAGGGGCTTTGGCCCCGAAAAAAATTCGCAGCATGCATTCTACGGAGGCGCTATATTTCTGTCATCAGTGTAGAGAATTACATTAACGCTTGCGGTCGGTAGGTGTCTATGCGGTTGCTTAAACCTGTTGATTATAAGTTAAAGGTTCACCTAACAATTAATACTTCATCTATGCTCGAATTTCAATTACGAAAACATTGGAATCACTTGGCGCGATCTCATCATGGAGGCCGAAGTCTTCGATCGATCGGCTAAGTTTTCTATAGTTACGGGATCCAATCTCGACCCAAAAAAGTACTAGTATGTGCTAACGAAAAGTTAATGTGAAATCAGTCCGAATGTTTTTGCAAAGAACGAATTGTTTCGTCGATTCCGCTATGACTACAATACGTTCTGCCCCGCCAGCAGGTCTAAAGCGCGTTAACAAAGGCTGTTCGTTCAACGCCAGGTAACCAAACAACATGTATGTGATATCTTCAATTGGTCTCTGTGCCGGACAGATTAGACAGGGAGAATTCCTGCAGATGGATTCGCGAGGTCTCAAAATATAATCCTGTTGTTGATGCGGTAAATCAAATCGCTCTTGATCGTACACTTTAAGCGGGAAATGCCTCCAGTCGAAAAATCATGGGAAATTGCAAAGATGTCAGTCAGGAATAGCCGAGCTTGACAACGATATTCGGGAACTAGTAAAGGATAATAATTATATAAGTTAACGGTGGATGCCTCAACTTTCAGTCAAAAGAAAGAGTCCAGACAAAGAGCGGTCTCCTGATATAAATTACTTTGAATTCAATTTTTCGTGACCTCTTGGGTGGTGTATACCTGAGTGTTATTTTTAACCTCATCTTAACCCTCCTTACACGGCAGACGCGTAAGACGATATTCATACGTGTAAATTTGTTCTCAGTGACCTAAAATGCAATAACGATGTTTTAGACCACCTTCTCCCCAGTTATAGTCGATTTTGGCAAGAGTGATGTCTTCGGAAAAGTTAAAAATGCCGTTCCAAAACCTTCGCACACAAAAGATCATTATAGGATTAGTTGCATTGCGCCGAAGCTTGTAGACCGAACGGGGGGACCATCAGTTGAAAGCGATGTGATTATCTAATAATATGACAGTAAGGAGAATTACAAATTTGGTCTGGGAGTTAAAAGGTTAAGAATGTCAAAATACACCATACTTTTTAAAATAAGAATAAGGAAAAGAAAATAGACCACAAATTGAACCTTCTCCTAGCCTGTCCTCAAGCTAGAGCTTCTCTGACGAACGCATACGAGTTTTCGTACAAACGAAGAAGGACAATCATTATAGACAAGTAATGATGACTAGTGTTTCTTTTCCTCAGAGATAACTGACGGTTTCGTTGTGAGGTGTTTGGCTCGGTCGTATAGACTCTTAACAACACCACGCTTCACTGACTGAGGTTGGTGAGAGTCATAGGCTAAGTACTAGTCAGTGTGGGTGGGCTTTCTGTAGACAGTGGTAATGAGAAGACCGTCTGAGTCCCTTGTAACTGTTGTGTCGAGAAAATGAATGGTGTTATCCTTCTCGATTTTCATGGAAAAACGAATAGCAGGCTATTGACTGTTTAGATATTGCAAAAAGCCGTCGACATGGTCCCGGTCTAAGGCTGTGAAATTGTCATCTACACATCGTTTCCAGATCTTAGTTTACAACATCTAAACAGTTAACAGCCTACTATTCGTTTTACCATGGAAATCGAGAAAGATAATACCATTCCTTCTCTCGTAAAACACATGAAGGGTGTATCATAGGTTCTTCGCCGCTGCCTACAACATCAAGGCATACGGACCGTTTTCGAGTCTTGCAAAACATTTCGGTCTCACTTAGTACGATCTAAAGACGCTCTATCCATATCAAAAGTGACTCTATCGTAAGACAAACGAATAAAGTTCGTCTCCTGTACATACATTGTTTTAGGGAAGAAATTATATGTTAACAGCTGAAATAAAAAAGTGCCGCGGAAAAGAACTAAACAAAGCAAAGTCTATAGAGCAGTTACTGTTTGACGCGTCATGAATGATCCGTGACCTTGGGTGGATACTAAAATGGATCTCACGGAAGCTTTTGCAGCAAAGCGACGGTTATGTTCAGCATTAACTGAAGATCAAAACTTGTCGCTGGCTAATGAGAGGATATTTACATCTATACGGCGTAACAAAGACTTGCAGGCGTTGAAAGAACTGGACTTGAATTTAGTCCTTTACAGCGGTCAATGTTTCTCGTAAACTAAAAACAAATACAACTAAATGAAACTAACTTATAGACCTTATAGGAGAAATCAATTGCAATAGAGAAGCGATCGAAACAAAGGGCGATAAAACATAATTGTGTGTGAGGCAAAGTACAGGGTGATACATTTTGGGGGCAGAACACCGCACATGAAGAATCTTATTATTGCATGGAAAACACTTAACAAATGCATATGTCAACCTGAATAAAATGCCTTTCTATTGACTTTGGATGAAGACAAAATAGCAAAGATAGGTAACATGAATATTCATACTATTGTCTTAGAAACAAAGCGGTGTCGTAAATGAAACTCTAGAAAGAAAGTAACTGATTAAGAAACGTAACAGATGTTGTGGCCATTTCCACGTTCGTTACACACGCCGGGCACTCGGACCTTTTGCTTTTGCAGTCTTTTTTTAAGCCATACATTTAAGAAGTACAATATTCGGTTATCTGATCACTCACCACTGTGTTGTGATAAGTGTCACGCACTCCACATTTATTTTAGGAGGGTACAATATTGCATTTCGCGAACAAAAGCTAATTGTATTTATTTTTCTCATTATTTCTCTCTACTAGAAAAGACTAAAACTAACTCTCACTGAAATGTGGTAAATTATAGCCGTACCATATTCCACGACTTAAATCGTTGAGCACACTTGATATGAAATCGCGCAAAGATGGAATGAGATGTCTGAGTTTTTCGGGGTTTTCAAGGTGTAAGGTTTCAAGACACCCGCGTAAGGGAGAAATATTTTTATTATATTATTATTATTATTATTATTATTATTTTGTGGAAAAGAAGTTGAACTCAAAACAGACTCGTCCATGGCAAGTCTAGATGTCATGGTAGATTCTGAGTAACAATAATTACGGCTATGATTCAGTGTTTCTAAGGTTGTTAGGTGGCAATTCTTCCATTAGAATCTGAACAGGGAAATGCAAATCATGAACAAAGCTTCAGTCCCAACTTGAAATTACCAATGTAAATTATGGTGTCAACATTTTCAACAACAAGTGATATTACACAATTTAACAAGACTAATCTTCGTTGGTTTGTGAATGACAGCAGATCTTGCCGGGAAACCTAGAGTGAATGAATACAGGTTTTGGAAAGCTTTGACTGAAAGAAAAGGAATTTTGGAAAACTTTTAGAAGTGTCTCGTTTTCCCAGGAACACCCTGGACAACGTTCGCAAACCGCTGGCATGTAACATATTAACTCATGACACTGAAGGCGTCAGGGATATTACGGAGAGCGGATATCACAAGGATATCAAGACCTCTGACCCACGCTTTATGTAAATATTAGAAAGACTGGCTTATTGCCGATCGTGGAATGTCGTTCTCATCAAGAATTGTTCTAACAATTGTCGCTATTGTTTCTTGCGAAGCTTCCGCGAATGGCTTGGAACAGCTTCATCCATTCTTGTTTTTCAACGAGAAAGATATCCCTAGTCTCCACGAACGCGCGCGAACTACTCACTCTGAAATATCTCAAAGGATCTACTTGGCCAGTCAAGAGATAAAAAGAAGGCCTGAATATTATTTACCGCCTAAAGATTGGGAAAGCTTCTCTAGTGCTTGGAACGAGTGTTATGGCAATGACCTGACTGCGTTAGCTTTCTATTGCGTTCTCAATCCAGAGGATCTCAAGGCGACAGAGCTTGCAATTCTGTTTATGGAGCGACTTTCCAATCTTCCCAACTGGCGCGTCGCCGATTCATTCCGTGACGATGTCCCCGTAGCCCACTCTTTAACCGGCATGGCGACCGCATATGACTTTCTGTACTCACGTTTAAACGACACTCAAAGAACTCGGTTCTTAAGGAATATAACGGCAGTGACAAAGGAATTATACGAAAGATCTTTCAAGCTTTGGTGGGGGTTTTCTTATCTTCAAAATCACGTAGCCACAAACTATATGGCGATATTCAATGGCGCCTTGATTGTCGCCCGACACAAGATGTTCGAGGGGGAGAAATGGTTGTCACGAGCTCACTTAATGTTAAGTAGAAACTTAGAGCTGTTTAACTTCGTAGTGGACGGCTCCACTGACGAAGGAGTCGCCTATGGCACTTACACAACACGTTCACTAACGCAGTATGTGTTCCTTGCGTTACGCCACTTACGTATAGACTTCACGCATTCCCCTTGGCTTAAAGAGCACGCGACGTTTCTTTACCATACGGTGCTCCCAGGGTTCAGAGAAACCGTTGGCTATGGCGACTCCAATCGGAACTGGTTTTACGGTCCAGAAAGCCAGCTAGTTTTCCTAGACAACCATGTTTTGAGAAGTGGCTTAGGGAATTGGCTGGCCAGACAGATTAGAGAGCACAAGGTTCAAATGGCGGGAGTTAAAGTCTATAGTCAGTCGGCGTCACACCAAAAAAGCATGCTCCACACAGAGTTCTTATTCTATAATCCTGATATTCAAGAGAGAGCACTACCCAACCCAAGCATGCCTCGACTCCACGTGTTCAGTGACTGGGGAGTGGTAACTTACGGGGGGGGATTGGACATATCTCCCGGTAATAATTTAGGCGGTCATTGGGGTGAGAAAAGAACATTTCTTTCCTTTAAATGTGGGGTGCTTCACGGACGAGCGATAAATTCTCTTGCCAGAGGAAAACGCGTTCGATCATGGCTACAAGGACGGAGAAGTTTTAACCCTGGCCATGAACAGCCGGACCAAGGATCATTTGTGTTTGCCCCAAATGGTGTACCTTTCATTACAGAGACCTATTACGCCTACAAGTACACTTTCCTTAATAATGCTCTAGTATTCGGTCCCTCTCAACAGACATCTTGCTACAAACCCTTTGAGGGGCAGATAGGAGAGTGTAATAAGTGGATTAATTTTCAAACAATGGCAGCCTGGAGGGCCCAAGGAGATATTATATCTGCGTCAAGCGAAGATGATATGGTTTTTATAAGCGGAGAGATGAGTGGGTGGTATCGACAAGAACTGGGCCTTATTAGTGTATATCGTTCCTTGATTATGTTGAATCCAAGCGTGCTCCTCGTGGTCGATCATATCGAACGCAAAATAGGAAGTCAAGCATCTGTTATGAGCGCCTTCTTTCATAACGTGGATCATCCCTTTATACTCAATGAGAGCGTGTCCAAAACACCCCATGCTACCATTTCCATAGAGGGACTTTTGCACAGAGTTTACTGGTCAAACTTAGAGACCGACCAGAAGAGTTTTGCCAGTTCGACAAATTACTCGTCAAGCTTCCATTCCTTTCGAACGCATTATCTAAATATAACAACGCCCTTGAACGTACGATATACACGGACTGCGTACTTATTTCTCGGTCCTGGATTTAGAGTAGACCAACTCCCACGAATAGTAACTGGGCATGATCACGGAGTGAAGGTCTCTGTGATAGTGAATGGAGTTCGTTACCATGTTTCCATAGCAACAAAGCATAATCAACCTTACTCTAGATATGAGTTCTTGGAATTTGGAGGATATTGCAAGGTTGAAATTAGAGAGAAGAGATCCAGGACTGTGCGTTTCGGTTTGGATGTCATGTCATCTGCAGAGGAGGAAGTTTTAATATTAACCCTAAGTGAGACTAACTCGCATACAACTTGGAATGTTTTATCCTCCTTGTTTCTGCCATTCATTATTTCTATCGTGTTGCTATATCTCTATTTACAGCTTCGAAAAAAGATTCTTCGACACAATCTCTGTGATATGTTCGTGATTTGTCTTGGGATGTCATGGTTTATAACAATAATGGCTGTTCATATCAGTTTTTGTGTTGGTGAAGTATGTGACTTAAAAATACCCAATGCGATTGAAAGTTCCCGCGAAAGTCGTGTTCTATCCGAAGTACAAGAGGTTCCACCGTTTGTGTTATTCACATCTCTACCTCTAGCAGGCGCGGAAATACTAAGACACATGTTTAAAAACTCTTCGAATTTCTTCAATGTAGAGGTTGGGAGAGGTGCAAAGTTTTTGGATCCGTGTTCTACTTTTCATCGTTTTCACCATTCGTCTGAAACGCTTCGGGATCGAAAATGGTTTCGTGGTCTTGCTAAAGACCCGAAACGAGTTTTACCAAAATTACCCCATAAGCTTCACAAGGCTCTTCCAGTTGTCCGACTGTCGGATCCCGCGTGGGGTTTGAAGTTTTCGTGGTTATCAAAGATCGTGGAGGAGAGAATGCGTGCCATAGTCGTGGTTAGGGACCCGAGAGGGTGGGTGAACGCGTGGCTTCGAGAAATTCGCGTGGATACTGAACTTCGCGCTGCTGTCCACGCCGCCTTTGATACAGTTAAGAATCTCAAGTGCTCAGAGAGGAATATGTCAAATTTTGCGCCTGAATTCTTTGAAATGCAGCAAGCACTCAAGGATCATAGCGATAAAAACGACAAAAACACCCTCGTGCAATTTCTTGCCCATCTCTGGGCCGCGCAGACGCAAGCGATTCTGCGTGCCAACGCCCACTTTCAAATGGGAGGCATACGCTTTGTTCAATTAGAGGATTTGGTCCTAAAACCTCGCAAAACCGCAGAGGAACTTTCTCGCTTTGTAGGTGTGCCGCTTTCGCCAGCTACTGAACATCGTCTACTTACAGTCGTTCGGACTGAGCAATTTGGTTTGGGTTCCTCGAGGGAATTGATCGGCTCCAGAATGGTCACGGCCTGGGAACAAGAACTGAGCGCTGAAAACATCGTGAGAATTGAGGAAATTTGCTCTGAATTAATGAAAAAACTTCGATATGATTTGCCAGATTAGGTAATGCAAATCAGAAATAAGAGAATAAGAATGATGTATAACCAGTAAATATCTAAAGCCGATAAAATCAAAACAGCTTACACAGAGCGAAATTGAAGAATTTAGATTTAAGTTTTAAAAATGGAAAGACCGTGAATAAAATCCTTTCATCAGAAAGTTAAACAGTGTATTACCTTACTTTTTAAATTCTGCCATGTTGGCAGATGTGTTTCATATGATCTGGGGAATCAGTGTGTTCGGTTGCCAGATCTGTAATGTAGGGCGTTAGGTCTCTCTGGACTGCGATCGTAGAAGGGTTTTCTCTTTTGGTCTCTTTCAAGCAGCGGAAAGAAGCGACAACAGCAAATATGTCTGCTGTCGTGGGCTGATGTCTTTCAAAAATCTTGAGTTGAGTCACAATCGGTATAGCCGATGTTTTCAAATTGTTCATTGTGCGGACGTTCTTGAAGTTAGGTTCTATAGGACCACGAAGGTGTATCTGATGATTGTTTTCAATATCAGACATGACGGAAGAATCGTCTTGAATAGCTTGGAAATCCGTGAGGTTTTGTTTCTTATTGCTCACCCCAACGTGTTGGATAAATAATTTTTCACTTACCGAGAGGTGAGTGATCCTTTTACTTCAATCATTGACTTTTTAAAGCTGTTTTTAGTACATTTCCGTATCCTCTCCTATGAATCCCGCAACGGTATTGATCTTAAATCCAATTTACACAGAAAGACCTTCTAGAGGGCGTGTGGTATTCAGTTCATTGCATAATTTACGATAGAAACAATTCTTTTACCTTGACTTATCAGTTTTCGAAATACCAAAGCCATTCAAGCACCTGAAGGGAAATGATAAGTTGCAAGGCCCAGTTGTTCGAAGGCCGATTAGCGCTAACTCAGGGGTAAATTTTCATCCAGGTTTCTTTATTCCTTTGTTCAAAAACCTTTCAGAGACAATTTTCCCTATTCTCGCTAGAACATCCAGTGATTAAATTGCAAGCAAAAAGATTTGAACTGCATTTTTTTTTAAAGCTTCCAGACCTGAAATCAACTTTCAGACTGACCCTGGGTTATCTAAACTCAGCTTTGAACAACCTAAGCCTGGTGACTAGAATAGGCCCTCAGAATGGTTGGCAACGAGATATTGATCAGCCTCTTCACTGAACTGCTGATCAAAACGTTGAAGCCAATCGCACAGGATAAGGGATGACCGTCTTTTCCCTTTTTTTTTTATTTTTTTATTTTTTTATTTTTAAGGAAGGTTAGCTTACCCTGGAATGATTCACTTCAATTGCCCTCTACTTCACAAATCACAGTCACCTGGATTTAGTCGCTTTTTTCCCCGCTCTTGCCTTTATTCAGTACTTCTCATTTTCTAACTGCGAGTCTAATTATACAAGCTTACTAACTCACTGATCTAAGTGGTGGCTGGGTTTTTCCAAAAGTTTGCTTTCCCGGGGCGAGAGAAGCACCATGGGAGTAAAGGATCCTATAGAAGGACATGTGACTATGATATAACGGTTGAGTTTCCCAACAGCGTCGTAATCTGTCGATCGTCAAGTTTCTTTCTCGCCTTTACAGTAAACCAATCAGTCTAAGATAAGAGAGCCGAAAGAAGGCGAGACGTTTTAATTCAATTATATCCAGTCTTACTTAAGTTATATCCACACGGAGTTACTTTTTGATGTTGAACTTCCTGTTTTTGCGATGACGAGTTTCGTCAATTATTAATTTATGCATTTCATTTTTGGCCATGTAATGAATCCTTTTTTTACGGGTCTAGCCTCGTAATTTCTGCTTCCGTTTGGTCCTTAACATCTTCTTGTTCTGTAAAAGTGAAAAAAAAAGCAAATAAACAAAAGAACAAAAAAAAAAACAAAACAAAACAAAAAAAAATCGACGATATCCGGTCATATTGACCTCATGTGTAGACAGCAGCAGACGTATATTTCTCACATATTGCACGGCCAGTGCGGGTGTTTATTTTCGATTATATCACTTATGTCGAAAATTCTTAAATATTAAATGAAGAACACTGCTTACGAGGCACGAAAAATGAAGACTGGTGTACACGTTGATGGCACAAGTTGGCGACGTATGTCGATTCATAGTGGTCTAGCACGTGAGAATAAGAGGCCAGATGGAAGAGAATGATAGTCAGCTGATCATCTGAAGCCATGGTCTAAATTGAGGGTCGATGGAAAAAGAAAAGAAAAAAAAGAGAGAAACACAAATCGAAAACTCGTGACTTAGGGACACGCGGCATAGTCTCGTGCGAGTAGTGTGGCGAGTTTTTCATCTCCACTGAATTTTTTCCTTTCGATAGATCAGTCAGTAGTAAGGTTGAATTAAATTTTTTCAACTTCAGCTCAACAGATGTTTCTGTTTGGACTTCTTATCAAAGAAAATGACATTTTAGGCAATTCAGTCTGGATTAGTCTAGACGAAGTACGAGAAACTGAAAGGAGGAAAGGGAAATTGAAGGACTGTTCACGATTGGTCGCCATCTTGTGGCGTGACGAAAAGAAACATCCCATCAGGCAGTGCGGCCAAACTCCTTAGCAGTTTCCAAACAAAAACATCGTGATTAGGAACCATGAAGGCCGAGGAGAGAATAGTCTCATTTTCTCTATCTGAGAATACCATGTAAATGTTCTCTCTTGGTGCTGCTAGGGCAGCTTAGGCTCTTTGGAAATTTTTGACGCGATTGAATATTATGGGAGCGAAGCAATCCAGCCACAATGGGCGAACAAACGCACGCAACGTCGGCAACGGAGCTGTTGCGACCGCCGGCTTACCAGAGACTTCAAGGGTTGTTGCGCTGGATCCGAGAATACGAACTCGTTCATTAAACAATGTTGGACATTCTTTATCGATTCCTGGCCATTCGGCTTCCTTTCAGGAGTCTGATTTGTCTTCTTCGCCAGAGGATAACTCTCCGTCCCCGCGAGGACTTGCCCTGCAGGGAGCGCACTCGCTCCCTTCGCATTTGTTCGCTTACACTACGTTTTTAAACGGTAAGATCAAATATATTGTCCTTTCCTCCGGGATTGGCTAGTATTTAACCAAATGCGATAATCAGTCGGGTAGTTGGGTGAAGTGAGACTATTTACTTACAGGTTAAAGCCTAATCTTGTCGTTTTGACGATTCGTGCAGTTTGAACGCGACCATATTTTGTGATTAAATTTTCTTTGTAGGGGTGAAATGTCCCGTCTGCTCGAAAGTAATTTTGGCTGAAGATATTGAGCTTCATTTGGTAATTTGCCTCACCAAGCCTCGAATTACGTACAACGGTAAGTTTTTAATGAATTCTGATTCGTCTGATCTCAAACATGTTAAAAACTGCGTTCATAAAGTTAACTCTTGTCCGGCACGGGAACCTTGGATCAATTTGTTGTCTCATACTGTCAGCTGAAATCTCTTTGCTACTTCAGAATTCTAATTTGTGGGTTCGGACGGAAGAATAGTTCATACAGTATTTCTATATTCCACATGAACCTTGGCAATAAATATTTCTTTTTAGAAACAAACAAAGAATTTTTGTCCGAATTTGAAAAGAATTCGTCTTTTTCTTTGTATATTCAATTTGATACAGTTCAAACTCGATGATGACATAACGATGGTTTCTGGATTGCACGATTATTTAAACTATCCATCTTTCTCGGTCAGCACGGTCATTGAAGAGGCTTGTCCATAAAAATATGAGAATTGTTCCTATTTTCAACGCAGGTGAATTCATTTATGCTGGGCGATCGTTGATGAGTTTTGTCAATTTTTTGTCATTTTTGTGTTATAGTATAATATGGAACCTTCCAGCGAGTGGTAAAATCATTCAAATTTTTCCCACAACCAAAGAAATATGAAAAGTGATATTGTAACGTATGTAACTTTCGTTGTTTGGTACAGGTTTAACTTTTATGGCTATTTTTCTTAGTGTAAATTTTCCTACGGCACACATTCTATTTTGATCACTTCATTAACATATTGATGAAGCCAATCGCGTTTCATTTTTTCCTAATTGCAAAATTTACACTCTCTAAAATTATTGATTTATTCACAAAATCTCCTATTCTCGATATTTCGATTTTACTTTGTGAATTTGTAATTTTGCAATATTTTATTATATTCCTGAACATACACGAAATAGCTTGTTACTCAGCGTCAGTACATGTTCTATTTTTTTTCCTTTGATCAAATGGCTGTGTTTTGGAAGTTTTACTCGCTGCACCAAAATCTGATTCATGTCCTGAATTTGTGGCAGTGCAATTTTATAGATAACAATTGTCAAAGGTGCACTTCAAGACATTTCTTTTTTTATATCTTTTTTCCAATTTTTTTTATCTTTAAAGCTCTTTACATGATAGACAGTCCAGTTAAATGAGCTATTAAAAGTTTTCTGAGATAACGTCATGCAAAAATAGTCTGCTTGGGCATGTGTGCACATGAAGTTGTATGTTGCAATAACTGATATAAGAGTAACCTTTGAATCAAGAATTGAGCCATGAAATGTTATCCTTTGTCAGACTAAGATAAAACCCATTTCCTACAGTCATAATAGAAGTGGATTCATACTGATAGCTCTGGTTTGTTTGGGTTACTGAAAATTACTGGGAAATGCAGTAGCAGGAGATTGGTCCAAAGAACAAGAGAACTTTCTCCAAATCTGAACAAACAGTAGCTGAAACTGTTGATATGTTGTCAAAAAATTTTGTGACCTCACTGGAGAATTCTCTGCCCCCAGATAATTACCAAACACCAAGTAAAGTTATACAAGTCACATTCAAAGCCTGTCCCTTCGTAAATGGATGTTTATATTGATTATGCTGATAGGTGTCGAACCAGACAATGCAGTAATATGTCCACATCACAAATTAGCTACAGTAGAATTTGCTACTCAAACTACTCACTGAGATGAAAAACTACTAAAGATAAAGGGTAGTTTGCATTAGCTTGTTGCCTATGTCTTAAATTTTTTCACATTAAATGGTATCAGTCTTGATTCTACAGAAATCGTGTACTAAGCTTGGGTTAGCAAAATTCCATTGTATCTTACATTATTAGGATCATGTGAGTTTAAAAGAGTAAACCGGTCTTTTATAGATTTTCTGAAAAAAATAATCTTCCCAAATGACTTGGTAGTGAAAACTTTGGTTTCCAGCATTTAATTCCTGTTCTGCTTTGGAAATCCTCCATCTTATTTACTTTTCAGTATAAAGGTTTGTGTGACTCTTCTGTTTGTTATTGTCACATTGGAAAAAGATGTATTTGGCGCAGTGTTTTAGACTTAAGTTGATAATTTGAGAGGAAACCTTAGGGTTGATAGCATCCAGAATTTTGACTTGATTATTGTCAACTGCAGCAGTTATTGATCAATTAGTAAGCTACTTTGACTTGGAGGTCAAAAAATTGAGTCTTTGATTTCAGGATGTGTTACTGAGAATGTAATCTTGGTTTTTATCTGACTTACTAACATTATAGAATCTAAAATCACAAGCCAGGATTATGATGTGTTTACCAGACCTTCAGCTGCTAAAGATTTTACAAAATCAACCATGTAGGATGTGCTTGATGTGATTGGCTACTTCATTTTTATTTAACATAGAGCCATTTTTAAGTTCCTCATTTCATATTTAGTGACTTAAATACGGCAACTTGGAGAGCTGATTTGTGTATGGAATTGATTTAACTTAGGAAAAATTGTCTATTGAGCACTCCAAAGTTACAAAATGTGTCATTATGTCATTATTATTATTATTATTATTATTATTTCAATACTATACATTTGCTGGTTTGTGGTACATGACTTATCATTTTTGTGGCAAAACTAGACAGATAATCGTTTTCATTTCTTCTCAAAGGACAAGTATCCTTTAGAGCCTTATGGTTTTATCTTACCCTTTAAAAGTAGAGTGTGAAATTAAGACTCTGAATGCATCTTGACAGTCTACAGGGTAACCAAAGTTTTTAAAAATTATCTGCAAATATGTTGAAAATGTAACTATGGATGCCACCATTTTAAATTTGGCTTAGTAGTGGCATTACTGTTAACCTGTAATATGTAGACCCCAGCATACAAGGCCACTGCACTCAAACCTAATCACAGATTGTTGTTGAAACAGTCATATTGAGTGGTTCATTTTTCTCCTTTCAGAAAACTGCATTGCTTGTTTGATAATTTAAAGTATTGAGGGGTGTAGAGTATTGTTAGATTTTAAATTCTGCTATTTATTGACTTGGACTAGTGATAAAAATTATTCTGAACATGAATTCATTAATCTCTCTTTAGAGGATGTGCTTAAACAAGACAATGGAGAGTGTGTTATATGTCTGGAAGACTTGAGTATAGGTATGAGATGTTTCTTGTAAACTGCAAATCAAATTGTGTTTAGAAATCATTCATTTTACCAGTAAAATGAAGATAGCCTTTTATAAGGCTCTGTTAAAAATAAGCAGCTATGCAGTAGCGATTTGAAGGCTATTTATCTCTTTGTGGAACATAAAGACTATTGAAATAATAACTTTGTCAATCCTCTGTTAGTCCTCTTCATTATCATCCCAGTCAATAGCAATGTCCAGTTTGTCTTCTTTAAAGTGACTGTTGTCTGTCCAGTATTCCACTTTTGTTATAAATTTTGTTAAAGAATTGGCTGGGAAAGCAGACTTCAGCACTAGGTTCTGGTAACAAAGTGTAATCCTTTCATTTTCAAGATATGAAGACTGATTCCCCCAACTGATGAGTGAATAGCTGTAGGTTTCATTTTCAGCAACATGTAGTCATGAGAATTTTGTGTTAAATACCAACAGGTTTTCTCCTAATTTTTAAACTACATTTGCTTTATACTTGTCACAAAATTATGACAAGAATATGACCACTTTAGGGAGTGAAAGGGTTGAATTTTCAGAGGTGTAGTGTGTAGCATGAAAAAATAGTTTTGGCATCAATTTCCTCAGAAAACAATTTCTGTATATCTTTCTTTGTTAATGCATTTGTTTATTTATTTACTTATGTTTCTGGCAGGTGATACTATAGCAAGGCTGCCTTGTTTGTGTGTATATCATAAGAGGTACACCATGTTTTTCTTGAGAAGTATAATAGTAATTTATGTCAGGTATTAGGCTAATGGAAAAAGGCACATGTTATTCTAACAATTTACAATTTTTCTTGTTGTGAATTAAGAACAAAGATACTTGTATGAATGTAAGATTTCTGTAAGAATATTTCTCAATTCTTTTTTTTCCATTTATCCTTTTACTCCCAAGATCTGATTGATCATTCTCCCCCCCTCCCCTCTCCAGCTGCTTCACATTTCTGAGTAAATTATTTATGAGGATTTGGTGTTATATCAAGTGAAACACTTGGATCTGATAAGTTTTAGTGTTCTCAATACCCGCTTTCTAGATAATGTGTGGATATTCCTCTTCATGTTATACTCACTTTCTGTCTGTCTTTTTTGCTTTGTTTTACAGTTGTATTGACAATTGGTTCCAGGTGAACAGGTCATGTCCTGAACATCCAACAAATTAGTAATGTGAGTTTTATTTAACAATTGGTTCATACTTAGGGTGTGTACATGGAGCTAAGGATGCACACGGAAAGTTTAGTGAGCATGAGAGAAGCATATGAGCTACTTGTTGGGGTCATTTGTGATGTTCACTTTGGGAAAACAGTGCCTACATGTAATCCTTGCTTCAGGATATCAAAAGGTTCTAGCAAACTCTCTTTCTTCCCCTGGGTGTGTCCTTAAAAAGGTTTGATGAAATTGAGAAAGTGTGGAGTCAGATTCATGAATTAATGAAAAGAGTAGGCAATGGCTGCCAGCCATACTTTTGAATGCCCAAATGTATTTATTTAGTACTGTTGTGTGAAGCTTGCTTTTCTTATAATCATTCTGCTCAAGGTAACTGGCCCTATCAGACATCTCAACATATGTCTGGGTGATGGAGACAATCTTAGAAATACTCTGAAATCATAAAAATTATATGACCCTCTGAGCAAGGAGATACCTAATCATAAACTTGGCTGTCATGTGATTCAAGGTGTGGGAATTGATGCTGGATCACAGTGGCAGAAAGTGAGCCCCTTTGCCACCGTGACATAAAAGTTTGTACTTGTTAGCAACGTAGCAAATTAAAGGTAGTCTCCTGCATTTGAAAATAACTATAGTAATATAAGTAATTTTTTGCTTAAAGTGATATATTTTTTTTCTAGGCTATGCACTTTCCTCAAGAATTTGCAGAATATAACAAGTTTACAGTAGCTTAGGTATTGTGGTGTTTTCAAACAGCATTGGAATTTGGATCATTAGGAGAAGAAGCTGATTTGCTGTTTATTGAAAGTAGATGATTTTTTTTGTTATTGAAACCTGTGCTGAAGGCAATCCAGTTCAACCTCAATCCCATGGCAGCAAAATGTTTTGGCAACATTTTTGATTAATGGGGAGCACTAAATTTGGTTTCTTAAATTATGTTCTACAACTGTGTGCTACAAGAGGCCTTTTGTAGGAAAGGTGGAAAGCAAATAATATATTTTCTGGACTACAACTAAAACACTTTTTTTAGAATACTTGCAACTTTTAGGAAATAGATAAGACTGTTTCCTTGTTTTATAAATTCAGTGGATAAAATGTTGTGTATTATTGGTATTGCATGAGGTAGGCCCTTCACAAAATTATTAGGTTAAATCATATCATTCACGAGTAGCACACAAAAAAAGTTGTTGTCTTGCTGTGTTGTGGTTTTGCAATAAGAACAGTGTTGTTGCTTTTTGGCTGTACAGCAGCTGAATATTATTTTAACATGTAGATGTATATGTAGATATATTTTAGTAACTATAATTGCTATTCTTATAGATTTAAAATTGATATGTGACACAATTCTATGATCAGGACTACCACTCATTTTGCTGTTCCCTGAAGAAAAGCTTTTAAAATTCCAAACATCCTCATGAGGCATTAAGATAGGTAACACTAGAAGGCCATTGCTACAAGGTACAAATTATCATCAGTTGGCAATATTTTCAGGTTATATTTCTTTGGCTATATCTGATCATTTGTTGCTTCTCAGGTGCAATTATAAATGCCATTTGTTTCATCTGTTATGTACAATTTCTATTTTATTTCATGTTACGCTTCATCAATCTGTGATTTTTAAACAATTATAGAAAAAAATTTCACTCTAAAGAATTTAAACAATGCTGAGTGGAGGTAAAATTGTTGAATTTTTTCCTGTTGATTTATTAATTACAGAACAGGTATTTTATTTTTGTATTTAAAACATTGTTTTTAAAAAATCCCCAATGAAGACCCCTTTGACCACTGAGATTGACTGGCATCTCCCTACAATATCACCCCTGAATCAGACATTAAAGTAACAAGAGTGAAGGAAATCAGCACCATATAAGGGAGCTCTTGATTTTTAAACAAATTCTCCTTGTCAGCACCTTAGGAAATGTATGTAGAACAGTATGGAGAATATATACAATGACGTTAGGGTGTGAAGGGTTAAGAAACTAAACATGGTGGTACCTGTACTAGAAAAAGCAATAAGTAGCAATAGGTCTGATGCTTTGAACTTGAATGGCATACTTAGCAAGCTTCTTCAGGGTGAACTAAGAAAAGGGGTTAGATTTTAAGGGGCAATAGCATAAGTATTTCTCAAACTGGAAAACTACTATAAGCTGAAATGGCAAGGCTTAAGAAAAAACAACGAAATGTTTAAAAATCACAAACTGAATGTCATAAAATAGGAAAGCTAAAAATTGCAATTTATTATGAAAGTAAAGATATGAAGTGTTTAAACTGCAGAACTAATGTCATAGCTCACCAAAGCTGAAGAACTCTTCACCCCATAGCCTGGTTCATAGAAATGTTAAGGTCACTTTCTGCACTCCTGCCATAAGAAAGTAAATTTTGACTGTCCAAGAATCTTGCTTTGTGCTTCTACTCTCTAGTCATCCTGTGCCTTAGCTTCAGCAATTGTTTGACAGGTCATGTTATCTCTTTGCTTTGTTATTCCACTTCAATATTTCACTAGTTGTTTAAATAGGTCGCGTATAGCATTGCATGCAATGAGTTGACCATTGAAATATAAATAATTTGCAATATCATTTGAAATTTCCTTTTCTCTCCAGTGATTCCTCTCTCTTCAGATACAATGGTTGAAATATGTTCTTGAGTAATTTTCTCTTTGTTTTACAATACAGTTCACATTATTTTGGATTCATTCAGCGGGCTTCCTATAAGATAGCTTTTAGGGAAGTGAAGCACATTTCCTTGAGAGAATTAACCGCAGTTTAATAAAGGAAGCTGTAGTTGCTAAAGCTTACAACAAAAGCTTGGATCAGTTGATAAATATCTGTCAATTAATAACGTGGCATAACTCATTCAGGATAATTGATAAAGTAAACCACCACAACAACCAAACTCAAACATTTCCGATTCATTCCACAGAGTTTAATGAAACGTCAAAGTATCTTTATCTCAGTGCTGTGTATAGCAGAGAGGCTTTTTAATTTTAGCAGATATTTACTTGTATATAGTTAGACCCCAGATTTGTTGAGTGTTATCCACTAGTTATTGTACATTAAATAATGTACCTCGTGTAGGCATAATGCATTTAGTAACATGTTTTAAAAGGTGCTTTTAAACGATGGTTAAATTATTGTGCAATCTAGTTAAATTTTCAGAAGATAATTAAAAATAATTGCTATTGCTTTGGCTTCTGGAATGTAAAAAATAAAGGAAACGTTTGAAAATGTTGTTGAGAGCTTTAAATTAACCAGACATTTATACTTAACAAGTTGTCAATGATTTCAATGACTGAGGATGAATTTCATTTTGAAGGAGTGGTCCTTGGTTTCCCAGTAGTGGTGTGCGGCTCAGTTCTCCAAATCTTCACCTTTTTCATTTCAAAACATTCCTTTTTTTCACAACCGTTTTCCGTCCTGCTGACCTGAAGACCAGTTTTCAGATTTAGTTGAGTGCCATAACACTTTGTTACTCAATGAATTTTCGCATGATTGCTGCAAGTCGTCCCTTGTGAGCCAACTGGCCACTAGGAAAGTCGTAAATCCTTCTTAAGTCCTTAAAACCAATTTTATGATGAGAAAAACTATTTTAATTTCCTCTGAGTTTCTGAAAGCAACCAGTTCGCGGAGCATGGGTGGTGGGGGAAGGGGGAGATGTCACAGAGCCTCGAGCCTTTTCTCACTCTTTATAAGATGATGTTGCCCCGAGCCCCCCTTACACTAGACTGCGAACAGTCCTTCATTTTTGCCTTAGTACTTCGCGCAGGTTAAAAAGAATCTGTTAACAAAAAAATGAAAAACGATGTCAGCAAACCGCGCGGAAATTTAGGAGCGACGCGCTAGCATCAATATTTTTTTCTCACTAATATTCTTTGACTCGCAAGGACTTCGATTCGATGAAAGGAAAGAACTGCTCGCAGTCTATCCTGACACTTACTCACAAAATTGACACAAAATTGATTCATTTCGTGGATTATCATAATTAAAGAATCGACAGAGGTCAGATGATCGTGCATTGTCGAGCACGGGTCAATGTTGCTGAACAGATGCATTTTCAATTGCACTAGAACCTTTCGTCTCCATTCCGGCAATAGCACACAAGATCTTCGCCTTTTTTGGGGGGTGTGTTGTTTGTCTACAAGGACGAAAACAAAGGAACAAAAACGTCATTTCAAGAGAGTATTTTTAGCCATACTCATCAAAAGGGAACTGGGTGGAATCCAATGAAATATTACCCCTCTGTTGCCCCTTCCGCCATGAGCCTATGAAGAGTTGGGCTTCTTTTATAAGAATTAATCAAAACTATAACAAAAATTTCGAACGTGATTGGTTATCACCAGCCCGATTTGAGCACTTATAGGACAGTGTACGGGTCATGCTTGTAATTGGACATTGTAGAAGGACAGTTAAAGGGACAATTAACACGTCATGCCTGTGGAAGTGGAGAGAACGCGTTATGTGCGCTTTTTTCTGGCATTTCGCCGAGTTAACTAGGTGTTGTTTTTTTATGAAAGCGTACTGATGTCTAGTTTCTTTTCCGAATTTTGTCATAGTTTTGATTAGTTGTCGTCCAATTCTGTCTGTAATCATACTCGTGATGAAGAAATCGGACTCCCGCTTCGCGGTCGCCCGATTTGTTAATCACCCGTAAGATTACAGACTGAATTGAACTCCACTCGGTCCATTAGTACTATAAATCAATACTTACGTCATAGCAGCTGCGTTAAGTCAGGCGGAGGACCAGTTCTTAACAGCCAGAAGTAAGTTCTGTTTAATTGGTAACCAATTCTCTCCGTGGAAAAGAATTCAACTGCTCTCATTATCCCAAAACGACTCAAAATTTTGTTACCACTAAAAATAACGCGAGGAGATTGGGGAGAGGGGGAGTGCTCATTAAGGTTTTTCTCACCTTAATAGCTATTTACAACCATAGAGTTCGAATCTCATGGAGATGTACCGCTCCCATTCCATGGGAAGAACTCGAACGAAGCGAGCATCAATGACCGGGTTAAGATCGTGATACACCACTGTGTCCCTGTCTGTGTTTCCCAGGAAAACCTGCGTTAAGTGAAAAAAAAACAAACAAACAAAACAAAACAAAAACAAAAACATGATCTAGACTTAGATACAACCATCCCCAACTCGATTCTGACAATCATCATGATAAAGTCTGATCATGATGGTTTGGTACTAACACAACATGAGGTCTTAGCGATATCCTTTCAAAATTTTCGAATGAAACTGAAGCACTCACATCTGTTAAAGTCAGAGCTTAGTGGTTTTGGAATTTTAAGATGTTTGAATGTTTCTTCTGCCGAGGTATTTCTATTGTCGTTACAACAGTTCATCCAGTAATACCAAGCCTTGTGTTCGCTTCGTGAGCAGCCCCCCATCATTAGGGCTGCAGCACTCGTGTTTTTCTGGCCGCAGGAAGATTTGAGACTAATCGTGGAGAAGTTTGCCGGGGTTTATCAGAACTAGCCTTCGTGTAGCCGTACCCTCCCCCCCTTCGCCTCCGTTTCACCTTGGGTGAGGGGAGGGTACGGTTACACGTAGGGTATGTCAGAACTCTTGCAGATCACTAGTAGGCTAGTGTTACACAAGGCCACGTACTTTCCCACAAGTAAAGAAACGCATGCGCCAAAGAGCTAATGACTAGGGTCTGCTCGTAGGCTAGGTTTATATGTAAATTATATATAAGGACGAATTTCATACTTTGTCCGAATTCTCTCCATAACGTATGTAAAATCTGAAGGTCACTCCATCATCGCCATATTGCAGTTTGTATTTCGTAATCCAATGGTTAAACCCAGATCTCCCTTGAGTCGCTATGCCTGTCACCCTCGTTGTTTTCAGCAAATCCACTTGAAACCACTGAGCAGTGTCTAGATATTGTGATAACCACCCCCCGGCCCTACCTCTGACCGGCGTGAAGTTTAACCTGCCATTACGCGCGCTGTATGCATAATCGTAACTTGACGAGGCGCTTATTTGCTGGTCAAGAATAACTCCGCTTTCCATGCCGAGTGGTACTTGGCACGCTGCATTGAAAAAAAATGATGAAAATTATTTTTTAAACAAACTACTTAGCTTAAAGAATAACTCATTTGATAAAATTAAAATTATCCTATTTCTTAGCCTAAACTTACCTATAATTCCCATAAAAGAGGCTCCTTTTTATTACTTACGCGCCGTGCAAGTTTCATCGCCCAGCAAAAAGTGCTATCTTGCCTTTGATCATCTTCAGTTTTCCCTAGCTTGTTTGAAAACCCACCCTACTACTTTGTTTGAAAAATTCTATCTAGAAAGTGTCCTGGTTACTTCCTCGTTCTCATTCATCTCTCATTCGTCCTCAGAACCTCGCCAGAGGAGAGTATGACGGGAAGGCGGCAGGCTCCGCCCACCAACCGTCAAAAGTCAGTCACTGTGATGTAAGATCTCGGTTTTCAGTCGAACTAAAACCTCGCTTTATATTTCCTCATTGTCCTACTTACTTTCGCAGTTGAACATTTTTAACGCGTCATTGAAAGTGCACGAGCCTGCATTAAAGCAGCCGGTCAGCTGACAGTCGTTCTGCAAACATGTGTAAAAAATTCAGAATGAGAGTTATTAAGTCGAAATCTTTTCGAATTGAATCCGATGATGACTGAAACACTAGAATATACAATATTGAATAGTTCAACAAAATTAATTTAGAAAACTATAATCCTTTTACTTCACAATTTTTTTCCGCGTTTAATTTCATTCCAGTTGTAATATGTATTACCTAATATGTATTAATATAATTAATAACTAATTAATAATTAATCATTATAATTAATACTAATATGTATTACCTAATCGGTTTTCAATAACTTATCCTGTTTTCATTGTTCGTTTGTACGCATGCTCCCTGAATCATTTCATTTGTTCAGTCACACTTGCCAGTGAAGAATTTATTTCAATTTTTATTTCCCTCTTACCTCGATTAGCTTCGCTATTTTGCGGGCAGGAATGGTTGGATATTTATTTTAATTGTTAAGGTAAACAAATTTCGTTATTTGTTTGTTTCTGTTGTTTATTGTCATTACCGAACACCCCGCGTGTTTGGAAAAAATTGCGATCGTTGTTTAGAATAATTTATTGTTGTTGTCGGAAACTAAGTATTGTGTCGATCTAGGTACTCCAAATTAACACGCCATCATTGAACGCGAATTGAAGGCAAAATTACTTTCATGAGCAATAAGAACTAGGTGTTAAAATTTAAAAATGAGAGAATTAACATGGCCTAGTCAGTCAAACATTTCCAAAGCAACATTCATTCTTACCCAAATGTGAAAGTTCTCATCGAACTTTAAAAAGTTTTTTCTAAACGTAAAGTTTTTAGGTGAAGAAATCTCGTCGTTAGTTCGGGCGTATTGTATGCCTGGAGTTTTCGTCTTTTGTAGAAGATAAGAATCCGGCATTTATTTGTGAAAATCGTCGAAAGAAATAAATTGCTTACAACCATATGAACTCATATGGTGTGAGGTAGTCAGCAAAAGTAATCAGCTTTATCTTTAATTAACTTCTTTACTAAAATGTAGATCAGGATAAGCTTTTGTAAGTTCAAGATTAAGATCAAGGTCTTCCCGGGGAAACTGATTAATTTTCGAAGAACTGACGATTTTCAAAAGGCCGGAATCCTATGTTGTTTGTGTTACCTTCAGGTCAGAAAACTGAGTATAAATTGTTCCCTCCTCGTAATTCAGTTCTTTTTCTCCATCGTTCAACTCACAAATTCCTTCTGCAGAAAAACTTGAACCTGCTCGGAAATTTGTGGACAGGCATCGAGGGTTTCTCTGACATCGCAAACCACATGATACCAAGCTTTCGGAGTGAAATGTGTTGAACGTGAAGCCTTTAAGCTGGCGATGATTGCGAGTTATTACCGGACGAGATAGAGAGTCTCTATTACTAGAAATCATGTCAGATTCTCCTAAGCTAAAAGCAGAAAATGCCAAAACGACACAAACATAGATCATTCTGTATCCATGTATTTGGTGATCCAATGGCGCATACGTATCAGTCATACATTATCTTTGCGTATGTTTGCACCACGAACTACAATGTTTGTATTATCTATACTTTGATAGCGTGTTGACGACTTATCTATTGAAAGGCTACATAATGAACTAACATTACACAATTGATCAGAGTTAGATTAAATTTTATTTCCTGGTGACAAATCTAATTTATTATCTTTTTTTTCATATCTAACAAGTATCTGTGAAGTGAATTTGCAAATTACAAAACTGGTCGGTCAGAAAACGAGGCATACAGACTAGCCATCATTTATCAGGTCTCCATGGCGCTAATTGTCAGTTATCATACTTCTAATTATAATCATTAAAATTTCTTCAAAATGTGATCGGTGCATTAGCTGCTTTATTTTTCATTAGTTTGTATGTACAGTTGTAATCGAACGGTGTAATCAGACAAGTGGCTGTAATCTGACACCTGTAATCGGACAGTGAACGCGGCCAATCCTACTAAGTCCTTTTAGCTAAATCCACCAATCACAACTGATTAAAATAACCATAGCAACAACCACCTACCCTATGAAACTGGGAAATTTCCAAATGGAGGAATATTTTTCTTTAGACAATGTCTCCACTGGAGATATTTTCTCACATAAATGCTTTTGTTTTTTTCGTAAATTGTAATGGTTATGATTAATTGGTACAGTACTTCGTGTCGTTCAATTATTGTCTGAATTCATTCTCGTGATTGACGAATTAGACTCCCGCTACGCGGTCGTCCAATTTTGTAATCATTCGTATGATTACAGACCGAATTGGACTCCACTTGGTCCTATTACCAATACAAATTTAAGGACAAATACCTGCATGGATTTTTAATATTGGTATTTGATCTTGGGAGGAGGACTAGGGGTCATAAAAATTTTAGCTGCTAACAAGGAGGAATCATTAGTTTAGTTCAGAGCCTTATGGGGGACCAGGTAAATTTTATTACGGAAAAAATCACGATCCTCCGGCTCCCGGGTAATGAATAATGGTTGGCCCCCTTCAATCAATCAATCAATCAATCAATCAATCAGTTTATGAATATCAATGCATGGGATCAGGAACCCAAAGGCCAATAATCAAAAAATCTTAGATAAACAGTAATTACATTTGCAGCTTGCCTTTAAATTTGAAAAATCAAATGTCTTCAACTTCCTGCGAAAATCGCTCAAGTTTGTTCATTGCTTAATATGTGACGGGAGCTGATTCCGCACATGCGATATTTTGTAAGTAAATGAGTTATGATAATATCGATTGTGATAGATGAGTTCAACAAGATGATGACCACTATTCCTTAAATCGTTAGGCGTCTTACGATGCTCGAAAAGATTATAGACGTAATCAGGTACTTTTTTCCTTTATTCATTTAAGTAGTGAGATAAAAGATTGATCTTTCTTACCGTCTATACTCGGGAGAGTGTATATTTGCAATATACAATGCTAACAGAATCGTAATCTTAGCTGTTACCTGAATTTAAGAGGGCCTTTAACGCATAGTAGCTAGCAGATTCGAGGTTATTGATCAAAGTCGTATGGGTCCTTTATAGAAGTGGACCACAGTATTCAAGGTGTAGCAGTATGTGAGCCTTGTACTTTATGAGAACAACATCCGTAGGAACCAACTTTTTTAGGGATCATAGAACTCCAATCTTGGCATAAACTTTCTTCAGGGAGGCTGATATGTGATCTTTGAAGGAAAGCTCGCTGGCGATGTGAACACCAAGAATGTTTAAGTGGTGATTTATTTCAATAGGAGAATCATCCACAAAGAGAACAGGTTCTTGAGCGGAGTAACCCAGAGTCATAACTTGGGTTTCCATTAACTGTTAAGTGATAAGAGACGAACCATTACATGTTCTAAATTCAGCTGTGCCCGCAAGCGCTTATTCCTTATTAGAACCAAAACAAGCAAAGATGGCCAAGAACTTGGATGGAATTCAATGCTCGAATTCGTTGAACGGAGTGGCCAGCTTGGTTTAAGTAACTTCTGTTATAGAAGTCGTGGATTTTATTAAATCCGTAAAGTAAAATAAATTTGAAATGTTTAAAGTATATGAATCTTCGAAACCTTCGAAACACACCAAGAATAAAGTAATTATGGCAAAGAAGCCCGAGAAATCAGCTCCAAATTTTCTTTATTTTAATCGACTCCAATTCTTTTTGTAGACACTCAGTTAATGTGCAAAACTGTAGTTACCCTAAAGAGCGCCAGATCGACTAATTGAACACTTTGCAAAGCCGGGCTGGGTTTTTTCAAGTATTCTATGTGATAATGAATACAAATTGATTTCCTGGCTAGTGCCGGAAGAAATGCTCGAGAAGTGGTTCCAAAGTTCTTAAGGAAATCATTCATTGAATGAAAGGTCATGAAGGGACACTCAAATGTTTCACGACGGAAATGGTCGTGGTTTGGTGGTTCCTCAATTGATTTGGTTCACTGCGTTGGCGAGATGGCATCAATCATCTGCATTATACAATTATTCAAGAAAAGGTGACTTCGTAAACGATTTGTACGCTAAGAATTATTGTGTCAACGATGACACATCCAAAACATTACATAGCCAGTGGCTAAAAGAAAAAGTTTGAATTTTGAGAGTGGTAAGAAACAATAGAGGTAAATTTATGACTGATTATTGGAGATCCTTAACTCGTTTCCTGCCAACCTCTTACCTCCTAAAATTTTATTTCTCCCTTCCAGCTTTGCTAAACATTTCCTTCTCAACAAGCTCGAAAACACTGCACTTGAGGAAGGTTTGAAGCGAAAATTTGACAAAGAAGACGATCCATAGAAGGTAACGTCAACAGTGTTTTACATTTAAAAAAAATTTGATAGGTTGGGTCTCTGAAGTCCCTCTTGGTGAAATTTCACGCTTATAGGGCAAAAACTCTGTAACCAGCTTAAACTTTTCACAAAGAGTGGATTTTTTCGCACTATAAACCAACAGTATTTCAGTTTTCTTTCTCCTAGAACAAAACCTGTGGGATATATTTCCTTACGCTTTATTAATCTTATCATGATTCTCGTTACCTAAAATCGAAAAAAGAATAACATTGCATTCGAGGTCGAGTGAATTTTCTTTCTGATCGCATTCATGTTCTATTTTTTGGGTGTTTATTTTACAGCATCATTATCCAACGGAAAGATTTATCCTTGGGCGCTGTGAAGACACAACAAACCCAACATGAATAGTTGCCTTCATTTCCTCGAAAGCACCGAGAATCTGATCGATGCTTATCCATACTACGCTGTGTTTTGGTTTATTTTTACCACCATGTCTTTCTTTCTAACAATTATTGGCAATTCTATCGTCATTTACGCCTTTTGGACTGCCCCGAGCATAGCTCCTCCCTCAAGAGTTTTCTTTATCAATTTGGCTGTGTCCGATTTGCTGGTTGGTTTGGTCGTCCTGCCCCTCTCTGCAGCCTATAGGGCAAGAATTTTGATCAGATTAAACAATCAGAGTAATGATTATGATAGTAACCTGGAGTGCGACATCACCAAGACAGTGGGGTTCTTCGCTCTTTTTC